TTTCCATAATGTTCCATAATGTTCCGTCATTTTCCATCATTTTCCATCATGTTCCATCATGTTCCATCATTTTCCATAATTTTCCATCATGTTCCATCATTTTCCATCATGTACATCATTTTCCGTCATGCTCCATCATTTTCCATCATTGTCCGTCATGTTCCATCATGTTCCAGCATTTTCCGTCATTTTCCACCATTCCCCCATGAAAAGTTGTGGGATTTCATGGTTCCATCCCCAGGTGGCGTCCTCGCGCGACAAGTTGGAGCTACAGCGACGTCACCAAGAGCTTCGACAAGAGCTTGCGCAGCAGCGACAGCAGTGCCAGGTGGCAGAGGATGCGCCACTTTCGTTGAAGGATTTGCATGGATTCACAATGATTATCCCCATGCTGACATAGAACCATACCACTAGTTTGGAAGGTCATGGTGCTCCCTAGGGAAAATGGCATTTGCTGCAGGTTCCATGGCATTTCAGTGGGTACTGTAGTTGTTTGTTAACGGTTGCTGGTACTGAGGGTGGCACTGTTGTTTGATCAGAAAACAATATTGGGGATAAGCTGGGTTTGATTAGATTGATTTCAGGAATTTGTTTTGTAGAAATTCATGGGTCTGGGTCAGTTCAGTGCGTCACATTCCCTTCAGGGCATTTGGCTGAAGTAAATTTGCTTGAGAGAATTGCTTAAATCTTATACTTAATCATTTTGGCTGGTTCAACCCCTAATATGGCCTTGTCTAGAAAAAGGGCACCTGGTACCCCATTCAACCCACTGGTCAATGTTAATCATCATTTCCCTCTTGAAACGGCCATGTGCAAGGTGGTGCCCCTCAGTTTTAAGTTGCACGGTAACCTCAAGGTATTTGAGTTCGAAAACCAACTTAGCTATACGGGCATCACCTTGGTGGGGGTACAAACCATCAAACTAAATCCATCAAATAAACTAAATCCACCACCATCTCCCGATGAAAATCCACCACCCTTGGCCACCCCACAGGGGCCCCTTGAGGCTTCGGGCTCAGTCCCACAGCGCGTCCAGCGCGTCCAGCGCCCCGCGGCCGCTGCCGCGGCAGCCACCGGCGCGGCCGCCGGAGGCGTTGGCGAAGATGAGGTGAGCGGCAGCGGTTGGAGATGGATCGCATGGCTGTGGAATACGGAAGGAAAATACATAAATGGAAGGTTGAAGATGATGGAAGATGAACGGAAGATATACATGATGATATATGAAGATATGGAAGCAATTGCTTGCATCAGCATTGTTCTGTCAATTCAAAGTCTGGATATGGTAGCATTCAAACAAAGTCACATCAGCGTAGGTTCTCGGCTCAATTTGCAGCAGCCCAGTATGCGCTTGGTTTTAGCAATCGGTTGCACGTACCTATGCTGTGAAGGTGGTAAGGTTCCCACTGCAAGAGGGGCGGAAACAGCTGGAAGTTTCCAGGAGACCTTGAGGAGCCGAATTTAACAACAGTTGGGGGCCAGTGCTGTGCAGGGTATCGTTCAATCATAAACTTGGGGAAGATGGGGAAGTGGATAGTCTGGTTGATCACCCGCTTTCAGGATGATAGACATTGTATCCAAGAATCTGGGCTCACTTAATTAATTCTGACATCTACGAGTAAGCTTAAATTCAAACATGCATTTGTCAAAAATGAAACCATGGGCCCCTGTGATGGGCCCTTATTTTGCTGTTTGGTTGATTGGTCCATGGCCCCCGCTGCTTTACAACCCAAATCAAGATGTCTAGTATGGTGCCCTCTTCTTCAGCGCCTAGAAGTTTCACCCTGCCAAAATGCGGCACGTGACCCAGGGTAAAGGTTTACCATCTTAAGGAGGCAAACATCCTTTTATTCAGCATGGGTTTGGGGTCTGAAATCTGGAATTTTCTTACCCTAGGGTATCCTCCTAATGGGCAGGATCCCAAAATTAAGTGCTCACCAAATGAAGCCAGAATAGCTTGCAGTCCATTTAGTGGGCCCTTAATTTTGGGTCCCAGTCAGGGCCGTACGACATCTATGAGGGGGGGCCCAGCTCAGCTAAGGTTTGAAGACCCCGTATCTCATTATATCGACCAATATTTAAGGCCTTGCATGTTTTTCTCTTTGGAAGATACGGTTGGACAAGGGCAAGAAATGAAAGCAATTGCTGACCGACAAGCTTGGGAAAGGAAACCAATGCAGATTGATGGAGCAAGCAAAATGTAGAAAAGACAATTGTATAAGGAATATAGACAGCTATATAAATAAATATAAGATTATATAAGGTGCATATAAGATTATACAAGGCTGTGTAAGGGATATATAAGGAAGGGAATTTAAGGGCCCACCACACGAGGCCATGGTTTCAATTCTTGAATTTGAGCTCCTGAATTTCTTTGAAGATGGAGGGCCTCGACGTGTTTATATATACGTATGGTGAATTATTTTGAGTCTTGACGCTCAATGATTTTTATGTCACTACTTCAGTACTTCAAGAAGATGCATGGTACCTGTATGGGTACCAGGATTTCTGCCAAGCGGGCTTGTTTGCATGTCTGGATGTCCAACTATGCTGGGCATCAAATAACCCTGCAATGTTTTTCTTGTCATTCCCACTTCATCCGGTTCTCTTTGGTGCCTAGCGTTTGAACACGGAAGGAATCTTGCGCAGAAGAAGCAAGCTGGGTTGATTTCACAAGCCTTCAAGCTGGCCCCACTTGATCAAAACTTCACACCAAGTGCACGTGATTACACGGTAGGGATCTCATTCTGCGGGAAAACAACGCTGTGGCAAGAAGCCTGCAAACTCATTGAAAACATGGCAGAATCAAAAGCGAGTCCCAACATTTTCAGCTACAACGCTGCCATCAGTGCGTGTGAGAAGGGTGGTCAATGGGAACAGGCACTGACCTTTTTCCAGGTGATGCCCAAGGTAAAGGTCAGTCCAACTGTTATTAGCTACAGTGCCGCCATCAGTGCATGTGAGAAAGGTGCCCAATGGGAACGGGCATTGACCTTGTTCCAGGCCATGCCTAAGGCAAAGATTCCATCAGATGTCATTAGCTGCAATGCAGCCATCAGTGCATGTGAGAAGGGTGGTCAGTGGGAACAGGCACTGACGTTGTTCCACGCGATGCCCAAGGAAAAGATTCTGTCAGATGTCATCAGCTACAGTGCCGCCATCAGTGCATGTGAGAAGGGTGGTCAATGGGAACAGGCACTGACCTTATTCCAAGGGATGCAGGAGGCAAAGATTCCATCAGATGTCATCAGCTACAGTTCCGCCATCAGTGCATGTGAGAAGGGTGGCCAATGGGAACAGGCACTGCTCTTATTCCAGGGAATGCCCGCGGCAAGGATCAGTCTGAATGTCATTAGCTACAGTGCCGCCATCAGTGCATGCGAGAAGGGTGGCCAATGGGAACAGGCACTGCTCTTATTCCAGGGAATGCCCGCGGCAAGGATCAGTCTGAATGTCATTAGTTACAATGCGGCCATCAGTGCGTGTGAGAAGGGTGGTCAATGGGAACAGGCGCTGACCTTATTCCAGGCCATGTCTAAAGCAAAGATTTCATCGGATGTGATTACCTACAATGCAGCCATCAGTGCTTGTGAGAAGGGTGGTCAGTGGGAACAGGCACTGACGTTGTTCCATGCGATGCCCAAGGCAAAGATCAGTCCGAACGTTATTAGCTACAATGCCTCCATCAGTGCGTGTGAGAAGGGTGGTCAATGGGAACAGGCACTGACCTTGTTCCAGGCGATGCCCAAGGCAAAGATCAGCCCGTATGTCACTAGCTTCAATGCAGCCATCAGCGCATGCGAGAAGGGTGGTCAATGGGAACAGGCACTGGCCTTGTTCCAGGCGATTCCCAAGGCAAAGATCAGCCCGAATGTCATTAGCTATAATGCCGCCATCAGTGCATGTGAGAAGGGGGAACGATTTCATCAGATGGCATTAGCTACAAAGCTGCCATTAGTGCATATGAGGATGGTCAATGAGAAGCGGCGCTGACCCTGTTTGAGGATGTTTGAGGTAGTGATTGGTTCCCAACTGGATCCAGACATCGTTTCTTACAATGCCTTAGCAAGGAACATGTCCCCACCCAGACTCTTGCTGTAGATTTCAATGCAATACAATCCGGCAAGAGCCTGGGTGGAGACATGTTCCTTGCTATGGCTTGGAGCTGCGTTGGAGCTTTTGTCCAGTCTGGGATTGGACCGCATGAGTCATCCCAATCCGCTAATTCTGTGGGGACCAATTGATGCACCAACCGTTCTTTTGATCCATGGTGATTTTTTTCGGCAATTGGTCATGCGCAACGCGCTGACAAAAAAGAAAACGGACAGAAGAACTTCAGTAGAACCAAAATTAATTGAAGTGGTTGGGGTCAACCGAGTGCTGCGCGTATGAATAGTAGTACGCTGATAGATACCATCTTATACGGTACAAACCATGTTTGTCCGGATGCTGTTTTCACATTGGACCGCGCAGTAAGCAGAAGTTTCCGAACACGTTTTCAAGGTCTCATACTCCGGTGTCACCATACATCACGCACCGTGTCTTCTATTGTTATCACTTGATGCATGCCTTCAGTATGAGAATCGCATGCCTTATCTATCACACCCCACTTGCACTTCATAGGTCTTCAAGTTCTACACGTCTAGAGATCAAAATTGGGGGTTCCTACTTTTATGGGATATTCAGTATACTCTTTCATCCATTTCCAGATGGAATGACCACAATGAAACATGTCACCATGTTGTGACTGTAGGGAGTTCTGTTGTCCAAAGGATGATCACGGATCAGATGCCCCCATGGTCATAGTCGAGATTGTTCCACGATCTTTGTCACAGCCGAACGTCACGGGTCCATGGGTGGGCGTTCACAAAGCAACAGACGGAGTCCATTGGAAATCCAGTACGAGATAGTACAAGATAGTAATTACAAGTTATAAGTAAGTATAGATCCAAATGTAGGGTGCAAGTGTTCTCTGAAGTTTTCCGCTTCTGCAAGGTCTGAAATCAAGACCTTGGCGGAAGCACGGCAGCACTGCAGCGCGGACTTGCGGACAGCCAAGGAGGACTGCTACTGCACACAGTCTTCAACTGACGGGACGGGTCCAATCCAAGGGCTTACTGTATCAGGTGCCGGCGTAGGCTAATGGCAGCAACCTTTTTCAGCTTTTTTTTTTGGGCCGCCATTTAGATGTTTGATGTCCCGTCTGCACGCTTATCAATTGGCTGCGATTGGCTGGTTTCTCTGGTTTCCGCAAGTACATGAAGATAAATTAATTAGCCCAAGAGAGGCAAGCCTGATTGCTAGCACTCCACGCGGACACGATTTTTCGTTCAACCCGTATGTTTTCACCTTATTTTCACAGATGTTGCAGATGCGCAGGTACAGGCAACCAATATTTGATGCAACATTTGAAAACAATCCTTGAAAGGCTAAGGCCCCGGATTCTTGGTTTTGATGATCCTGGTGATTATATGTGAGTTTTGTGTTTAGGGTTTTACTAACAGACGGGCAGGCGATGGTTGAAGTAAAGCACATTTGCGAACGCTTGTATTATGTTGATCAAAGAGAGAGATATATATATATACATATAATGCAGATTAATGTAGCAACTCTCTGAAATTGTCTAGAGTCTAGAGCACATTCTAGGTATGGCATGGTTCCCCGCAGTGCAATTTCTCAGTTCAACGCGCAGGCACGTCCCGGCATGCGCTGCTTTTTAGCTTTGGTTTGCCTGTTTCTAAGCCCTGAAGGTGGCAAACTTTCCCCGCCGAATTCGAACGTTGCTGCCAGAGACCGAGGGAAGGCCTTCAACCGCAAGGGAGACGAGCAGGAGGTCTTGAGGAGCAGAGCTGCAAAACAGTAGGGGGCCAGTGCTTCTTGGGGGTGTCATTTGTATAGGAAGTGTGTCAAGAAGCAATCTGGCGGAGTGGCCAGCCAGTGCGTTGATGATGAAGGGAGTCGACATTTTCAGCGAGTGTTGAGTCATAATGCTCTGTGGGTTTATGTCATTACTTCAAAAGATGTATAGGTGCCAGGATTTCTGCCAAGCAGATCAGCAGATCCAAGCGTTTTTCCCCAAACAGTGTATCCACACTGAGGGGTTCTCACGGTAAGGGTAAAGACCGGTGCTTGATCGAGGTGCTCACGCTAGGGCGCGGCATTTTCCTTGTAAATTTCTGCATAAAATGGCTTTGGTCACATGTCCAGGTGTGTTTCGACTGCGCAGGCTCGCACAAAGTCTGCCGCGCGAGTTTTGCTTCCGTCTGGGGCGCGGCATTTTCCCTGTAAATTCTCGCATAAAATGGCCCTTCTGTTTTGTCACGTCCAAGTGCATTTCAATTGTGCAGGCTTGCACAAAACGTGCGCCTAACGTCTGGGGCGCTCCGTTTTCCTCTGCTATAAACCATGCGCTTTTCGATTGCGCAGGCTTGCACAGAACGGGCGCCTAACGTCTCGGGCGCTGCATCTTTCCTGCAAATTTCACCAAAAATAGCGCTTGTGACATGTCCATGTGGATTTCGATTGCGCGGGCTCGCGCAAAACGGGTGTCGAGGTGTCCTGGGGGCGCCGCATTTTTTCTGTAAATTTCTGCGTGACATGGCTCTTGTGTGCATATCGACTGCGCAGGCTTACACAAAAGGTGCAGGGCATGTCTGGGGCGATATTTTCCTGTAAATTATTGCATAAAATGCTTCTTGTGTTTTGTCCAAGTGGATTTCACTTGCGCAGGCTCGCACAAACTGTTGGCCGATCGGTCCTCCTCCTCCTCCTCCTCCTCCTCCTCCACATCACCATCTTCTTCCTCCTCCAGGTCATCATTATCAACATCATCTTCTTCCCCCTTGCCATCATCATCCTCAACATCATCATCATCCACCTCCCCATCTTTCTCCTCCTCCACATCATTATTCTCCACATTATCATCCTCATCATCATGAACTTCCTCCTTCTCAACATCATCATCCTCCACCTTTTCATCCTCCACCTCATTTTCCGCATTATCATCCTCATCCTCATCCTCCTCATCATCATCTTCCTGAACCTTATCCTGCGCCTCATCATCCTCAACATCATCATCCTGCACTTCACCATCCTCAGCATCATCATCCTCAACATCATCGGCCGCAACATTATCACCCTCATCATCACCATCATCATCATCACCATCATCATCATCGTCACCATCATCATCATCATCCTCCTCCTCATCATCCTCAACATTATCAAACATTATCATACATCATGCTCACACACACACGCTGTTTCGGGGTCTCTTGCCAGTATATTTTTTGCATGTGCTGATGTTCAAATATTTTCTGTACGAATTCTGGAGTGTGTTTCCTTGTCACTTTGTGAACCTGGAAGGAATCTTGCCCACTGGCTGGGTTGATCCCACAAGCCTTCAAGCTGGCTCCCTTTGATCAAACTTCACACCAAGTGCACGTAATTACACGGTAGGGACCCCATACTGCGGGAAAGCAACGCTGTGGCAAGAAGGCTGCAAACTCACTGGAAACATGGCAGAATCAAAAGTGAGTCCCAACATTTTCAGCTTCAACGCTGCCATCAGTGCATGCAAGAAGGGCAGTCAATGGCAGCAGGCATTGAGCTTGTTCCACGCAATGCCCGAGGCAAGGATTAGTCCGGATGTCATTAGCTACAGTGCCACCATCAGTGCATGCGAGAAGGGCGGTCCATGGCAGCAGGCGCTTAGCTTGTTCCAGGCGATGCCCGAGGCAAGGAGTAGCGCGAACGTCATCAGCTACAGTGCAGCCATCAGTGCATGCAAGAAGGGCGGTCAATGGCAGCTGGCACTGAGATTGTTCCAGGCGATGCCCGAGGCAAGGATTAGTCCGGATGTTATTAGTTGTAATGCAGCCATCAGTGCCTCTGAGAAGGGTGGTCCATGGCAGCAGGCACTGAGCTTGTTTCACGCGATGCCCGAGGCAAGGATTAGTCCGGATGTCATCAGCTACAATGCAGCCATCAGTGCATGCAAGAAGGGTGGTCAATGGCAGCAGGCATTGAGCTTGTTCCAGGCAATGCCAGAGGCAAGGATTAGTGCAAATGTCATTAGCTATAATGCCGCCATCAGTGCGTGCGAGAAGGGCGGTCAATGGCAGCAGGCACTGCGCTTGCTCCAGGCGATGCCCGAGGCAAAGATTAGTGCGAATGTCATTAGCTACAGTGCAACCATCAGTGCATGCGAGAAGGGCGGTCCATGGCAGCAGGCGCTTAGCTTGTTCCAGGCGATGCCCGAAGCAAGGATTCGCCCAGATATCATTAGCTACAGTGCAACCATCAGTGCATGCGAGAAGGGTGGTCAATGGGAGGAGGCACTGAGCTTGTTCCAGGCGATGCTCAGGGCAAGGAGCAGTGCGAATGTCATTAGCTACAGTGCAACCATCAGTGCATGTGAGAAGGGCGGTCAATGGCAGCTGGCACTGCGCTTGTTCCATGCGATGCCCGAGGCAAGGATTAGTCCGGATGTCATCAGCTACAATGCAGCCATCAGTGCGTGTGAGAAGGGTGGTCAATGGGAGCAGGCACTGAGCTTGTTCCATGCGATGTTTGAGGCAAGGATTAGTCCGGATGTCATTAGCTACAGTGCAACCATCAGTGCATGCGAGAAGGGCAGTCAATGGCAGCAGGCACTGAGCTTGTTTGAGGCGATGCCCGAGGCACGGATCCGTGGGAATGCCATTAGCTACAGTGCAACCATCAGTGCATGCGAGAAGGGCGGTTCATGGCAGCAGGCACTGAGCTTGTTCCAGGCTATGCTGGAGGCAAGGATTAGTCCGGATGTCATCAGCTACAGTGCAACCATCAGTGCATGCGAGAAGTGCGGTCAATGGCAGCAGGCACTGAGCTTGTTCCAGAGGATGCCCACGGCAAGGATTAGTGCGAATGTCATTAGCTATAATGCCGTCATCAGTGCGTGCGAGAAGGGCGGTCAATGGCAGCTGGCACTGAGCTTGTTCCAGGCGATGCCCGCTGCAAGGATTAGCCCGGATGTCGTAAGCTATAATGCCGTCAGCAGTGCGTGCGAGAAGGGCGGTCAATGTGAGCAAGCACTGAGATTGTTCCACGCGATGCCCACGGCAGGGATTAGTGCGAATGTCATCAGCAATAATGCCGTCATCAGTGCATGCGAGAAGGGCGGTCAATGGCAGCTGGCACAGAGCTTGTTCCAGGCGATGCCCGCCGAGGTAAGGATTAGACCTGATGTCATTAGCCATAATGCCGTCATCAGTGCATGTGAGAAGGGCAGTCAATGGCAGCAAGCACTGAGCTTGTTCCAGGCGATGCCCGAGGCACGGAATAGCCTAGATGTCATCAGCTACAATGGAGCCATCAGTGCATGTGAGAAGGGTGGACAATGGGAGCAGGCACTGAGCTTGTTCCAGGCGATGCCCGGGGCAAGGATTGGCCCGGATGTCATTAGCTACAGTGCAACCATCAGTGCATTTGAGAAGGGTGGGCAATGGGAGCAGGCACTGAGCTTCTTCCACGCCATGCCCGAGGCAAAGATCAGCCCGTATGTCACCATTAGCTTCAATGCAGCCATCAGCGCGTGTGAGAAAGGTGGCCAATGGGAACAGGCACTGGCCTTGTTCCAGGCGATGCCGAAGGCAAAGGTCAGCCCGGATGTCATTAGCTACAATGCCGCCATCAGTGCATGTGAGAAGGGTGGTCAATGGGAACAGGGGCTGGCCTTGTTCCAGGCGATGCCCAAGGCAAAGATCAGCCCGGATGTCATTAGCTACAGTGCCGCCATCAGTGCATGTGAGAAGGGGGAACGATTTCGTCAGATGTCATTGGCTACAATGCTGCCATTAGTGCATATGAGAAGGGTGGTCAATGAGAAGAGGCACTGACCCTCTTTGAGGTAGTGATTGGTTTCCAACTGGATCCAGACATCGCTTCTTACAATGCCTTGTTGCATATTGAAATCTCCAGCCAGAGTCTGGGTGGAGACATGTTCCAAAATAGCTAGATTGCATCCAATCTTGACATCAGCAACAGCGTTTCAAGATATGAAGGTTGACCAAGTTGACCTTTCTGATATCAAAGAGCTCAGCTTGAAAATGCAGAGATGGCTTTCAAGCAGCTGGGTTGGAGCTTTTGTCCAGTATGGGCTTTGACCGCATGAGTCATCCCAATCCACCAATACATGCTGTTTATATGGCTATTTTTGTTTATTTATCTATTTATTTATTTATATTTTGATTTATTTATTTATATGATTTTATTTATTTTAAAAATTATTTATTTATATTTGTATTTATATATTTATTTTTTAAAAATAGTCTATTTTTTATTTGTCATTTTATTTTTTATTTATATATGTTTTATTTATATATTTATTTATTTGTTTATTCATTTATATATATATATAATTTATTTATTTATTTATTTTTTGATTAATTTATTTATCTTTTATTTATGTATTTATCTTTTTTTATATATTTTAATAGATTTATTAATTATTTAATGTTTTTATATTTTGATTTATTTATCTATGTATTTATTTTATATGTTTTTTCAATAAATTTATTATATATATATATGTATATATATATTTTTTTAAAAAAAAATATTTGTTCATAGATTTATTCATATTATTTATTTATTTTTGATTTATTCATTTCATAGAAATCCAGAGTGACTGCTTTCAGACTGACCCCCTTCGGGGGCAAAATCAACTCTTATCCACTCTTATCCACTCTTATCCACTCTTATCCCACTCTTATCGACTCTTATCCCACTCTTATCCACTCTTATCCAACTCTTATCCACTCTTATCCAACTCTTATCCAACTCTTATTCACTCTTATTCACTCTTAATTTTAAGAGTAATGTTCTTCACTCTTATTCACTCTTGTCCACTCTTATCCACTCTTATCCACTCTTAACAAATATGGTCGTTTTAGGATCAATGGGGTTTATCTTGATTTGAAATGGTGTATCAATGGCAAAGATTGTGGCTCAAAATGGATCTCAGCGAGAAAGATTGGGGTGCTCGGGTTGGCTTCAAGTTGACACTGGGGCCACCAATGTGTGTTGGGAGTGTTGACATGCTAAGAAACATATGAAATAGTCCTCGAAGGGGGTCACTCCCCCTGAAATGCATACCCTCTCATGGTTTAATGCCAAGCCAGGATATGGTTCAAATATTACTACCTTCCCATGGTTTTAAGGGAGTGACCCCCTCAAAAACAAGAGTTTTTGATAGTTTGGGGATATTAATCATTCAAACATGAATACCCTCCCATGGTTTTAAGGGAGTGACACCCTTAAAGACACGAGTTTTTGATAGTTTGGCTATATTAATCATTCAAAAATGAATACCTTCTCATGGTTTTGGGGGAGTGACCCCTTTCACCATTTGTTTAGTGGGAAATTGTAGTAAGGATGGCACATTGAAGCTCAAGAAGAGCGCTTCCAACAAATAGGAAGAACACCGACACATTTCAACTGAGTGGTGCAAAAAAACGTGGTGGTTTCAAGGTGACCTGGAGCCTGTGAAATCACATGAACTTTACCATTTTGCAATTTCAACTCTTATTCTTAAGAGTAAGTAAGAGTAAGTCAGAGTCAATAAAGCAAATAAGAGCAAATAAGAGTAGCAAGGGGGTCACCCCCAACACCATCACCTTAGCTTTCTATGATCATTTATTTATTTATTTAGTTTATTTATTTATTTAGTATTTCGTCAATGTTATTGATGTTGATGTGACCAGTGTCCTAGCAAATGCCCAGCAGATCGCCAGGAGTTGGAAGCCTTGCGTCGGGAGCTTGCTGCCATCTCGGCGGACAATGCCCAATTGCGCTCGGGGCTACACTCGGCCACTTGAAGTGTTGTGCTGTTGGGCCATAGGGAGGGCAGCTGGTCCGAAATGCCTTTCTGCCATGATCCAATGGTGCTGGTATATATAGTTATACAATGGAATACCATGTTTCTACATGACTGGATATGATTGTGCGATGTTGCAGGCGATTATTGGTAAATTAATTTCAGAATTTACGCCAGGTGGGATTTGACCTGAATCTATACTATAGATAGTGCGCCGCATGTGCGCCCAAGCCCCATAAATGATGGTCAGCCTGGCAGAAACCGTGAAGTTGATATAGTAAGAACATCATGTTTCGCACCACTTGGCACAAAGCAGTTGGCATCCTGGATGCCAAGAATGTCAAGTAAGTGTGACGTGGTCAGCAGTCACTGCTGTTTAGCAGCGTCGTTTGCTTTTGGCCTTGGGGGATGCCTGACATCTAAACCCATCCTTCTAGCTGCCAGCTGCCAGCTGCCACTTGCCACGCACCAAATCGCTCAGGTGATGGTCGCCTTGGATGAAGTGCAGCGGCAGCTGTGATGGCACTAGGGCAGCCACTGGCCGCGCCACAGATACTCGGCCAATATGATGCAAAGGTCATCATGCAGCAAAGCTCCGGAGATCTGCGCGGGTGCAGCGTGCTGATCAACACATGACATCACTTTTGCTTTATCCACTTGTTGGGAGGGAGCCAAGGGGATTAGGTCCATATTTTGTTGTAAGGTGGGGAACCAGGGAGATGTATAGTAGTAGTTACTAAGGCTTTCCCCACCACATGATATAGTTTCCTCCCAGTTGCTGGAAACCACCTTCCTTAGGAATATCGTCAGCTTCGCCCTTTGCTTGTGCCTCCACGTTACTGATGAAACCTCATGAACATCCAAATCAGCAATTTCTTTTGAGCCCTTTAGACCGGGTTCTTAGTTATATAATTCACAACCCCAAAACAAGTCCTTAGCTAATCTTTTACGTAATTTGTTGCCGTCAATGCATCCGCATGCTGACCCCTGCCCGCCTTTCTGGCGATTTGCCAATGCTTTCAGATGCTGTGAGCCAAAGGTGCGAAAAAAGATGTTGGGGGTGCAGTTGTGCAATGCTTGGAAGCTCTGATGATCTCTTGATCCTTCGCCTCAGCAGACATCCTTTGGAATCTATCACAAAAACTCCACATTTCGTTGAAGCCCTTCCTGAAAATAAAGGAATGATCACTAGTGATAGCCATCTGATTGGATCTGATATTGATATCGAGTCTTGCTTATATACATTCTCATGATTGTTGGTAGCATGTCGGTGGAATCAGTTCAGTGTTACAGAAAGGGATTCAAAGCCATTCTTTTCTGATGGCATTCGCAGCTATCACGAAATAGTGCCCTGAGTCTCGAAATCTAGTGTTTTTAATTTTCTGATGAATTATGCTAGTGATTTTTACTTTTTCTTTGGTAAAGTAAGTGTATTTACTAGCCAAGTAATTTTCTGTAAAAAAAACGAATAAGGCACGCATATAAAATGTATATTTGTTTTGAGTTTTTAGGTGTTTCGTGTAATTTGTTACTTTTGAAGTATGCTTTTCCTTATAGTGAGAGAGTCGCATGTATAAATTCTTGGCAATGTTGGCGTCTGAGCAATTGCCAAGCTATGCGCTCTCCGAATGGAACCGAACTTGCAAGCTCAAGGTTGGTCATTTGGAGCTGCAGCGCACCATCATCAATGCGGCTCACATGGCAATGTTTTGGAAACCGCTCTGATAAATAAAGTAACAAAAATAGAGCAGCTGTGATCATATTTTTGACACTTGTGTTGAACAAAAACTACAAGCCAAAAAAATACTGTCTTAGTAGATTAATTTACATGGCTAGTTTTTTGAAATTTTCCAGGCTAGTAAATTAATTTACTTGGCTGGTAAAATTTTAGTAGGCTTGTAAATTGCAAAAATGTTAGGTCCTAAAGAGAGAGACATGCAGCGTTCACCTGTGAATTAGGGAATATAGGAAAAATGGGACGAGAGAGGCATGCAGCGTTTACCTGTGAAAACACAATGCTTTGTGCATTTTGAAATAAGTTGTGAATTAGGGACAAGGAAAAAATGGGACGAGGGACACATGCAGCATTTACCTGTGAAAACGCAATGTTTTTTGCAGTTTGGAATAAGTTGCGAATTAGGGAACAGAAAAAATGGGCCGGGAAGCACGAAGGTTGCCCTTACCTGTGAAAAGACAATGTTTTGTGCAGCTTGGAATCAGTTGCGAATTAGGGACTGGAAAAAAATGGGACGGGAGACAGACAGGAGGCATTTACTTGTGAAAAGCCAATGTCTTGCACAGTTTGAATGGAATAAGATCAGCAGCATGTAGTGTGTGATGTTTCCACAACAGAGTTTGCAGGACCAAAAGATGTGAACACATCAGAGCGAGACAGTACACTTTGTGCTTCCCGTCCCATTATTCTTTTCCCTAATTCGCAACTTTTTCCAAACTGCAAAAAACATTGCGTTTTCGGGGGTAGATGCTGCATGTGTCTCTCGTCCCATTTTTTCCTTTTCCGTAATTCACAACTTATTTCGGAATGCACAAAGCATTGTGTTTTCACAGGTAAACGCTGAATGTCTCTCTTGTTCCCATTTTCCTATATTCCCTAATTCACGGCTAATTCGTTTGACCTGGCCCTGCCAATGGATTATGTCATTTGTGAAGTGCTGCTTTTTGTTTGTGAAAGAAAAATGTTTCTTTTTAAGGAGTTGTCTCATGCTGTTCAAGTTGCAAAATCCATTGGCAAGGCCACGTCAAACGAAGTAGTCGTGAATTAGGGAATAGGAAAAAATAGGACGAAAGAGACATGCAGCGTTTACCTGTGAAAACAAAAAGCTTTGCGCATTGAGGAATAAGTTGTGAATTAGGGAGAAGGAAAAAATGGGACGAGAGACACATGCAGCATTTACCTGTGAAAACGCAATGTTTTTTGCAGTTTGGAATAAGTTGCGAATTAGGGAACAGAAAAAATGGGCCGGGAAGCACAAAGGTTGCCCTTACCTGTGAAAACACAATGTTTTGCGCCGCTTGGAATCAGTTGCGAATTAGGGACTAGGAAAAAAAGGGACGGAAGACAGACAGGAGGCATTTACTTGTGAAAAGCCAATGTTTTGCGCAGTTTGTAATAAGATCAGCAGCATGCAGAGTGTGATGTTTCCACAACAGAGGCTGGAAACCAAAAGATGTGAACACATCAGAGAGCGAGACGGTACCAACTGGGGCGCGCGGCATGCCGCACACCGCAGTTGGTACCGTAGATGGACGAAATATTCAAACCCTTTTTATCCGGTACAACCCCCTCGCCCCAAAGTTCAATGTTAATGTAACCTGAAGTGCATTAGCCCCAATGGACGAAAGAAATCAAACCCCTAACATCACTTTTGGTAACACGCGCGCTAAAACATTAAAATTCTGGGGTGCGGAGTTCAACATAGTGCGTGTTGCAGGGTTTGAATATTTTGTCCATTTACTGCGGTTCATGACCCATGGCTGTCAGCCAACCCTCCAATGTCGCAGCCCTCAGCTCTCGGTGAGGCATCCAAGCGTGTTCGGAGCTGAGGTTGGAGGGGATGCATGGGATTGATGTCAGCAGCAGAATCGGGACCGAACCAACAATGATGTACAGATTTGCGGGGGGCCTGACTTGAGGACTCCCAGTAGGGTTTAACATCAACATAGGTGACTTGAGGAGATTTTGTTGCGGGGAAGTCTGTCACTGTCAGATCATGTCAGATCTGAATGATTTTTTTTCGGTGTTCCAGCCAATTCCCCTCTTATTTGTTTCTGTGGAGAAGCCACCAGACTTAAGGTCTTGCTGCAGGTTGACCTGGCGGAGTATTTGTGAGGCACCTGGGGAAGGGTGGGAGATGTGTTAGTCTTGGGGAGGTAAAGGATGTAAAGAGAGTAGGGAATAACAATAATAAATAATAGTAATGGTAACTCAATAACAATAACACAAAGAAAAGTAGATAAATAAATAAATAAATATATATATATTTTTTTTATCTATCATATAATGGGAAATAGTGGGCTGGCATAGAGTCTTGAAACGTGAATCGGACAAGATCAAAACCAGCCTAGACTTGCCAGTAGAAAGAGCGGGATATGTTTTCGACGTGGTGTTCTCTGAAACGCGGGGCTCCCAGGATTTTTTCGACGTGGTGTTCTCTGAAACGCGGGGTTCCCAGGAATTTCAGGAAGGTAGCCAGCATTTGCTGGCCATGTTGGTTTCCAGATGCCATCAGAGTAACGCGCGATTCACCCCTGTGGGTCAAGCCTTAATTGGGGTACTCAAGGTGGCCAAAGTTGTGCTTTCATATCGTGATCTCAGTATAATCTCAGTTGACAATTAGCCTTCGTCGTCGTTGAGAACTGAACATGTGATCACATGTGCCCACGTAAGGCTAATTTACGGCTGCTTGACCTTATATAGGTGTTCTTGCTGTGCAGGTGCTTGGAACGTGCAGACATGAGGGGAAAACTTCAACTTGTACAGTGGCCTGCAGCTGGGACTATGAGGGCCACAGGGTGGTGACATGACTCATCACGACTCTATGTTTTGTTGATTGAGGTTATTCGTCGCCACGACTTATTTTGTCTTGGGGTTGCTTGCTTAGAAAGATTTGCGATGGCACAATGATTATAACGTTAAAATGAAAGGTTTTGAATGCCTCCACGAATTCCAAATATTTCTCCCCCTCAGTTAGAATGCGGCACGCGCACGGCAAGTTAGAATGCCTCACCACCCGGGTTTTAAGTTCTTGACACAGAGGCATCCCAAAATCAGTCAGTGAGCGATATATTTTCCTCAAAATTGCTGTGTCTTAGGGGAATGTATAACATAATGTTGTATATATATATGCATATTATCAAAGGAAGTTTAGAAGTCTAAACTCCGTTTTACGGACAGTGGAAATGTGACATCATCACATCCCCAGAACAATACACCACCACAACAATACATCACCACAACAACACATCATCACAACAATGCATCACCACAACAATACATCACCACAACAATACATCACAAGGTGCTTTTATCGCAAAAAGTGACTCCCGGCAGCCATGTGGGGAAACTTGTTTGTGCGACGGGTGCGGATCTATTTCGTTTGGCACCCGGGTTGTCCCCATCGTCAGCACTGCGCGGAGGTGATCTTTGAAAGATTGAATGCGCTGTGCTGTGTTTGGTGATTCAGGCTTGCAGTTTTTATTGGAATGGCTGCTCCGACGCTTCGTCCAGGTGATGCTTGGAGGATAGAAATCGCAGGAAACCCCATGTTTTCTAGCATAAAGGGACTCCCGGCGGCGATGCGCCCTGTTTGCGCGACGGGCGCAGCTCTACTTCGTTTGGCGCTCGGGTGGTCCCCATTGTTAGCGCTGCGCGGAGGTTATCTTTAAAACGTGTTCTGTGCCATCGTGTTTGGCGATCCAGGCGTGCAGTTTGCATTGGAATGGCTGCTTCCATGCTGTTTGTGTTTGCAGTCTTGGTTGAGGCAGTTCTTTTGCGCTTTGCAAGGCGGATCGCAGTGGAATTGCCTCGTCAAGGTGACGCTGGTGAGGATGGAAACGCACGAAGTAGTACTTGGAAACTCTGTGCAAGCTTTGTAGTACGAAGTAGTACTGGGAAGTACTTTGTGCAAGCTTTGTTGTTGTACAATTATTGTGCAGTTTTGTAGTACACAGGATGAATTTGTTCGCAGGTACGAAAATGTCAAAAGAAAGAGACGCCAAGAGGAAGACATGAGAATGAAAGAACACCTCAAGACAAAAGAGTTGTCAAGACAGAAATTCTCAAAGGAAAACAATTTAAACTAATTTTAATTTTAACAGAAAGAGTTCTCAACAAAATGTGAAAACAAAAGGAAACAAGAAAAATGGTGCCAAGCGAAAACCGTGTCAACAGAATGGGATGTGGAGAAGAGAATGTCAAGAGAAGAAGGTGTCAATAAAAAGGGATTTCAAAAGATAAGGATGCCAAGAGAAAGAGAGCTGAGAAGACATCGGTTTCAAGAGACAGCGGTGACATCAGAAAAACATTGTCAGGAGAGAGGCGTGTGTGAAGTCTCGAGCTTCAAAACTGTCAACAAGAACAGCTGTCAAGATTCAGAGATGCGAAGGGCAAACCGGATCAAGAGAAAGTGGCATCATCAGACAAGAATGTCAAGAGAAAGAAATTTCAGGGAGAAAGAGTTCCGAGAGATGACGCAGTCGACAGCCGTGACAACCAGGCGGTCAGGCGTCGTTCCTATAGGCCCTCCCTTTTCTTTATAGCCCCCCTTTCGAAATTTCCGTCACTGAGTCACCCAGTTTGCCCGGGTTTTACTGCCAATATAACTTATTTGTATTTCTTTATTTGTTGGTTTTAAAGTATATATACAATAAGACACCTATGTTGGCATGTCACCATGTCACCACCCATGGCAGTCATCCTGAAGTTGTCACTTGCAGAGCGTCATTTTCATCAACCCAATGGAAAATTAAAAATGAAAGTTGAAATGTTTTGCAAATTGATGGAATTTATTGTTTGTACTTGTACCTGCTTGAAATGTCATGACCTGTTCAAACCTATTTGGGCCTTTCTGGGCTTATTTCCAACCAAGTCGGCACTAAAGATCAAGGCCACTTTGAGATATCGGTGCATTTGGATGTGGATGCTCACTCATTCCAACTTCATGGCTTTTGAAGGAAGATGTCCTTCCACTCAATCGACCCAGACCGGCCGCCAGGTTCAAGCAGTGAAGAAACCAATTGTTGGCACAATGTGTTCCATCTCAAGCCCTTCATGTGTGGTTATTTGTGAAGTAGGAACAGGTGAAAACTTTGAATGGAAAAACGCAGTCAGTCTTTCACAAAACCCATTCCAAATGTGTCAGGCAGTCTCTATCTATTTGGTAATTTATTCACTGCAACATGTCAGCCATGGCGTGCCCCATGGCCTCTCTGCAAACACTGCCCGCAACGGGTGGAAGGCAGCTGCAGGTAGGGCACCATGAAGCTTGGGCACAGTGGCCGAAGCAGATGTTGGGAGCAACCTTGAAGCACGTAAGGTAGCCAGGGTGGAGCGAATTGGCGGTCCTTCAACCAAGAACCAAGCAGAAAGTCTGCGTCAAGGTCCACTGAAGTTGATGTTGCCAGTAGAAGTGAAGATTTCCCTTTGCCATGATGGTTGACTAAAAAAGTCCTTTTGTCATTAAATACTTCCCATATCGGACCCAAGAATCAAGAAATCATAGATCCGATGGCCTTATCTTCGGGGGATGTCACCTCCCAGGTCAGCCGTGCCACCTGCACCTTGCTCCTGACCCTCGCCACGGCGTCGTTCCGCCGGCAGCGCTGTCAGCGCTACAGCCTGGGCCTGGCGTCGCCCAAGGCGCTGCAGCCGGCGGCGCCCGAAGGCGTCAGCAGTGGACAGGTGGAATTGCCGGATTTTTGGCAGTACGCAGCCACCTTGGAAGAGGCTCCGGGACTTCATGGGACTCCAGTGTCCAAATTGTGTCTTTGGGTGAAGAAAACTGGAAATTGGGAAAATTTGTAGTTCAACCAACCATATGCTAGTATTTTGGAGGGGGCTCCAGTCGTTGTCTTCATTTTTGGTGGTTTATCTGGAACCGTTCAACAGTATTTTTTGGAAGATTTTCCGTTTCTTTTTGCAGGTTGGTGGTTTCAAATTTGAGTGGAACATGTCAAAAGGACTGGATTTGGGATGTGCTTCAAACATTTCAACTATAATTGGGATATATTTGGGACAATGATCCCTATAATTGAGAAACGGACATTTTTTTCTTTTTCTGAGGGGGTGTTGGAAACCTGGTTGTTGGTTTCGAGCAGGACTGAACCAAGGATGATGATCATCCACTGTGACTTTATCAGATGGGTTGAAACCACGAACCATTTGGGGGATCTGAGGAAGTAACTGTTGTTGATGTTGGTGAGATGTCGGTCGGAAGTAGGTTTTTGTTTGCATGGGTTCCTCTCGCAGACAAGGGGTTAAGATCTGGGGGCAGGATGTTGCAGTTCGCTTCTGGGTTGTTGGCACTAGAACTGCAACTCAATAGACGACAATTGTCACAGAAGGTCACAGAGAAGTTGTGATATCACCCTTTGAAGGATAGTTTCAGTTAAGATTGAACATATGTGGACAACAGGTCATTCCTGCCACGCGTTCCATCCGCAGCCATTCGGCCCTAATTCTGGGTCTGGCACCCCAAGTTTTTTTTTCTATGCCGACATGTTTTCAGCACTTTTGTGCTGAATGGCGGCGTGCTCGCCGGGTGGTGCTCCTACATGCGCTGGATTTAGAGACCAAGAGGGAGCTTGCGGCAGTGCTGGCGGGAGATCATGTAGTTGGCTGTGATGGGCCATTGGCAGAGAAGTTGGCTGCTGATTTGCTTAGCAATGAGTTGGTGTGTTGAAGGTTTTTACATGTTTTTAGCGTTGTACCCTACCAAAAAAACATCAGATAGTGACTCTGCATGTCCTCGATTTTGCTTTGTTCCGATTTTCCCACTTGCTGTCTTCCTCGCGGTTGGCATTTTAGTATTGAGTATATACAGGCTCAAAAGTTTCCTAAATTCAAGCCTCTCCACTCGAAAGGAATGGTGTGTGCGTGTGTGCTCCAAGCATGCTTGGGTGTTGAGATAAACCAACTTACCACTTAAATATTTAAATCAACTATTGTCATGTCAACTGCACATGGGTTTCTTTCTTGCTCAAATTCCTATGGATGAACCAACTCTTGTTTCTGCTTGATTTCAAGAATTCCAATCCAATTCATCCAATGTTTTGTTGACCCAGCTTGCCCAGCACCCAGCCCAAGGTTCGCCATCGGATTTTGGCACGCGGACTTTGATGAAGCCATTCCAGCGCGGATGTGGCTGGCACAGAATGGGGCACAGGCCAGTGGCAACACGGACGAGGCAGGTCGTGGATGGGGTGAGAAATATGGAACATATTGGATTTGATTGGATTTGTTTATTGATGTTTATATCTATATACAGTGTATATGTGCATATATATATATATACATGTGTGTGTATGTGTGTATGAATGTATACGTATAACCAACAAAATACATGGAAATTTACATATATATTGTTTATTTACATATATACAACCCATTAAATTCCAATTGGTAGTTATACAATATCCGGGCGATGGAGAGAGAGAGAGAGAGAAATTATACAATATCCCAGTTATTGGATTTAACTTAAAGTAACTGTAACTATTTAATTAGAATATTAAATTTCACGAGCTCCTGGGATTTTGTGATTTTTAGGGAATATTGGATATCAAGGTCAAGATGCAATATGTGGTGCAGTGTACGCGCACAAGGGTGGCACCAAAAAACTTAAGCGTCATGGTTTGCACGGGTTTGCACTGGATCAGCCTTCCATAAATGGAATTGGTCCAATTAATCGTTCAGAAAAAATGAAACGGTCGGAAACGGTCGGAAACAGTCGGAAACGGTCGGAAACGGTCGGAAACATGATCAGTCCAAAACTTGTCCAACCCGCATTTTTTTTAAAATAAGCATTTCCGCGCAATGCCGTTTTTTTTTTTGAAGGTCCAAAGGTGTCCAAGGGGAAACGGTTGGAAACAGTCGGAGATCGCACCTTCGCTCGGCAAAAAAATAGTTGTTTTGTAGCATATCTTCATGAAAAATGTTTGAAAATTGTGTAAAAACATGTCTTTTTTGCCAACGAAGGTGCGATCTCCGACTGTTGCCAACCGTTTCCCCTTGGACACCTTTGGACCTTCAAAAAAAAAAAACGGCATTGCGCGGAAATGCTTATTTAAAAAAAAATGCGGGTTGGACAAGTTTTGGCCTGATCATGTTTCCGACCGTTTCCGACCGTTTCATTTTTTCTGAACGATTAATTGGACCAATTCCATTTATGGAAGGCTGATCCAGTGCAAACCCGTGCAAACCATGACGCTTAAGTTTTTTGGTGCCACCCTTGTGCGCGTACACTGCACCACATATTGCATCTTGACCTTGATATCCAATATTCCCTAAAAATCACAAAATCCCAGGAGCTCGTGAAATTTAATAAATTAGAACATTGGAATTCATAGGATATATAACCAACATAACTAACTACATTCATTTTGTGTGTGTGTGTCTGAGAATGGGCCCCCAGTTATGTTATTTTTTTATGGGGATAATGATTATGATGATCAAATAGTCGATGGAATGGGGTGCGTTCAGACAACCGCGTTGAGAAAATGATGATAAGCCAGGGGCGTTGCAAGACCCGGGCTTGAGACAAAGGGGGATAGAAGTTTTTCCCTCGACGAAAAAACACCGGGAAGCCACTTCATGACATTTCATGACACGAAGGTATGTGGATGCCAGATATCAGTATATTACCTTAATACGGTCCCAATGCCAATGGGTTTCGTCACCTGCATTTTTCCGAGCTGCCAGTGGCCTGTAGTCTTTGAGTATCTTCGAATCTTCATCACAGGTGGACACCAACGATGGAGATGTGCCACAAGACGACTTGCCTCCAACCAAGTCTCAGAATACACGTGTGAAGTCAGGCGACCAGCCAGAGTGGGGTGCTGCAGACAGTTTGATACATGTGTGCGGTGTTTTCCACTTGTTACATCATATGTTACAAAATGTTACAACCATGAAATTCAGATAAGAGACATTATGGTCAACAAGTGGGTTTGAGGCAGCCGCCAGGCAGGACGTTTACGATGTTTACGCGTGTAGACTGGCAGCCTGGACCATTCCGGGAGGATGGAGACAACCCAACTGATGGTTTTTTCACCCCAAAGCATTGGTTTCCCGAAACGGTTTCCCCATTAAAGAGGACCAATAACGTTTGAAGACCCATATAGCCAACATTCCACGGGTATTCCATTAAATAATCCCACTACAAAATGACAAAGCATATCCATATCCTAATGGGCATTTACTGTAAATGCCCAAGTCATCTATACGTTGCCATGTTGAATCACACATCAATTAATAGTCCGTTCATATTCCAGTAAATCCCCATTACGTTGATCTACTTTTTGGAAATCGTTGATATTCTATGAATAAATATTCCAAACAGTAAGCCATCAATATTATTCAGAAGTTCCTAGGCTAATGGAATATGACTGGTTGCTCATGAACTATTCATATGGAATATCCATAGATTAAATGGGTATGGGTCAATACCTATTAATACCATTTTTAGTGGGATGAACATCCATTTACCAGCTATTTTGGGGTTCACTAGGGGTACCAGGGTTTTGACCCATCCCCAAATATTTCCATGAATATCCATTAGTATTCCATGAAGAATCACCATTTCAGGTGGACTCTCACAGGGTTTGCGCAGCTTCGCGCGGGGACCTGCCAAGAAAGGAGAATTCGATCGTGACTTGGCCCGGAGATCGTACCGAAAGATAAGGCAGCTGTGAAAAGGATAGAACATGGGAATTCTCCTGAATCGTACTGAAATAAATATGTAAATTTAAGCTGTTCCTAATTGTTCCTATCCTTCTCTTTGTGTATATTATATACCATAATTTCATTTAGATATATTTAATAGAACCTTTTATCGAATGTTTTTCTATTTGTCTCAAATACTGTAATTACATAGTATAACATGATAACATCAATTAGAGATACACATTGGATTCTCAATTTTTCTCCTTTGCATCAAAGAATTCCCTTTGATTTAGTTGTGTACACATCCAGTCAATCTCGAATTCAAGCCACTGGCCTACGCCAAGTGCCGGCAAGTCGACTCCAGGTATTCAGTCAGGTGGCCCCTAAGAGAGGGGATGATATGGGATGATGCAAGCCTCCATCCTCCCAATCAGCCCCTGAAAATTCTACCAGTATGGGACAAAATAAGGGACCCAAAATGAACAGAGAGAGACACCAAAACACCAAACGTTTTCTTCCTGGGTTGCTTCTACTTCCAGTGCTCAAAAAATGTCCAAGAGTTCTTCACCGTGTTTGGAGACCCTGTAGGAATGATATGGGGGTCTAATTCCAAGGAGGATACTGGGTGGTACCCTCCAGTGAATTATAAGTTGGTCTATAATCACCTTTAACTAAGTTAACCATGAACTATATATACATAACTAGTTTTCCCATTTATAATCCCCATTAACATACATTAACTGTGTATATATATGTATATATATAGACTATCCGGTCAAAGTATATACAAACCCAACTTCTTTATGAACTATTGAGTTCATGCTGTGAAAAACCAAACTTCTTTGTGGGTTGGTAGACTGACAAAATGTGCCAACCCAACTTCTCAATGGCATTTTGTGTCCATCGTGCTTGTTTTTTGTTGTGGTCTGGATTGTGGTGACTGTTAGTGTAAGGGGGGACAGTCCAATATATAGTTAGATAGATATAACATGATTCATAGCCTCACACCATTCATCCGGACGAGGTGAAAGCACCGTTTCCTGGACGGTCACATCGGTGATGAGCAACAACAATCCGCGCCCGTGGCTTGGGGCTTAGTAGGGAATGGGATGATGAATTCCCCCATTCCGTACTAAGCTACTAAGCACCAGTAAGAAAAGCAATCAAAATGCCAAGGAAAGTTTCGGTTTTTTTTGGAATATGATGGAATATGTTTTCCATTTCCTATTCATCCCACATAGCACCAGACGTAGGCTTAAGTTGGCTCAAGTGGGAAAATAGGATCATATCAGCGTGTTGAGTGATGCCATCCAGAAAAATCACATGTGATAACTACTCGTCTTTGTAGTCCAAATTGATATTGCTTCCATGAAATGAAATGCAATCCGGCTTAAGAATCGGGTCTAAGAAGCTGTTTATCAAGTTTTCTCATGCCCCAAGAGTCCTCACTGCAGGGGGTTTACGATTCAATCCCTTGTTACCTTTGGGATCGACCCCCGAATTCCCATGAATTCCCATGAATTCCCATGAATTCCCATGAATTTCAGCGAGGTTTGGTGCAAACCAACTGGTTCCTGCGGAGCAAGCCTTGCTATTTCGCAACCCTGAGCATCCCATGGCCCACTTCCCGGACGAATGTACCTTGGACACCACGGGTATCGCCACGGGTATCCATGGGGGGGTCATGGCTTGGGCTGAACATGTCATGTTTCGGATATGTTTCGGGAGCCGAGTCTTGGTCAGATTGCAGAGTATTGCAGGCAGCAAGGATGAGTTCGTCCAGCTGATGAAGAAGAGCTTGATGGCCGAGCAGCTCTTTGCTGAAGGTGTTGGGCCCAATCAAAAGATCGAGGAGCCCGGGGCCACCTAGGAGTTGCACAAACCAACCATTGGCAGATGCTACGTCTGCTGTATTTTGATGGACTCCCTGAGAGCTGACATAGCATTGACATAGCTATATTTTCGGCCAGCACTTGTGCTATGCCCCAACGTTTTTCGGGTTTTGGTGACCTTTACTGTACTTTGTCGTTTTCTAATGCTTTCTACTTTCTACTATTTGGGATCTAACAACTCGATGGCTCTGGGTCAGCTAACACAGAGACGTCGTTGATCTTCCAAACCTGGTTTTCATCACTTTTTACATCCGGCAGAAACCCTAAAAAAGATCCTAGAAACAACCTAGACCTAGAAAAATGCAAAATTAACCCGAAACAAACCATAACTGAACCCTAAAGAAACCCTACATACACTCAAAAAAAAACTATGAAAGTGTAGATAATAGTGGAGGGGCGCAGCGCACGCGCTGCGGGTATATGTTGATGGGGTCAAGTGTACAACAACGATTAACTACAACCCATTTCATCCATTTCACTGGGGGCTTCCTTATCTCTATTGTGCTTGAAGTTATATTTGAACTGTGGCGTTTCGACTCATGCTATGCGGCCTACTTTTTTGGAAGGTTGGTTTGGGTTTTGAATGGCTCTCTCGCAGCTGCCCTGCGGAAATCCCACAGGGCCACGTTGAGAGGACATCCCCATCGCTGGTGTCCAAGATGCTGAAGATCTTTATGAGGCCTTGCTGATTCATCAGCAGATTTGCCGGCTGACCTTAGGCCTCTTGGCAATCTGCATGGGGCCAACTTCACTCAATTCATCCCGTTGTTTTCCAAGCTTGTGCCCCCAAAAGCCCAGCTGCCTTGACGAAACTCAGGTTCCATGTTGCAGCTGGGGCGGACGATGGATGATTTGGTGAAGAGGTGGATGGTCTTGACCAAGTTCAGGCAACTCATTGACACTTGGGGCGCAGCCAAGGTTCCACCATTGGTTAGGTTCCACCATTGGTTTGAAGATGAGAATCTCCAGACACAGGCTACGGCCATTATGCCATGGTAACATGATTTGGACATATGTGTTGCACGCGGTGCACATGATGTTCTTTGCCAAAGGAATTGTTGACGATAATGTCCAGTGGGCATTGTCATTTGCAAAGAAATGGATTGGCCCAAAACATTCCTGTCAAATCGCACCGGAAATCACATGAAACATTTGCTTCTGACTGGGCACTGCAAGTTGTTGGCTGCTATCTGGTCATTTTCTATGTGTCATCATGCGTCATCGTCCCTCCAGCATGTAATATCATGTAATCATATCCAATAGCTGGGCCCCCCCCACACCCAGTGGCTTTGATGTGCCCCCTAGCATTTGACGGTCACGATGCAAGGCCATGTGAAGGAATGTTTGGCATGGCAGTAAGCCGTCCCATTTGCCGGCTATTGTGACTCCCAGACCCACTTGGAAATCTCCAAAACAGCGTTAGCCCTTCAGAAAAGCTCCTCCAAATTCACCTTTAGAACGTTGCAATGGAAACTGGCTCACTTGCGGATGACTTTCCATGACTTTCCCCACATAGAAAATGGGGGCTGTTTTTTTGGGTGCCAATCATATTGACCATTTTTGATCTATACCCAGTATGGTCGGTATGAAACTTAGGGTCTTAAGATGTCTTAAGTTTTTATCCAATCCCCAGAAATCCTCCACTGATTCGCCCAGGAGAGGGACACGGCGACCATCAGCACCTTCATTCAGCTCCCCGGTGTGCAACTCTCAACTGAGTTCACCACAGGGCCAAAGTGTAGAGCCTATCAGGTCGTTGAGTTTGTTTGGGTAACGATGTGGAACACATCAATGTCAGAAAAATTACAGGAAACCAACCTAGTTCATAGGAACATCCATGGTTTCCGGTGAAGATTTCCCCCTAAAGCAATCCAGAAATATCTTCAACGGTTGACTTCAGCCCTTCCAAGGACCTATTTCTTGAGCCCCAAAGTGAAGCACATCGAAGCTTGGCGCAACTCATAGCCCTCGCATGGAGGTAGATACAACATTATATAACTTAACCAGCAAGGATAGCAAGCCAACAAGAGGTGGACATCTGAAAAAACTGCATATGTAGATATCTTAATATTATATATATATATAAATTATATATCATATTTCTATCATTATCTATCTATGTAGTATGGAATGTGGATTGTTTGGGTCTGGTGCCAGGGTCCAATGGCATGCCGTCGCTATGGCCTAGCCACCGGCCATCGAGCCCGTTTCGTGCAGAGGGAAGATTTGCTATGGTTAGCTCACTTAGAATGTCTTAGAATCATGTTATTTAGTGTTATTATGTGTTATTTATATATTTTATATTGCAATATATAGTCATATGGTGCTGATATATTGTCTTGCAACAATCTGTTCTATCTGTTCTCAATCCTTCGCAGCTTTGGGTTGAAAATCCCAGGACTCCAATGAGATCTACCACTTTTTCCGTGGAGGTCCAGGTCTGAGAGATATCAGCCCGGAAGATGCGCCTCGCATGCGGACAGGTTAGCGGTTAGCGACCTCCGGTGATTTCACAGTTTGGTATGGAAAATGGCCCATTGATAGACGATAAATATGAAGAAATATGATTTATCTATCAAAAATGGTGATGTTCCGCCGTAGCTATCTTTTTTATAACTGGAGGGTATGGTCTGTCGGTAGTTTTGGGAGTTCCCTTCAGTTCCATCAGCCTTTTGGCAAAGTAACATAGCACAGCTATGGGAAAAAACTGAAAATATATAGACAAATTAATAGCTATATATGTTAGCTACTATATAAATGGGCTATAAATCGGCTGTAAAATGGGTTTATTTCTCTAGCTATATCTTTGTTTACCGGGCAGGGCGACATGTTCCGTTGAGTTTCTATACACCGAGCCGAGGTCCTATCCGCCCTAGATGAGGATGGCGATGGAAAGGTGGATCTGCAGGCGGGGATTCAATGTCCAACCCCAGGGATGGCAACGGGCAGCTTGCAGCTAGTTATAAAATGTTATAAAGTTGGTTGATTAAGGGTGATTAAGTCCTATTATACTATAACCCCAGAAGGGTTTACTAAAGGTGGAGACCTCAGTTCTCCCGGTGAGTCGAGTCGGCGACTTCACCGCCAGGAGTGTCAAAGACAGCTGGGACTCATTTCACCGCCTCGTCCCAGCTTATTGGAGTTAGACTCTCGCTGGGATCATCCGCTCCCGCCAACCAATTGGGACCACAGCTTTTGGATGGGCCATGGGTGATTTTGAGCAAGAAGCATCCTTGTTTTGGGGTACCCAATGTTGATCCATACCCAAATCATCCCATACTAATTCATTACAGTATTGTTCAATGGTTGATTAAGTTCTGTTGACATTTGCATGACATTTGTTTGACATAGCAAGAGTTCTTGATATATGACATTGCGTGTTACTGTTTTCTTTTATTATTAGCTGCTTTCCACAGGAACAAACATCCACATGTCATACTTTGGGATGATCAGATGGACAAATGAGCAGATGGATAGATCCTGATAGATCCTGATAGATCGATTCCATTGGGAGAACCCAAGAATTGTGTGAAAGCCTACCGGAATTCCTATGATTTGCGATGTAAAACATGGTTTCGTTCAAATCTGTGACTCCTAAATTCCTTGCCCATTGCTTCATTTGGATGAAACTTGACTGGGGTACGCTCCGATAATGTAGCGTAGCTATGGACAATGGCCCATTTATAGTTGATTTACCTATACAAAGATATGATCCATAGTGATTTTCCATAATGGAACAAAAATTACGGATCACCAGGCCCACCGTGCCCACAGTTTGCCATGCTGCCACGACCCAGGGCAGTCAGTTGGAGCTGAAACATGGCCTGGGCCGTAGTGCCATTAGCTCAGCGGTGGCTAACCCAGCAGCCCTCTTCGAGCACTTGTGTTCCTGGGACGCAAGGGTAATGTTAACCCAGGATTTCTTGGTGTCTATATGTGTCTATATAATGCTGTTTCATGGAGAAAGTATGGTTATCCCATGTTATCCCACATTATCCAGGTTGCTAAACCCCTGAGTTCTTGTGGTTTTTAAGGTACGGGGTACCAATTTTCATCCAGGCACTGTTGAGAAGGTGAGTCCTCCACCGGAAGACGTGGCGCGGCTCTTCCGGGCCTTGGCAGGGCCGAAGGGAAGCAAAGAGATCAGTGGCTTGATCAAGATGGTCAAGATTTGGGAGATTTTGATGGGATTTCACATGGTTGAACCTAGAACCTCACCCCACATCTAGGGATTTCATGGGAGCTGACTAGCCAAGATGGGTGATTTTGATGAACACCTTGGTATTTAACTAGCCAACCAATGGGGGATTTGACATTCCAATGTTATTTAACTACCAAAGATATGGGGATGCAAACTAGAACCGGGAATTTATATAGTCACAAAAACTGAGATTGTGGGATATATGTATTGTATATATATATATATAATGGCATATTATCGGATAATTCATTACATATAGGGGCAACATTGGAAATTTTCACATAGTGCCATATCATGGGATTTCACTCACCAAAATGATGATTCCACATTTTTTTAGCCAGGATGGTGAGGGTTGGGTATGGCATTGAAATCCAAATGCGATGCATTTCAGAACTTCATTGGCCTGCCAGATATTATTAACCCATCCCAATGGTGAAAGTGAAAAATTGGTGTGCCTGGACTGGGGGCTGATGGGGGCTGCCGCCATTCCCAGAAATGATGGCAGAGCCATGCCGAAACGAATGGTGCGGTTATAAGAGTTGGTTGGAAGCACCAACCCCTATAATCCTATACCTCTTTCGACTTCACAGGGTCGTATGCTGTTGCATTAGGTCCAGATCAGCATTTGAAAGCTGCAGAGCCACCAGCTTTTGAGGCACTGAAAGCTTGTCTTACATTCTGCGCCAGCCGCCCCTAGATGTGCTTTGGGGAATGGAAGTGCATTTTGCACCTGCCTTATATGATGCCTTGGCCTGTCGCATGCTGCTTGGCCGAAAGTTGGGGATCAAGCATCCACCAAAATGCTCCACACTTTTTGTGTTTTCAGATGTTTGTTGACTTCTCATCGTCAATTGCGAAAAAATGATATAACATGATCCTCAAGCGATCTATTTTGGTTTTGGATATGCTGAAATCAACAAACTGGTCGTTCCACTGGTCCATTTTTCCCAAACAACGACGCTCTTTTGGTGCGCAGGTTGACTGTGGAGCGCAGCCGACGCGGGGATGCGATCCTGCCTGGGGAGGTGGGGCGAGATCTCGGCCGGAACATCGGCCCAGCGATGTTCCAAAATAGCCTCGGGATCCCTCGGGTATGACTAACATAGCCATGGAAAATTGTCCATTTATAGATGGTTTACCTATTAAAAATGGTGATTTTCCATGTTTATGTTAAATAACCAGAGCACATAGTAATTAAATGTAGACCATTATATATGTCGTGTGGTGAACCCAATGAATAATGAATGAATATTTTACCATCCCCAAGAACGAGGTTTCTGAAATTGGGTGGGTACCCGTACATTTGGGATGACAAACAAATCTCCCAGCGGCTACAGGCCTTTGTCCAGGGTGACGTTCCGGACAACGATGAGCTGTCCCGGCGCTTCCAGTTTCTGTGGGACAGTTACGGCACCAATCTGGTGGGTAACTTGGTCGAATGATCCAACAAAAATCATCGAAAATCCCAACGATCAGTTGGATATAGTTACTATATATGTTCTTGGGGCAGTTTAAGATATTTGAGGTAATCCCAACACCCCCCAAGGTGAAAAACACCCCCTGGAAACCATGGTGTATCTAGGGAATTTCCACACAATTGGGACCTTTTTCTGGGGGTGTTTGATATTGGGGGGATGGGATTGGGGATCCGCTGGATGACACCCTGGCAGCCTGTAGGATAATGGAACCCCAGTCCCTAGGCTACTACCCAGAAGCACTTTCCCATACAAGCTCAGCAGGTTCAGACATGGAAGTGGTATGGGCAGGTACGGTAAGCTTATAGGAATCGGGGGTCCTGGTCAATTTGCCTAAAGCACTGTAGGGTTGGCGAATGAATTTGTGTGAGAATCTGAGCTTTTCATGAGCAAATTCCAAAGCTTCCTACCACTTTTCTCAAGAGCCGTGATGGACCAGCCAAGCAGATTTCAAACAGTCAGTATAACATAACTATCTCCGAATCTTGGGTAAAGGTCGTTTTCCCTCAGCATCTGAATTACGTTTTTTTGGCCAAAACTCTTCAGGTAGCGTCAATCCACAACAAGCGGCAAAGTTCCGGGAACATTGCTTCCTCAGATATCAGTGCCTTGGTAGAACCGGAAGAATTGCATTGCGAACAGTCACACGATGGAATTCAACTGTGCCAGTATGTGTATTTCTTGTTTCCCTGACGGGTTTGGTTGATTCTTGGTCATATTGATGTTTTGGGGAATGATATGGAACAGTTTATGAAATAAAAACAATATATAAATATGATATGTGTTCTTCACATTATATTAGTTCATTATAAGTTTATATATATAATATGTTTATTATATTTGTTTATTATAAGTTTATTATATGAATATAATTGAATATAATACTGGTTTATTCATAGTTCACATGGTCCTGTGTTCAGATCTCCAGGTCGCATGCGGAGCAGATCGCCATGTGGAGATCGAATCACAGCGGAGAGCTGCGGCGGGGGCAACTGGCCCCTTGGCACCGCAGGGGACCATCAGGGACCTAAAGAGCTGAGCTGCGTGGTATAGCAACATGAATAGCAAGTAGTTATTCAGGAGTCTCACTTCAGATGTGCTAATTATAGATGTATTTTTTAATGTAATTATAGATGTAATATGATGTAATCCGTGATCTTCCAAGTTTTGAGATTAGAAAATTACATGAAACGGAGTCGTAGGATGTCATAGGAGTTTGATGTAACCAGATGTGACTTGATGGCCGGTGCCAGGTGGGTGTGCACAAGTCGCTGTTCCCGAGCATTGGAGATGTGATTTTCACGGCATCTTGTCGTGCCTGGGACCTGAAACGATTTGGGGCCTGGCTGGAGAAGTTGTTCCCCCGACCAAATCGGAAGCAATTGTTGCATGGAAACATATTAATGGAAACCATGATTGTCGCATGTTTTGCGATTTGCGTTTTCATTGGCATACATTGTGCGCTGTGAGAACCGTTACCCTCTGGTGATTTAACATAGCTATTGAAAATGGCCCATTTATAGTTGATGTTCCCATTAATCATTAAACATGGTGATTTTCCATAGCTATGTTAGTTTACCAGAGGGTAAACATAATATATCCTGTATTGCCTGTATTTGTTGGATCGTGTTGGATCTATTGGTTCGGACTGAGGTTTGGTGGCAGGACAGACCTGTGTGGTCAGATATCGCCTGCAAGGTGCCTGTAGCTACTATGGTCCCGGGCACACCGTGCTGAAGGACGAACGCGAGCCGGTGCCTGGGAGTGGCAAATGAAAGCCAGATTTCCCCACGAACAGCCAAGAAGAACCAAGAGGTAGATGGTGTATGATGGTGTCAAACCGAACCTTCTACTGGCCGTCAAGAACATTTTGAATACGTGTGTTTATTTGACAAGACCGGGTGCCCTCCTACTAGGGTTACAGAAGTCTTTTGCGCAAACTTGACAGGCTTCCGTCTAGTGTATATTCGGTGTGTCGTGTGTATACATAATATACATGTTTTAATCATTATATATTTTTTTATAAGAGTTTTGATCATAAATCATCAAAATAAGATCCAGCCACATCAAAGGTATATAGTTTCAGGATTTTTCACTCTAAAAAGATCCAGCCACATCAATACGGTATATAGTGTCACGATTTTTCACTACCAACCAGATGGTTTTTACCCAAGATGTAGCCAGCACCTAGGCCTCGCCATGGCTCGCCCTGAGGTGCCCTGGCCAGTGCCTCGGAAGGTCTTGGGAGACACGCCCTTCATCGCCTTGGTTCCACCGGGCTTGAGCTACTGCGCCGCGGGAGGCGGTGGCTTCTACTTGGGACCCCCGGTGCGGAGAGTGGGCAGCTGGGGGGGCGAGATAGAAATTCTATAGATATCGATAGATTCATATAGATTTACTAGATTCCTTAAGATGGGGGATTCCCAAGTCACCATATGTTTTGAGTACGAAAATGGTCTAATGACTTGGATGAGTTGGGGGTACCCCCTAGGTTCAATAAAACAACCATATGTCATATATATGTTTTATGAATTTCTTGTATGACTTGTGACGTTTGTTGGAAAATTGAAAGGATATCCCACATACATCCACATACTATATAAATCTATGATACAATTCGTGTTTTTTGGGTGTGTGTTTTTTCGTTGTGGTTTCATTGACAGTGCCCTGCCCTTTTTTGTTGGGACAGCTGATGGCCTAAGGACACCAAGCTTTCAACAACGTGGATCCCAACCTGCGAGCGGATTTGCCCAGGTGTTCAGATGGACAGCCGCAGCATCTTGGCGAACTGATGGGATTCGATGGGTAGGATTGGGTAGATGGTGGTGGTTGGTGTTGGCATGTCAAAGACTGTTAAAGACTGTATGATTTAGCTTCCGGTGTTGACTAGGAGCACGCTCATGTTCACAAACATCACAAACTTTCAGAGTCTCGGAATTAATTTTTGTCCTCCAAGATTAAGGATGTTGGGCCATGTGGAGATGTCAATGCCTTCTTACATCCGTTCCACCCGTGGCACGGGCAAAGCCGCAAAGAGCTCCGTCTTCGAACTGCGCCTCTTTTGCTCTTCGAAGCAGCGCATCATTGGATGCATTGGCGAGCCAGTGAGGTTGACTGTGCCTTGGCTGAGCATCAGGATGCGGGTCAGGAAGGTCCTATGGAAAGGCTCAAACTGGCGAAGTACAGAATTACTTTCAAAAATCACCAAGCATGATAAACATTGATAAACATTGATCAACATGGGCAGGTTGCTGCTCAAAAAAAAGGAAAGCCCTGCGTATCAAGGCCTCTCTTGGCACCCAGGTTTGGAACCAAACGCCACCTCCTCCGTTGGAATCATTGCAGCTGCGCTGTGAAGGGCGCAACGTCACTTTGAGATGGAATGCCTTGGATCTGCTTGACTTGCCAAAGGATGCTTGGACTGATATACTAAACTTATCTTATTATCTAAACTAAACTGTTGTTGGGAAAAAATGCTGGATTTTAATCGATTTTATGGATTGGTATTAATGAGCCTTCGATATTGCCGAGTTCCATTGACATTTGATTAGCGAGGGCCACAAAACCACGAACAGATGAAGTCACTTGGGTTCTTAGGCTTCAGCACGTAGCTGTCACCTACAATAAAAAGCGGCTTCCCAGAATCCATAAGCCAAAAAGGGGTGCAACATGAGGAACCAAGGAAAGCTAAACACATGGCCGGGGTCTATGGTCACTCACTCTCAGGTCCATTGAATTGCATAGCTCCCAGCTTTATTCCATTTTATTCCATGAATCACCGCAGAATCTACCATTCTGATGGGTTTTTTTGCTGATTTCTGGTGGTGTTTTTTTCATGTTTTTTCCATGGGGCTTTTCTCAGGAAAGCCTCGCGGACCAAGTGCGTGTGCTGGTGAAGACCGCCAGTAGTGAAGAGACCATCGTGCTGAAGCCGGAGGTCACGGAGCACGAGTTCCACGATCTGATCCCAGCCGCTGGGGCTGGTGCTGCTGGGGTTTGGTGGGTATACCTGGTTCATTTACTGGGGGAATGAGGTAGTACCCTCTGGTGAACTAACATAGCAATGGAAAATCACAATTTTTCATGAGAAAATCCACTATAAATGGCCATTTTCCATTGCTATGTTAGTTCACCAGAGGGTATGTCAAGCATAGAAATATGGAAAACGCATGAACATGCATGAAGATCATTGAACATTCAGAGTTTCCCTGTTTGGGATATCATCGAATTATTGCACGGGATTTCCGTACCTATGTTAATGATTGTTTATTTGCTGTAGGGAAGCGTTTTCTACGACACTCTCTTTTATGTTTGGAAAAGTCAGGTATGCTGGATCACCAGTGTTCAGGGTTCAACCAATAGGGCAACAATTTGGGCCATGGAATACCAAGGACACGGACTACGAATTCCGCGTGCGCGCGGAGAACGTGGCAGGAAGTAGCCGCGATGTCATTAGCCACTGTCGTATCAATGCGAGCTGCCCAGCACCTCAACATTTGACGTGTGTATCTGGTCATGAACTTTAAAAGACGCCGCGTTGATCATCGTTTTATAATTTGCTGACTTGTTCACTTTAATTTCAGACTTATTCCACGAATTGTGGGATGAATAAACTGGCATTTTGTTGTTCTCCTATGTTCCGCCCCATCTTTGGGAGGGTGTTTCTCCCTGTTTCTAGGCATACATCGGCACAGCGCACGTGGATTTGGAATGGATCAAACCCAGCAAGATCGGGAACGAGGCGACCAAGGACGCTTATCAGATTCACACAGAGGTCATCCAGAAATATGTGGCGACCCTGCGGGTGGTGGAGCAACAACCAGAACAAGAGAAAGGTGAGGAGAAAGGTGAGGAGAAGGAAGACAGCAACTTGGAGAAAGCTTATGACAGGTCAACTGGGGAAGAATCTTATGATCCACGAGCTACTGCATCTAGTTGACCATGATTAGTGAATGATCTACCATAATGAAATGTGATAAAATGATGTGAGCCACGTTTTAAACCCTTGTGTTCATGTTAAGCAAGGGGCCCCTTGTAAGGCTGCGGCGTAAGCAAAACTGTGGTGCGCGTAAGCCAGCGTAAGCTCCGCGTAAGACAAGATATGCACGTAAGCAAAACCTGTGCGCGCGTAAGCAAGACGTAAGCAATGGCCCAAGCATTTCCTGATTTGGTGCCAGGATGTAAGACATTTAGAACACGGCTCATGTGAAAGTAACAATAAACAATCCCCAATGTACTAGGAGAGGCCGGTGTGAACTTGTAAGTCATCCGTATTCGGAGGTTTGCCATTCGCTTTTCCACATTGATGATAATGAAACAGGTGGATCAATATGGGGTAATCATGCTCAACTGCCAGATGTGATACTCCGTAGTGGTGTTACCATGTGTTACCATGTGTGACCATGTGTTACTATGTGTTACCATGTGTTACCATTATTTTATCATCAATACATATCAATACCAATCCATGATTACTTTGAATTAATTGGACTTATCACGGTTTTGAGGACCCTCCCATTTCATAAGTCGGAGATTTATCCAGCCACGGTGTCCTAGTCGAAGCTCAGGTGAAGCCAGCTATGGCACCGCCAGTTCTCCACGTTCCCTCCGCTCCAACACCAAGGTGGGGGAGTGGAGAGGCGCATACACCCACAAAGTACCCTCTGGTAATTTAACGTAGCTATTGAAAATGGCCATTAATAGTGGATTTTCCCATTAAAAATGGTGATTTTCCATAGTTATGTTAGTTTACCAGAGGGTACTTTGGTTGATGTTCAACCATATCAGTTAACCAACCAAAGAATCCACCCAAAAATGACGAATAATGTTAGTACAGCAGTAACAAACCAACCCTATGTTGATGTTTTATACTAGTTTATACCGTCCATGTTGTGCTAAATTTGGGGATGGTATACTATTACAGTACTTACTATTGCTTTACTAGCATTAGTTTAGTGGTAAGTCTATCTTTTTCAGAGTTGTTGTATATTGATCTACAAGTCTATAATGATGTCAAGCCCGGAGATTGGTAAACCTCCGCTGTTTCATTTGGGATGAACGATCTCCCAATGACCAGTTATAATATGTATATATATATATTCATTATTTACCATCAGTTATCCATTATATATTGACAAATTGTTAACAAAAATATCTCATGCAATGACATGATTGAAATGTATTGACATTTATTGACCATGATTATATCCATCATTAACCATCAATTTACCACTATTAACCAAAGATTAGCTAATCATATAGTATATGGTTAGCTAATCTTTGGTTAATATTCATCATTCCTATTAACATGTACAATCATAGACATTACTCATTATTATTAACCATAGATTTAACCATAGATTATCAACCATAGAGTATTATATAACCATAGGTAAACCATTATTAACCATTTAACCATTAATTAACCATGATTAACCGCAGCACGGTGCAGGACTTTGAGGTCCGCAGCATGCGCTCCGAAAGCTCTTCACCGACCCGGGCGATGCGCAAGCCCAAGGCAGGATCCCGCAAGGATTTCATGGGATTTTTATGGGATTTTATGGGGATTCAATAGGATTTATAATGCAGGATTTACTGAAAAAAAAAACGGGTTTAATGGAATTTTATAGGGATTCATGGGAAATTAACATGATTTGACCAACAAACATGGGGATATTAATGGGATTGACCCAGTAAACTCACATTACTATGGACAAACATAATTTTTGATAGGTATATATCATCTATCAATGGGCATTTTTCTACAACTATATTGTATTGTGAAATTACCGGAGGGTAATCCATGACAATACACTGATTTTTTGGGGGAAGATCCATGAATTGGCGTTTAAGACACCAATTTACCAGGAGATTCACCAACGAATATTGGACATTTGAAACCACTTGATTTTAGAGTATTTTGCTTTCTTTTCAGACAAACCCATAGTGCTAAAAAATGAACATAAGAAGATGTTTCAGGTCGGAATTCCAGCAACATTTTGGAGGGAAGATGAGGAAAGCGATTCAACAGTTTCAAGATGTTCAAGAAAAAGTGATGGGAGAGTATACTTGCGAAGACTGGGCGTGGTCAACTGACAGCTTTCCCCGAGATCTTTGAGTCCGTCTCCTCCTTCTATTCTCATCACCTCGCCCTCCATTGTTCCACCTCAACAGCCGAGCATCTTGCCAGGGCCTGTTCGCGAGGCAGGGCTCCACGATGCAGGATTATTCCAAAGATCGGCCTTGCATCTTGGGCAAGATGGGCTCCAGGTCAAATTTCCTATGGCCATGGCACTTGGATTCTTGCGGTGTAATGCGTGGAATGCACTTGTTCAAAGTTCCAGAACAGAACCTCATAGGTTCACATTTGGTGCTCATATGTCAATCTCAGGATGATCTTAGGATAAATTGATTCATTTCTATTGACTGGTGAGTCCTCGGCCAGTGGCGTATTTCTTCCACTTTTCTATTGTGGGGCCCAAGAAAACAACTGGTGTTACTTTTGCTGGTAAGGCACCTGGGATCCTAACGCTTTGAGCGAGGACTATGGGGGTCAGCTGGAGGTGATTTTGGCCAATTGGTGTGTCTGCAAATGGGGTATGCCTCTCGTTTCCGGCAGTTTTAAAAAGAAACATGATGATAAACCATCAGATTGATTTGGCAATTTTGTATTCACATAATATGATATAATATGTGAGTATGGGTTCCTTTTCTACATCTGATTTATGGTTTGAATGCATGGCAATGGTGTAATGAGAGATATTATCATTGGGGTGAAGAAAAAATCCAATCACTATCATGTGATTCCGTGCCCCACCATGGACCTGCAGATGGGGGCAGCATGCCACAACTCCAAGCTATGGGGGTCCCCTGCAGGACAAGGGCAAGAACATGATCCAGGCTGTGCTGTCTGGCTTGCGCCCCGACACTCGCTATGTCCTCTCTGGCTTGTGCGCGGTGAATTCGGCCCCTTCGCAGCGACAGTAGTTTCAATTGCGCCGTTCACGGCGCTGGGGCGAACTGGTTCCATCTGGTTACCAGGTACTGTAACACAACTAAAATCATCTCAACCTGGCTGTGATAGTCAGACGTGATTCAAGCCTGTCTCACATCTTCATAATTTCATAGGTTTTCCATGGTTTTCCATTTCAGCTGCTGGTATACACTGTGAGGTTGGCGCGGGGGCGTGCTGCCCGGTCTTGGAGTTTTGGACCATCCCCTTGGTTCCACGGGTGGAACGAGTTCGTGTGCGTCAGGGCCAGGCGAGGTGACTGTCTCCCGCATATCCCATATTGTAATATATTGTGATCCTATATGATTTCCTATATTATATATATATAAATATATAAATATATATATATATATCCCTGTGTACATTTCCACTATGAAATGGCTTGACCCATGTTCCATTCCAGGGGCATTTTTCTAACAAAAGGAGGCATTTTGTAAGGACATTTTTCTGGTCAACCATGCCATTTTGTAAAAAGCGTGTTTTTTGCTGGGCGAATCATTTTGTAAGAGCCAACTTTCTTTACAAAATGAACTCGGGGCCAATCATTTCATAACGCAATTTTGGGTTCATTTCAGGCAGTGCAAAAAAGGGTATTGAAATCTTGGCCATGTCCAGGAACCAGGGTTTCTTCTCTATTTGTTTTTTTGGGTTCCACCATTGATGTGTGAAGAACCGGCAAGACACCACTAAGTCAACCAACCAGAAAAGGTGATATCAAACGTTCTGGGATTTTTTTCCAAACTTTGGGGACTGGGAAAAAAAATGCGGGGTTCCCTGGGGAAGTTGGACTTCTACAAGTAAGACATGTTTCCAAACAAACCATTTTTTAAGACACAAGCTTATAAGATGATTGGGTTTGGGGCCTGGAAATTAACTTGGGGCAACCATTTTGTCAGGAGCCGATTTTTGATTTTTTTGGGGGTTCACCGGTGTTTGCTGGGGAATCACACCAAGCCTGGTGCCCAGCCCATTTTGTAAACCCCTAACCATGGATGTTTGTAAGGTTAACTCCTGGGTCCCTTACAAAATGGTTGCCTTGGGTCAGGGGGTAAATGTGCAGGGGGATATATATATATATATAAATATATATATATATATTATTTGATTTATATATATATATGAATTATATATATATATTATTTGATATATATATATATATGAATTATATATGTATATACCTCTCTTTCTCTCTTGACTTATTTTCAATCGTTCATTATTGCACATCAAGTCTTCAATGATCCTCTTCTGGAAGATGGCACTGCGGAAGGTGCTGATTGCCCTGTCGGAGACTGGGGGTGCGTGCCTGACTTAGCCGAATCTGAACTCCACGCTGGTGGAGCTGGTGCAGCTGGTGGAATGAGCATTAATGTGTTTACCCTCTGGTAAACTAACATAGCTATTGAAAATGGCCATAGAAATAGTGGATTTTCCCATTAAAAATTGTGATTTTCCATAGCTATGTTAAATTACCAGAGGGTATTTGTTAGTAATACGACTTACTTATTTTCAATTTGGCAACATGAAAACATATGATTTTCACATACTTTCACCAACTTATGATATCTTGTGATCACCGATCCCGCAAAAAAAGTGGGTTTCCTGATGTACCCGCAGGTTCGTGCACGAGTATGCGGTGTCCATTTTGAAGGAGGGTTTGCCAGAGACAGAAGCCGCCCCTTGGTGACAGGTGGACGGTCCACGTTGACCCTCCTCACAGAGGACCAACGGATCATCCATAATCTGTATACACATTATACACACATACAAGTCCATATAGTCCATTATATGGATCATAGATTTCATATAATCTATGGGCCAGGAACCAACACATGATTTGGAGTATAGATGATCCATTCTATATATATATATAGCTATTGAGATTTTTCTAGAGTCCAGCTAAGCAGGGCCCTGCTTGAAATGAGGGGGTACCTGAATCTCCTGTCTTAGGTGACCTGGACCGTGCCTCAAAAAAATATCATCTCGGATGTGGATGGAGACAAGGACAACCAGGCCTCAGAGTTTACCCAGTTTACCCCTCCCAGACCGTCATTGCTCGAGTTGGGGTACGCAACAAAACTTGACTCCAACTCACGCTGATAGGCAGCCTGATTGGCCAGACATGGGATTATCTACAAGTGGGGATGCCTCCAAATCCACGGCTTTACCAGAGTTTAAGGTCAAAATTTACGGGACATCCCCGGGACACCCCTACATTTGATGGATCAAAACCATGGTTTCCGTTGGTTTCCTGTAGATGTTTCCCTTAAAACAATCCCTTTACCACCTGGGCATACCTGGGCTGTGAAACAGGTGGTGGCGACCTTGCCTGAGCCCCTCGGACGGATACTGGGAATGGATCTAGATATCTGGGATTATCTGGGATGATAGTGGGAAAGTGGAAACCACATTATATATCCAGATATCTATCCAGATACCTATCCAGATGATCGAAGGAAGTTTAGAAGTGAAACTTCCGACAATATGGACAGTTGAAAAGCAGAGGTGAGAAGAGTCAGAAGAGAAAGAGTAAGAAGAAAGAAGATGCAGATGCGCGAAAAGGTAGGAAAGTCGCGAAACACTGTGTTTTTCCAATGATTTGGGGCTCCGGAGGGTCGAAAAGTAGGCTCGCTAAAGCGGCGGGTGCGGAGCCAGCTGGCCAGATGAGAGATGAAAAATTGCACGCCGTTGTGGCGCGAAGCACATTTCCAAGTCAAAATGTACAAAACACCCAGGGTCGGACCACTTTTGGAAGTTGAGATGTCGAAAAAGTGCACGCCGTTGTGGCGCGAAGCACATTTCCAAGTCAAAATGTACAAAACACACCAGGTTCGGACCACTTTTGGAAGTTGAGATGTCGAAAAAGTGCACGCCGTTGTGGCGCGAAGCACATTTCCAAGTCAAAAGTGTTAAAAACTGGCGGTCTCGGACCACTTTTGGAGGTTCAGATGTCGAAAAAGTGTCGAAAAAGTGCACGCCGTTGTGGCGCGAAGCACATTTCGAAGTCAAAAGTGTAAAAAACTGAGGGTTTTGAGCCTTTTTTGATGTGAAGATGTCGAAAAAGTAGACACTGATTAACTTAACTAACTTGACTAACTTAACTAACTTCACTAACTTAACTACCCTAACTTCGACGACAACAGCAACAGCAACAGCAACAACAACAACAACACCAACCACTCAACCACAACAACTACAACTACAACAACTACAGCAACTACAACTACAACAACTACACAACAACTACAACAACAACTAGAACTACAACTACAACAACTACAACAACAACAGCAACAACAACAACAGCAACAACAACAACAACTACAACTACAACTACAACTACACAACAACAACAACAACTACTACTACTACTACAACTACTACTACTACTACTACAACTACACTACACAACAACTACAACCACACAACAACTACAGCTACAACTACAACAACAACAACTACAACTACAACTACAACAACTACAACTACAACACTACAGCTACAACTATATGACTGCAACTACACTACACTAATTACATTACACCGCAACTACAACTCCACTACGCTACAACTACAACTACAGTTGCAGTACATCACACTACATCCAGCAGGTGAGGAAGAGGTGACCACTGCAACCATTGCAACCACTCCAGCAAACACAACTCCAACCACCTTTCGGTCAATCAGTGGCTTCGCTCTGCCATCCCTGATTCACAACAACCAACGTCTCCTATAGGTTTCCTATTTTTGAAACTTCCGCCACCGCCTTGTGCGGTACTACTGGTAGGATATATCCAGAAATTATCCAGATATCATATCACAATATATCACATAGTTTTCAGAATGAATCCGCAGATGATGCTTATTTAAATGCTTAGAATACGATTCCCCCCCCGAAACACCACTACTGGATCTGTTCGCCCAGGTTGCCACTGCCTTTTGCAGACATGCCGGCGGCGGAATCCAACCAGAAGCACCATCTCAGGTGGGAATGGCAAGTGGGAAAAAAACCCATGAGAATGGGTATACCACATATGTTAGTTTATATGCAGGAGGGGTAACATAGCAACGGAAAATCCATATGATGAATTACATATGTAATTATTGGCTTAAATCACCTCTGAAACATGAACATTTAAATTCTTTGTTTGATGGCCAGTTGCCAGTGGTGTGATGCCGCAATATCAGCCCAGACACCAAGATGAAGTACTTGGAAATTTCATTCCCGACAATAACCCTGAAGCTTCCACACACAAAAATGTTCACAACATGGCATCAAATTGATTTGTGTGTTATGCTGGTTTTTGGTTTGTTTCAATGGCCTTGTGAAGGATTGAACAAGTCCACAGGTTCAAACACATCCTTAGTGTAATGAAGCCCATGTTCCCATTTCAACGATGATTCGCCGTATGTTTGATGGGTGCACCCTGCCAGATTGCGCGCTTGCAATGGTGGTGGCTGGTCTGAGCTGCTTGGCGTCTGGTGGATTTAACGCTTGGGTGTTGCGGCACCCTATTGGAGTTGACCTGCGTGGGATGAAACTGGCCACTTAAAGTACCAATGGTGGAAATTCAACATGGCAGTTGGAAGTCCAAATGTTTATTTGGTGTCCAGATGTATCCAGATGATACAACTAGGGGATTACTAGAGGAGTATACTTGCTCCTGCTAGCCGAACTGCTGTTGGGAAGGTATGTATTCAGAATCCATGACATCTGGGGTGGTTTCAGTTTTGACCAGCTTTCCACTTGACGGGGAAGTTTGTCCAGCGAAGTTGTTGGGGTCGACTGCCGCCGGTCGACGGTTGGATTTGCTTCGGAACCCTTCATTTGAGATATATGCTGGAACCCTTCATTTGAGATATAGGCTAGGATTGTGCTACGAACATGTGGCAACAAGCAGCATAATATGCCAACCAACACTGGCTCAAGGCCCCATCAGAGGCCGTACCAAGGGGTAGCGCCCTGAGAGTTTACTGTGGCCCGCCTGTGTGGGGTCGCTGAAAGTTTCACTGCTGGAGAAATCCTTCAGCTCAAAATATCGACATGTCTTTGAACAAGCTCTCAGAAGTGGAAGCCTTTCGAGCACAGGCAGGGTTCTGGGCATTGAGTCATGTGGTGATGATGATGATGATGATGATGATGACGGTGGGTGATGCATGGTGGTGCTTGGGTCCAATCTGGAGTGTGAACCTGGGGAATCCGAACAAATATTTAGATGGGTATATACGGTATATTCAATTCAACAATTCAATACACACACACACATATATATATATACTATAACCACCATAAAACCACCATGTAAAAAATATGTTCCTTTCACCCACAACTTTTGCGCAGAGACTTTGTCTTCTCCACTGGGTTGCCAAGGGTTGTCCCAAGCAGGTTCTGTTGGAAGAAGCGCTGAGCACCTGGTCATTCAAGGATGGGATACCCTTCATCAAACATGGCTGAAAACCCCTATTTAAGGGGATTTCTGAATGGTAAAGTCGTTAAAACCAAATGGGGATTTTCCATTGCTATGTTTGAAGCGGAAGGTACATCATTAAGTGGTGATTCCAACCTTGAAATGTTGAAAAACTGAAGCATGAATGACGCTGGCAAGTTTGGACTATGGGCTTTCTGAGTCCACCATTTTCGATTCGAAGGTCACCTGAATCCTCATGTGCCATGGCATGACTGGATCAATATAAACCGCCTATCCTTTGGTAGTTTCAACTAATTTGATGTGTTCATGATTCCCTTGAAGATCATGATTTACATGTTCCACCCATGAAAAGGATTCGTTGATCATATTCATATTCATGTTTATATTATTTCATATTCATATGCCTATTCCCATTCCGATTCCGATGCCTTTTCATCATCATCATCATCATCATCATCCTCATCATCATCAGCCCCAAGTGACTCACATATTTTTCAGGGTGAGTGCCTCCAGGCTCCACATGGTCCATGTGTTTTCATTTTGAACTCCCAAGGAAAGCTGAGTTTCCTCACCAGCATCTCCTCCAGTGCATCAGTTCATGGCGATGAGCTCACCCAGCATCTTTCCAGCAGCGAATCTGTGGAGATCTGTGGATGTTTGAATCATTGATTCTTAAGTTGATCAAACTTGGATCTTTGATCTAAAACATCACTAAAATATATGGATAAATATATGGATAAATATGGTGTATATGGTATTTCTATGGGTATATTTCTATGGTATTTGCATCAAATACACCAATTTGTATGGTATTTCCCTCGCTGCACGTCGCTGCAATGCGTTCAGCAAAATGGCCTCGCACCACTGTGCTGAGGTTTATGGGGGATGAAATCTCACGAATTATTCAGGCTCCGGCGGGGCGAAAAGCTGGCAAAAACGGAAGATCAGCCATCTAGTAGCGATGATCCCATACTGGTAAACTAACATTGTTTACCATGACAAAAACCACTATTTCACCATGATTTCACCATAATGGTGGTTACCCTCTGGGGAATTTGCTAGATAGCTATTGAAAATGGTCATTTATAGTTGATTTACCCATTAAAAATTGGAATTGTCCATAGTTATGTTAGTTTACCAGAGGGTGTCATCTCAGTAAAAGATGAAAAGTCGAGATTTTACATTGCAATGTCCCAAAAGTAAACGCGGGGTATTCCTATGGTATTCCTTTCTAAACTTTGATCTTTGGTTTCATTGAAAGAAGCGAGGGGTTGTTTTTATGCCGATATATTTGGGAGCAATTCATTTAGGACACCTGTGTATGTGTATTGAATTTAGAAGCCAGACACACAAGTTCTTGCCGGCAAGTGATGCCTCATCCTTTCCCTGCGTTTCGGCGATTGGGGTGCAGGAGCAGCGTGACTTAGAAAGGAAGTATGAAGAGCTCATTGCAGCAAGAGGGCAGCTGAAAGGTCTTTGCAACAAGGCGCATAGTAGAACTTGGGCGCAGTTGCAGCTAGGTATCTGGCTACATGCCAAGATATTCATGGTGTGCGGCCGACTGGAAAGTGGCGGAGTCAAGGTGGAAATTGACCATACGCGTTGACCTTGATGATTTCTGATGATGATTCTGCAAAGTCACTGTCACTGTAGAAACGCTTTTGGTGCTTCCACGTCATTTGAAGCATCATGGAATCACGCTGGACCCTGGTAGGCAAAGTTCATGGACACGCCTCTCGGTTATTCTCGTTTCAGAATGGGAGGGAGGTTGTGGAATGGGAGACTGCAGTGTTTAGACCTTCGACCTTACTTCGGAGCTTGAATAGGCTTTCCCCATAATGTGGGTAAAACAATAATAAACCACCCCATGTTTGATGGTTTAAACCACCCATTTATGGTGATTTTGGGGATGGTTTTTCCCCATTCAACCTTGCAACATTGCGGTCGTATACCATTTTTACTTTTATATATTTTCACATCACGCTCTGTCAGTCATGCGACCTGCATTTGCAGAACACTTTGGCCACCAGGCAAAAGGAAATCCAGGACGTGGCCCACAAGCTGAAAGAGAGCAACAAGTGCCTCCGATGTGAGATGAAAGTTGCTAGTGTTGGCCAAGCCAAACAACATATACCGATGTAATTGGGTTGTGTTTATTGACATTGGCCTCCATCATAAGTATAGGTAGCCCACTTAATAATCACTATGGCAGTGGTGTATGCTATAGAGGTGGAGGTGGAAGGAACATGAAGGAACCTGGATTGAGTGAGAGGTGTGACACGGGATATCATTTTTTCATATTTTTTCAGCTTCAGATCATGATAATCTGGTTGGTGGTTTGGAACATATTTATACATATTTTATTTTTCCATTTTTTGGGGGAATGTCATCATCCCAAGTGACTCATATCTTTTCAGAGGGGTGGGTCAACCACCAAGCAGTTATTGATGTGACCACCAACTCATGTCCAGCGGCTCTCAGGAGCTTGTGTCGTAATCTCAAGGAGAACCCCAATGTGCAGGTGCTGCCAATGGGAAGTTGGGGATCTCCTGGGTATTGATAACTACCTGATGTTTGGAAATGGTGCAATTTTAATCCATTTTGCACTCGATGACTGGTTCTGTGATAACATGTGATAACATGTGATAACCCAGTTGTATCCATTTGTTCGGAGGATTTTCCGAGCAGTGTCGTTCACATCCCTAACTCTGCCACCCCCTGTCAGCACCAGGGCAATTTGCAGAAGATGCAAGCAGAAAGGTCGCAAGTCCAGGAGTGGTTAGAGGAGACCAAGACAGACCTCATGGAGCCTTGCAGCTTTGTGGCTGGGGAAGGATCTAACCGTTAGGGTATGGTGCACCTTAGGTGTTTGTACTTGTTAGCATCTATGTCTATGTAGGATATGCATTGCTATACGTATCATATGCGTATACAATCATATACTATATATGGTTGTATATATATATATAGTTATTACAATGTTATTACATATATGTAAATTATGTGTGTACAATCACATGCGCACATACACACATAGGTATGATAAACTAGAATCAAGATTTAAATATATCGTCCATGTGCATATGCATGTGTATATATATATACAAATGTTTGCATATGGTAAACAATCTATAGTTGAATATATATATATATACACATATCCATGCACACGCATACATATATATATATATAGGATATATTCCACCATCGCATCCACCAAGGACATGTCCTTCCAGAACCTCGTGGCGAAGGTGGAAGCTGAACGACGAGAGCAGGAACGTCTCAGCGAAGTGAAGAAAAAGGACAGCGGAGCGCAGTGCGTCAAAAACTCCTGTTGGTTGATGGGATTTTGTTGGGAGAACTCCTGATTTTAATGGGATTTTGATCATGAAGATATGGGGCAAAACATATGTGGATATATATATATAAGTGGATATTATTGATAAATGATGGCTGTTTCTTGATTATTAATTATAGTTGATTTTTTGGCTACTCGGTCTTGATTGGGGGTTATCATATATAATTCATATGGAATGCCGGGGGTTTTGAACACTGCGGGCCGCAAGTGCGCCACAGCCCCTGATGACAGGAGCAGAAGAACTCACAGGCTGTGAAAGATTTGGAGGCGGAGTTCCTTATCTCAAAAAGATCCTCCATTTGCCTATGGCTGTGGTGTACTCATGATGCCTCATGATTGATTTGGATGCTGATGTTCATGCCGGATCACCGGATCATTTCTTGATGATTCCATCCATAGATTCTCCGCCCCAGATTGAAGTCGTCAACAGCTGTTCTGAGCTGTTCTCTCCTTAGATTTCCCACGAAAAGCTGCCCCAAACCCATATTGGAATAGAAAGCTCTCCATGACCAGTTTCCGACTGAGGCTGCAGAGAGAGCGTGCCGACCATGTAACTCAGCTTGATTTTGGGGGTTGTACTTTGAGATCTGTTGCCCTCAAAATCTATCGACTGGGCATTCATGGCCACCAACCTCGATTGTCAACACTTCAATCATTTGCGGATGGGAGTTCTTTTCAATTGCCACCGGGATGTTTAGGGAGGATGGAGGCAATAGTTCTTCTTGGGCCCATGTTCTTGGCCAAGGAGAAGGAAACTAAGTCACTGGGCTGCAAGGGTGGATGACCAAGGGAGGTGATGCCACAACCCCAGTATTGCAACCCCAGTATTCAGAACATATTGCCCCATTCAAAGGTACGGATGGCCATGTGTGTCATTGGTCGTTGGCCTATGTTGGCCTACATGCAAAGAGTGCGATTTAGCCATACTTTGATTAAGCACGAAGTCTCCACCTGTGATCTCCCACCCGGGGTCTGTGGTGATTTGGACTGCGGCCCAGTGACGCCTAAAGCACTGAGGATAGCCAACCAGGAAATCAAAGAGCTGAAAGAAGAGCTACAGAAGAACAAGACCATCAGTGTCTTGTAAGGAAACGCATGGAATGTATTTGTAAAGTTGAATTTCATGAAACTGGGATATGATAATGGTCACCAATTCCTCGCCACTGATGGGGTGCCGGCGGCAACAGGATTGGTAGGAAAAAACAGCAGTGACTAAAAGGATGCTTGTTCGGTCGGTTTGTTTGTGTGTGTGTGTGCGTTTTTCTTGTGTGAGTGGTTGGTAGGGACACGATGATAAGACCATAATCTTCACTGATTGGAATATCGACAATAACCAACAGGCATGGCACACATAGGCCCCATTCCCAACCTCTATATAGAGTCTCTAGAGATGGCTCAATTCTGCTTCAGTTGTTGGGGAAATAATGCAAGGCTGACAGAAAACCACTTGCGAGTGGTATAGACTTAGACGTTCACAACTTGGCCGATAGCCAGGAGCGATGTTGTGCTTGATCAAACCTTGCTGTCCCAACTTCTCCTGTATGCTGTACGAGTACCTCAGGTAGCTTGAGCCATATCCCACAGGAATGGAATATGTTCCACCATTGGTTCCAAGGTGACATCGAGTTCAAGTTTGAGGAGAAAAAACTTCGAGCCAGAGAGCAGGCTCCCTTTATATCTCTGGATGGTTGTGGTCTATACCTGGACCTGTAGGATGAATATATGATGTCATATAGGTTGGTGGTTTGAAATATGTTTTCCCAGAGTGGATTTTCAGGAAAATTGACCTTACAACTTCTGGGACTGGAAGGGAGCTACTCCTGGAGGGTTTCTTGCAGGAATGTTCACAGAATTATATACACAATCAAAAACATCGAAAAAAAAATCGTCAGACTCGAAATGATTCGGAATATATCAACTCATCAAAATAGATCTAAAAGGCCGCAAGAAATATAGTTTCGATGTGTCATTTCCTGCCGATCCCTGTTGACATGTTCTCCGTCAATACCACGTACAGAAGTTCTATTCCGTTGGACTTGGGACTCCAACAGCAACTCTGGGGACCGAAGCGAGGCGCTCTTGCGAATCCATGCGCAGATGGAGAAGAAGTTGATTGAGGCGCGGCCAGCTCAAGCGCTCCACTCATGTTCAAGCGGATGATTGGAAATAGTGCAAACAGGTTTATATACTTGTATTTCTTTATATTTTTAACTACTTATATGTTTATATATATATATGCCAACAGTTGTTTCTCAATTTTGTTTCGAGGAGATGGATCTCCTTCCAGAACTCCGTTTGAAAAACGTGCTAGGACGACTTGAACACCAGTGAACAAAGTGGCCCAGCCAACCAGCTGGTGTCGGAAGTTTCACGTGGATCCTTTTGCTATATTATTTTTTGTGTGCGTACATGACCCCTTTGTGTCACCTGTGTCACATATTAGTTCCATTCCCACTGTTGATGTCGTATTGTTTTCCCTCTATCAAGATGTCTCAAACACTATCAATTTCCTTCAACTTCCAGCTTCTATCACCCACCATATATTCTCCATTATATATATAATATATTTATATTAATTATATATATAATATATATTTATATTAATTATATATATATATATAATATATTATATAGACCTCTCTCTCTCAGTTGTTTCCCATGTTCCATCCATTTTTCCATCCATTTTTCCAACGCTAAACCCCAGGAGTTGGATCGGCTCCTGGAGGCGCAGGAGATGGAGACGGCGGTGCACGACCGCGCGCACGCCTTCCTGGACGATCGCATCCAACATCTGCAGGCCGTGGGATGCCATGGGATGGCCATGGGAAAACCATAGGAAAACCATAGGAAAACCATAGGAAAATGGTGGTTTAATGGGAGTTAATGGGATATACCCGGCCTGGTAAACTGTTACATAACTATGGTTTAAACCACCATAGAAATAGTGAGTTTTCCCATGAAACATGGTGATTTTCCATAGTTATGTCACAGTTTACCAGGGGGTAGTTGTGGTTTTTGAAGGGGTGAAGCCATGAAACCATGAGATTGGACATATTAGAATCCTGGTGATTTTAACTGATCAGGACTCTAACTATAGTGATAACGAACTTATAACTAGAGTTAATCAAGATGAGTCATGATGAGTCGGTTTAGGTGCCATATTGGATGATATGGGCTGTTTTTTTTGGTCGGGCTTGGAGGCGCGTGTCGCAAGTTTCAAAAGGAGCAACAGAGCAGCGCCCAAGAGTAGATATAGTAGGCCCCACTGTTTGAATGGGATTTCTATCTGGGGGTGACTACAGAGTGAAACGCAACTTCTCTTCCAACGTCCTTGTTTGAATTAGTTTGGATTCTGCAGGGACCTCCGGGATAGATTTCCACACGAATCAAGCATAATCAAGCAAACTGTTGCAAGTTGTTGCATAAAAAGGATGTGAGTAAGGCAAAACCTATTCCCATTCTTGAGATCCTTGAGGGAGAAAGTTAAATATTCAGTAAATTCAGTGACATCCCGTCCAGCGACTGTCCAGGATCAGAAGGAAGTTTGGGCCAAGGACTGCCGATGTCCAGTGGGAATCCTTGTAGACAGGTCGTGCATCGCCCCTTTGGGACCATATGGAACCATCATTTGTTTAGATTCAATGGATTGGATTAAGGGAAAATTTACAGGAAACCATAGATTTTCCCATTAAATATGGGGCTTTCCTGTAAATTTTCCCTTAATCCAATCCATTGATAGATGCTTCAGGCATCATTTCCCGAACTTTTCCCTTTCACTACTGAGTACTACTGGTGTGTGGCATTTTAGGGCTGTTAGTTCGACGGTATACAGGTATGAGTCACGTAGTAAATCCAATGATAATCGTGCTATTTGGGGATGTTTCTTGTGATTTATAGTGTTAATATTGTTTTATGCTTTGTAATTGAGGATTGGCCTTACCATATCACGTCAAACATGCCAAAAGACACATGTTATTGCTATATTATATGATAAACCCAATGTTTTTTGCCTGTCACTATTTACCTCAATACCTGAAAGAATTGGATGATGGCACAGTTTTACCAGAAACTCCTCGATTTCATGGTAAAATGGTAAAACGGTAAAACCCACGGCTTTCCTCTAGATGTTCCTTTCCAATCCATTCTTTTTCCAGGTGTTTCCACTTGTTTCCACGTGTTTCCCGCGAGCACTCAAGGACCACGAGAAGGAGGTGGACAATCGCACTGTGGAGCTGGAGATGTTGCGCGAACGCCGCACTTCCGTGCAAGAGGAGTTGCAGAGATTGGATCAGTTGAGAGCCAAGGAGGCGGAGGACTACAAGGCGATGGCAGAGAATGGTTGAGGTGTTTAAGCGATGGATTCAGCATGATTCAACATAGATATAATGGAAAATGGCATGATGAATGGGTAAATCGTCTAATCTAAATAGATTGAATAGATTAGATAGGCAATGTTTGCCTAATTATGTTGAGTTACTAGACGGTAACCAAGCAATTTTATGGGATTAAGTTGATTTAGCCATCAAGAATGAGGTTGCATCAAAAACTGTGCAGTAGTTGCACATTGTTGCACATGATGATTTTAAAAAGGCATAGGGTAAGAAAGGAGGTCTCCCATTTGATGAGATTCCTGGAAGGACCTCAGCCCAAGGCCCTGGCATTCCGCAATCCCTGCAAGGCCAAGGAGAACGAAATGCGCAATGCCGTGCTTATTGAGAAGCAACGTCGCGAGCAGTATCAGCGCATGGTTCCTGGGCAAAAAGATTTCCCAAAAAAACAGTCCACGGAACTTGGAAGCTGCAGAAAATTGAGCCAAACTGTTCGACTTGGTTTGACCATGATTTTCCTACCTCATTGGCTTTGCCTATATGGGTTTCTCATGGGTTTCACGTGGGTTTCATATGGGTTTCATATTAGGGCACAGGGATTTCTTTGCCCTTGCCACGACCAAGGCAGAGGCGGTTCTGTTCTTGCAGGAAGAGGGTCGTCATTACATGGCTCGCGTGGAGCAACGAAAGGCCATGAAGGGAAAGAAAGGCAAGAAGGGCAACTTGGACCAACGACTGGGCCCATGGGGGCTTTTTGGAAGAGGAAGATCGATTTAAGGTTGTAATTTATATAGAGGTTCCTATGGAAAATGGATGAGTACACGAATGGATATGGATTCCATGGATCGTAGACATTCGTAGGCTATAGAATGATTTAGATGATTGATTATAGAATTGTAGTTGTTTGCAGGGAAATGATAGTGTAGGCTGGGACAAACTGTCGTTGTCCAGGGTTTGTCAGATCTTTGGGTCCTGGCCAGATTCCCCCTTTCAGTGCGAGGTAAGAAGAAGTGAGTTCCTGAACTGCAGCAGGGCCATGACAGGTTCAGGTGAGAATCCAGAATTTCAATTGTATTTCATATGATTCATATATCATATGTATGTATGTGATCACTTTCTCCATGAATTTCCGCCATTGTCCAGCCCAAGAAGCTCCGCATGCTCCGCATGGCCACGTTTCACCTGGCTCCTGGGAGCCGGTGAATTTGAGCTCCCAATGATTTGGGGCTGCTGTTTCTGTTGAAAACAAGTGATGCTGGAGATGGGAGCCCAGTCGTTGATGGGATGGTTGAGGAAAATTGCTACCGCAAGACTTGTGGAGAGACTCTTTAAAGAGAACTTGGAACTGATATGCACATAGTCACACACTGGTCTGTGTCTGTGGTTTCTTTTTCTCCTGTGCATCCTGATTTGAGATCGTGAATTCACATGTGACTCATAATTCAGGTATTTTTCAGATGTAGTTTCACAGATTTTTGCATATGTGTCCATACTTTTCCAAGCGTTTTCCATAGTTTTACAGTAGTTTCAATCGTTTTCCCAGCCAATTTGGCAGTTGTTCCATGTTTTTCCCACATCCCCGCGCAATGGAGTTCCAAGGTGGAGTCCCTTCATCAGTACTGTGGCCATCTCACGGCAACAAGGCGATGTTCCATCTCATCGACAGAAACCAACGGTTCCAAGGGATGGATTTTGAACAATTATCCATGATGATTACCCTCTGGTTATTTAACATAGCCATGGAAAATCCCTTATAAATGGAGGTTTATAGCTGGGAAAATCATCTATAAATGGGTAGGGGATGATACTATCCATTACCCTCTGGTTATGACTAACATAGCCATGGGAAATGGTCCATAGAAATAGATGGTTTACCTATATTTACCCATTAATAGCATGGTGATTTCCCATGGCTATGTTGAATAACCAGAGGGTTATGTGTGATTATGGATTCAATGGATAATTGAAAAATCATGAAAAATCTATGATAATGATGATATGTCATCAATGATTGAAATATGATAATGATTCAATTATCCATTGACTTATCCATTTTATTATTATTGTGAATTTTATATGATGATGATCAATGATCCAATGGATTCATCTTTTGATATTGATGATTCATCATGATCATAGTTATAATTAGAATATATATATATATTTGATGATCAACACTTATCGTGAATTGTTCCATTGATCATAATTACCAGATGGCCTATCAATTTTGCATTGTGACTTGTTTTTCTGCATATTAAACGGCGGACAAATCTTAATTGCCCATGATTGTCACTAGAAGATCTGGCCATTTGGTGGGTAGACCCCATTTGGATGGGATGTCACCAGACAAACTCCGGTTTCAACAACGTCTCGAGGGTAGTTCATCGACTTTCCACTTCCAGGAATTTCCAGGTATGAGGCCAAGAGTCGCTTCCATTTTCGTGCAGAATCAGATTCACAGCTACATGTGAAATCTCGTCCTAAGTAAGTTCAGGAGAGGAAAAAAAATACTGAGTTGTTGTTTGAACATGTTCTGATGTCTCTGCCATTTTTTCCCTGGCCTGTGCACCTTCAGATACCTTGCAGGCTGATACGGCAGATGCCCACCCTCTGGTAATTGAACATAGCTATGGAAAGTTTTCCATTTGTAGATGATTTATGTACCTATTAAGAAAGTTGATATTCCATCCTAGCTAAAAGATGTTGAGATATTACCAGAGGGTGAGGAAGCACTTCATCAGGAACCCATGATGATGTTCCCTTCCAAACCTCCAATTTAGGCTGGGACTTTTGATGACTCCAATATGGATAATTATGTCCCAATTGTTGCTGTTGGTTAATCCCCATTTATATCCCATTATATATTGCCCCTTTAAACATCCCCCAGAAACATCAATGTAGGGGACAAAACCACATGTTTAGGGACCATCCAATCGGGGGGTGTAAAAAATATTGGGTAGGGGGATGGGATCTTCATAATTAATCTCCCAATTAGCTACACATCACAATGATTTATCGGAGAGAAAGGACCATTGGATGATATCAGGTGTCATGATTTAGATGTCCTTCTTATTTTATTGTATATGTCTATATATTATTGTTATATAGTAGTGATAATGGTAAATAAATAAGAATACAAATGAATAAATAATATACATATATAATATACATATAATATAGTATATATACAATATACATATAATATAGTATATATATAGTATAAAATATATATAATATATATAATATATAATGATCCTATCATTGTGAGCCTCCCAGGACCCGACCGGGAGCCACCGGGCCGAAGCCAGGCGCCGACCTGGCCGAAGCCGCCATCATCGCAGCGATCCAAGCGCCGGCCATCGAAGAGTTGGAACAGGTGGGCATCCATAGCTGGATGGTTTTTAACAGCTATGATCAGAGAAAAACCATTCCAGCTATGAGATCATTCCAGCTTGGATGATTCATAGTTGGAACAGCTATGATCTCTTCAGATTGGGATGATTCATAGCTGGAATGGTTTTTACATATGTTTTTACCACATAAAAATGGTGAAATTGGGGATGGTTTATGGCATTGTTTTACCAAGATCAGTAGGTCAAAACCTATGAATTATCCCATATTGGGGGTGACTTGACTTCGATTTTCCAGCAGATGGGACTTGATAAATCGTGTGATTCTATGTTATTCTTTGATTATATGGATCAACCATCTATTCTTCATATATGATGTCAGATTGGCGGATTCACATGGGTGTGTCTAAAAATCATGCTACCCCAGTCCGTCCATTGGTGAATCAGAGTTTCCCCAAACTAAGAGGGAAAATGATGATTCACCAATGGATGCAGAGGCAGCAAGTCATTTTTGAGTCATCTTATGGCACCATGTGATTTGTGACTTTTTGGAATTTCGCAAGATTCAGGACTTAAGATTCAGTAAGTGATGAAGTTAAGTGGATTGTGTTATTAATTGCGTAAGAATCATGTTTATTTGATTGAAGAACATTGTAATAATAGCTATTCTTAGCTATTCTTAGCTATTCCCATATGGTTCACCAAGTTACGCAGATAGCCCAGCTAGTAAGATGATAATTCATCTTGAACTGGCACCAGTTTGGATTACTAAGTGATCCAGGTATCATGCCGTGAATTCCATTTATATATATATATATTCATCCACTATGAACAACCAGTCACTTTATATATATATATATACTGTGTATATATATGTATATATGTATATATGTATCATGATGTATCACGTTACATCATGAATCTATCATAATGATCATATATAGAACAAGTCATGATATATAAATATATATATATATATTCTTAACTGCACTTTGATCATGATCATTTCTTAGTTATATTATATATATATTATATTCATACATTAAGTCATTTGATCATGTTAGTTTGATCATGTTTTGATGATATTACTAAGTCATTATATATATATGTATATTCAGTTAAGAATCACCACAGATCTACAGTGGCGGAACCCGCATCATCGATCTCGATGTCAGGTGCTTCGAGCCAGCAAGGGCATCGAGTTCCAGGCTGGGTCGACGAGGGTTTTACGATATATAGATGGGTATATATCTAATTTTTACATATACATACATATATATTTACAATGTACATATATATATATATATCTTATCGATATATTTTTTAAATTATTTGTATATTATATTATATATGTACTGTATATATATGTGTGTGTGGGTGTGTGGGGGTTTATTTATTTATATATATATACATATTGTGTGTGTAAGCTAAGTCGATGATTGTTTCAATAACCCCATCCCCCGTTCATAGCAAACACTCCCCATAAACCATGGTCTAGTAGCAGATTTACACATATTTGCGACCATTTAGAGGGTGTTTAATATTAATGGGTTGGATTTACTAAGGTATACAGCCGGATTTTTCGGTTGCAACAGGCATATATAGCTCTTTTCAAAAGACACAACCATACGTTTTTTCTTCCTAAGTCTGGCATTTGTTTGACTCACCATTTGTTTGTAGGGGCTGGATTGGTGATGTGGGGGCGATTTCATCCCAATGCTACGGTAGAATCTCAAAAATGCATAGTATGTACATGTGGTTTCCTACAAATTTATCCTACTAATTACTAAGCCTATACATATGCATATGCTATATAACTATATATATCTATACAGTATATATATATACACAGTATATATATATAAGTAAGAATGCACTTAGATTGCGATATGATCTCACTAAAATCTGGTTCAGTTCTGCCCCATCTGCTCAGGATTACAAGTACGTCCACGAAGCTCGCGCCTTGCTGCTGAGACTACGGGAAGTTGGGGCCCCAGCAGCGTTTTTTTCGGGACATCCCCATGAAAAATGGAGCTTTCCATGGGAGAATCCTGGGAAAATCAGAGGAATCCCCTGCAACTGAACCAACTGGTTGGTAAAATGATGGGAAAATCAATGAACTGGTGAAGTCTTGATCCCTCATGGGGATCCCCCATGGGGCTGTTATGATGTACCTGGCATGATTTGTTTCTTTTGGGATCTCATGGGAGGTTCCCCATATCCCTTTTTATGGTTTTCAAATGGCTTTCAGATATCAAATGTTATGATACCAAATGGATCTAAAGTGAATCAAAGCGATATATGATAGCCACAGGGTACGCTGGAACCCTATGGCCCCATGGTTGTGGCAGGTCAAGAATGCCTTGGGCTTCGCGATGAAAGCCAGAAATCCAACTCAACTGCGAGAGGCGGGAAAGGGGGAACTACCTCGGAAATGGATTTTCAGCTTGCCCAAATATAAGAAATCGGTCTCAGATTGATTTTAAATGTGAAATGGTGGATAGCCTAGCGAAGAGTTGTCTTCATATTTCCCGTCTGGACGTGTGATGGACTCCCTGTGGGTCCTTTTCCATGTTTTCCTGCTCTATTCGCAACCAGTAGGTTCAAAAGTAATGATGTACACATTATATACCATACCGGGTCCTATTTTTTCCAGCTGAGTAAGACAATCTGAAACTGTGAAGAGACCAAGCATGGAACACTCAAGTCGGACAGCTGCATTGTTGGACCTTCCCAAGACTCCAGGCCTTGTAAGGAATCACCAGGAGTCATGTTGCAAGTTAACTAAAAATACAGCTACCGAAATGGATGAGAAGCATCACTTCCACACATGCTCTCGTGGTGGCTGATGATGTGTTCCAGTTAAAGACCTCCATCCCCCAAATCATCCCTCACTCGACCTCCAGGCCTTACAAGCGGCCATGGACTCCAAGCTTCAAGGTGGACGGAAAAACTGGGGGGTACACGCGCGTGTCAATTCTCGGCATTCCAGTGTGAGCAGGGATCAATCCAAAATGGTGTTTTTCCAGTTTTGTGAATTTTGATATGTGATCAAGATTAATTATTCTGGTTGGTGGTTTGGAACATTTTTGGTTTTTCCATATATTGGGAATGTCCTCATCCCAACTGACACATATTTTTCAGAGGGGTTGAAACCACCAACCAGGTGATCAAGATTAATTAAGAGGGTTTGGTAGAGCTTCAATGTGTTTTTACAATGATGGAAGCCTGGAAACAAGGTGGTAGCCCACAGCCGCACAATCAAAAACTCTAGGCCCATCATGTCCGAGGGCCCGGGCCCAGGCATCGACAATGCCATCACTCTTCTGGACAAGCTCGAGCCTGTGCTGCACGCGCGCAGCAAGGTATAGGAAGGAACTTTACCCTCTGGTAATTTCACATAGCTAGTGAAAGTCACAAGGTCAATGGGCAAATAATCTGTGAATGGGCAATTTTCAATCACTTTAGTTAAATGACCAGAGGGTAACATAGAACGGGCTCAGGAATTCACAATATATTTGGATAGATTTTAACAACGTCACATCGCGACGTCAATGGAATGATGGGAACTGGATTGGGGTAATGCGGGTAATGCGGGTAATGCGGTAATTCAACAATCCCAAAACGGCCGAAGCAGGCTATGTGTTTTGGCTATAGTTGTATTGCTGGCTTCCCCCCTGAATAGGATGATGGTAAATTTTCCATGAAACCTATGGAAACTCTTAGATGTAGTGGTAAAAACACCATGATTTCCGCTAAAAGAACAACAAAATAAAACCTTACAAAACCAATACAAATGCTGCAGTTGTACCCCATCAAGCTTTGATGTTCTCTTTAAAACCTTTGCATGTTCATGTATTTTAATGTGGATTTTTCCATGATTGTCCCGTGATGTTTCCGTGATTTGTCCATTCAGTTTCCATTGACGATGTTCATGATTTATCCATGACTTATCCATGGGAAATCCATGGATTTCCATGGATTTGCCCATGGATTTCTGTCAATCCGTCACCTTTCAGGACCACGTGGTGGAGCGCTTGGACACCGCCAAAGGCCTCACACCACTGCGTGCGGCCATTGAAGCGGCGGAAGCGGCCAGGTGGGGACGATGGGGAGAATCCATAGTTACCATAGGGAACAGTATATTTTGGTAGTTATAGTTATGTATTTATTATAGTTACCATAGTAGTTATATATTTATAGTTATTTATTATAGTATTTATTATTGTAATATATTATAGTAATAAATTATAGTAGTTATTTATAGCAATGATAATGGTAGACCATGTATATGTTTCTCCTATACTATATAGTCTAGCTTTCTTTTATATTATACTAATTGTATGTTATATATTATGCTATAGTTATATAGTATCCCTATGGTAATATTATAGGACAGTTATATAATATATAATTATTAGTAATATTTAGCGTAGGGACAGCTCATATACCATAGGGAACTATAGGGTAATTCATAATTATAGTCATATGATAGTAATACAGGATGATGAATGATAATTATTACTATCCTACGGTTGCCCACAGTTGATAATCATTATAGGCTAGTTGATCATTATCATTATGCCATTTTACCACAGTTATCCAATACCATGATTATGAGTTGTTGAATGTGGATTTAACCCATAGCCCAGAGTTGATGATTTTAACTATAGTTGATAATCACCCATGTTTTTCTATCTATCTAGTGATCATCACCCATGTTGATAATCACCCATTGTTTATAGTTGTAACTATAGTTGATCATTGAATCATGTGATGTTTTCTATCAAGTTAGTTGGATGATCATAATATAAAGCAATCATGTTTGATATCACCCATGTGAATATCTACCTAGTCCCCGGGGGATGGTCATTCTATCCATTGTGGGATTCCTATGGGATGAACATAGCCATATAGCCACCGTCTTGACCGTCTATGACATATGGAAACATATGGAAATGCCCAAAAAAGATCGAAAAGAACTGAATCACTCTATTTAAGTAGGATTGTGCGTGTTCTATCTTGTTTTGGGCTACTATAACCCAAAACAAAGGCGATTGTGTTTTATATTTATCCATGGTGTTTTCCAGACGCTGCCATGGGATTTCCGGGGGGATTTAAGGATGAAAATGGATGAATTCGAACCATTAAAAATTGGATGTTATATGGACATTGGATGAAATTGGAGGCGACATGCATTTAATGGGGATATATATGGATATATGATATATGACCATATTGAGTCGACCATCAAGAGCCTATAAATATCCTGATGTGAATTTCTCCCGCGATTTTCTTTACTCACATTTACTTGCAAAAATTTGCAGATATGCTCTTACGACAACTCATAATGACATGGGTTTGCTTCAGAACTCCATGCCCCATTCCATCCAAGGTCAATCATCATTCTACCTGTCAACATGCCTGTTTCTGGGCATTTGCCGTTTTCAGAAACACCCAATGTCCATTAAAATAACAAAAACAAATCACAAGTTTTTTTCATGATCAAATCACCATTTTGGTTCGTCAAACCCCATGATATCCAACTTTTAAGTTTCCAATTTTGACCTAGAAAAACCATAAGTTGGCGACCCATCAAACTGTTTTGCCAGGTTGCCAGAGGAAATTGTGGTGGTTGCGCGCCAGCGACTGCAAAACCGGGAGGCGCAAGCTGAGGAGTTTGCGTTTTTTTCTTGAAGTTTAGGTGATAAACAGAGTTTTAGTTCATATTAAATTATTAAATGGTCATGTTCGCATGGCCAATCTCAAGTCTCAATTTATTCACCCCGCTTCGCGTGGGGTGGCCGCCCACACCGCAGGTTTATTTCCGTCCGTGAGAGGGGCTAAGGGTGGTTTCCCCCCGTGGGGGCTCCCCAAGCTAAGAATTTTCACTTTCCCCCCCGTGGGGGCTCCCCAAGCTAGGGAATTTTCACTTTTCCCCCCCGTGGGGGCTCCCCAAGCTAGGGAATTTTCAAGCTAGGGAATTTTCACTTTTCCCCCCCGTGGGGGCTCCCCAAGCTAGGGAATTTTCACTTTTCCCCCCCGTGGGGGCTCCCCAAGCTAGGGAATTTTCACTTTTCCCCCCCGTGGGGGCTCCCCAAGCTAGGGAATTTTCACTTTTCCCCCCCGTGGGGGCTTCCCAAGCTAGGGAATTTTCACTTTTCCCCGCCGTGACAGCTTCCCAAGCTATGGAATTTTCACTTTTCCCTCCCTTGGAGGCTCTCCAAGCTGCGGAATTTCAAATAGCTAGACAACGACGCCTAGATAGTCCCCCAAATCCCGTGTTCTTTGAATGTGTTTCCATGTTTTTGCAATGGTTTCCTTCAAAGCACGGTACTTTACACTTTTGTCGCCATAAAACCGGTCGAAAACATCATGTTCGACAATGCTTCCAATTCCCTTATCTCCCCAACCGTTGAAAATACCGCTATTTACAGTGTTTTCTTCAATTTTTCCATGTGCCAATGCCGGTAGCCAACTCCAACATATATATAAGAAATCCTTCCAAAACATTGTTTTTGACAGTGTTTTTCCAATGTTTCCAGTCAAACAGACGGTAATTTACACGTTTTTTGCCATAAAGGCAGTAAATCCTTCCAAAACATTGCTTTTGACAGTGTTTTTGTAATGTTTCCAGTCAAGCATACGGTAATTTACACGTTTTTTGCTATAACGTCAGTCCAAAACACTTGTTTTTGCAGTGTTTTCAATGCTCTGGCATCCAAAAACCCTGCAAAATCTTGCTATGTACAATGTTTTTTTCATTTTTGGCCGTTTTTCCATTGCCGGAAAGCTACCAAAATGACCCAAAATTCCATTTCAATACCCTCTTGCGCTCAGACACCCAAAAATCCTCGAAAAATGTCGAAAACACCACCGTATTCTGGTCTCGGTGCGAAACCGTTTTTGGGCCCCCCCCCCCAGCTAAAGCTGATATAGCGACTGCTATATTAACAAATGTCATTGAGCATTTAGTGTTGCTGTTGCCCCCCAATAAGCACGCCTTCACCGCCAAAGCGGTGTGGGCGGATTTAGATGATATACCCTCTGGTAAACTAACAGTTTAACATGACTATGAAAAATCACCATTTTCAATGGGAAAATCCACTATAAATGGTCATTTTCAACAGCTATGTAATGATCATCATAACTTATTCTGACTCACTTGGACTCATCTCACATCCTCAGTTTTGCCAAACTGGCCTCAGGCAGCGCAGAAGGGCCTGGAAGGAGCCATCGAGGCAGCCAGGGTTCCGGATCTCTTAGAAGCGCTGAAGGTGGCTGAAGGCGCGGTACCGCTGTGGCTGGGTAGCCTCTGGTAGTAAGTTTCATTACCTCACTGCGAATACTGGAATGGTTAATTAGGAGGGAGAATTATCTCGACTTATTTCAGATGAGTGAATTATGATAATTTAATACAATTTATCCAGATAAATATGGAAAGTCCTCATTTTCACAGGGAAATCATCGAGAGAGAGCCATGGACCAATGGCTTCTTTTGCGCAAAGTGTCGAGTTACTGGAGGGTAAATGATGCCACTTTGGGGGAGTAATGTGTGTTTTTACCTGTTTACCTAGATTCCTCCTTGTAAATTGTATCCGGGGTGTCGGAGCAACCCTGATGGCGGGGATGGCCTGAGGCAACAGGTGGCATAAGACGTTGCGAGGGTATGACAGCAAACCCAAAAATAATCCAAGAATGACATATGAGTTGTGATTTATGATGTGAGTCACAAGATTTTTTGGGGATCAGGTAGTGTAAATATAAAACTGTCCAAAAATAGAAGGGAGAACCACCAGGCATGGACCTTCCAGCCGAGCCTGAAGCACGGGAAAGGGTGGAGTTGCTGGGACAGACGCAAGGGGCCCTGCAGTGACTTGACAACAGGAATGGGGCCCGGGGGGAATGGGCTGTGCTTCAAACATGTTCAGCAAAAATGTGACTGGAGAAATTGGTTGTTTTGACAGACTGGGGGATCCAGTTTGCGGGAGGCGCCAATTTTTGGTCAATTTTTGGGTGGTACAAAAATCGCCCTTGACCAGCAGCTGCTTCGCAGATCTTTCCAAGCGCCAAGGTTGCGAATTGTTTCACGGGTCCTTTGGGAAAATTTACAGAGAATGTGCGCCTGAGGCTGACATGGGTTTCTCACCATTTGCATTCACATGATGATGAGAACACATTCCATATTTGATTATGCTCTCACTCTCTCTATATATATATATGATTACTGTGTATATATATAATATATATTAATAGATAAATAAATATAATAAATATATATATATATATAACATTATATTAACCTGGGGCCATGATGGGCCATGATGGCTATGAATAATTATCCATGTTTATGCGGTTTTGCTGTTGTTTGGGATGGCCAAGGAAGGCCATGAGCACCAAAGTCATCCCGGACCTGTCGGCAGCATTAACCTTGGCATCTCGGCGACATGTGGTAACCATGGTATGTCAACCCTTGATATACCCCGGTTGATTTCATTTGGGGTTACCCCCAAACAGGATGTGCGACTTCTGTTTCGCAGCCTAATGAAACAGACAAAAGGGGTTTAAAAAATCTGGAGTTGACATGAGCTAACAAGACCTGGCCCGAAAATAGTAGGAAAACATATGACAACTATGCAGTGCATCCCATGTTTGACCAGAATGTATCACATTGATTGGGATGCTGCATGTTGTTTCATGCCCGCTGCACTGAGGCGGGTAAAGCTGGGCTGAAGGAGCATCAAATGATTCACGAGGCACGTGCCTTGTTGACCAAGCACCTCAACTGCAGCCCTTGGCCTCGGGCGGGAATGCTGCGCTGCGATGGTACACGTTGGGTGATGTAAGTTGCACAAGGTTGAAATCTATTTAAACAATTTCAATCATGATTCATAAAGTTTATAGCAGTTTGTTTAAGTAATTATTTATGCACTATAATGAAACATAGCAGTTTATTTTAGTTTCTTTACTGTCACTGATGGTTCCTCCAAATGCTGATCAGAGTGGGCTCAAGGCTCATGAATCGTCGGGAGAATGTGAAGAAGGAACTGGAAAAAGCTATGAAGTTTCGCTCCTCGTCATGGGACCAATCCCTCAATGGTGGGCGGTGGTAGATTCAAGAATTCCAGCATTTCTGGCAAACGCCGAAAAAGCACTTGCAGTTCCAAGTAGGTTGGAATCCCCTTCACCTAGTTGCAACATCTTGCAACATCTTGCAACATCTTGCAACATCTTGCAACATCTTGCAATCCAGGGTGACCCGCAGTCCATTTCTTCCATTTATGCATTGGACCCAGCTATGAATTGGCGATGCCAAGAGAGTTCCCAGGTCATCCTGGGAAGCTGAAGATGACGATCATGTCAGCACGTTTGGCACAAGTGAGCCTCAAGCGAATCATCGACGCAGCTGCTTGGCGCCACCCCATGATCAGCTGATCATGCTGATCCCCATGACAAAGCCCATCCTGGCATCTTTTCTGAGGAACATGTCCGAAACTGGAAAAGTACAACCCAAAAAGATCGAAAAGTAACATCTTATCATATCTTATCCATTCGAAATCTTGGTAAATCTATCCGTTTTTTGGGGGCTGCAAACCCATCAAAAATGTTTGAAAGTCTGTGGAACTACTGACCTATCGCTGAGGAAAATGTCCGGAAGTATGTGGAAGAATTGCTGGACGCCATGTCTGCTGTAGCTGGTGTGGAGGAACGTGAGAGGACACTGCAAGCTGCAGTGGCTAAGCTTATTTGAGAACGGATGGCTCACCATCAAAAATCATGGTTTTACCATGTTTTACCCTTAAACATTGGCAGTTAATGGGATATTCACGGGAATGGAATGACCATGATCTGCTTGTTGGATTCCTTCAACCTGCGGGATGATGATCCCCAGTGACTAGAGTGGTATCATGGTATCTTTAGGCATGGACCAATTGAAACAGAGTGTGTGTGACTTACCTTCACCCAGAAGTGAAAGATCCAGCAACACAAAGGTCTCCCTAGTCATATCCCATGACAGGCGAAAGATGGCTACTCTTCGGTAATTGTTCACATACAGCAACTCTTGTGATTCTCAGAGAACATCAATAAAATATAATAAAATATATAAAATCTCATTTTTTCCATGGTAATAATATGTAATAATTACTGTGTATCACGGTAAATCACCCATAAACGGGCCATATGTTCCATTTCTATCTTACACCCATCCTTGGACTTGGCAGCCCTGTGGTCAGCAAGGTGGATTACACAGTCCCTGCGGAGCTGTTGAAGAAGTTTGAAACTTGGCCGGTGAAACTGAAGAAGAAAGAACTGCTGAACAACTGTTGGAATCTGTTGGAACTTGAAAGCTCAGAGGTGGCGGTTCAGAAGTAATGGGTGTACAATGGGTGTACATACATGTAATGGATGTAATTTAGTAATGTATGCAGCCCCATCCCACCGTTGTAATATCATTCAGATGCACGTATATGAATAGATGATGGTGATGCTTTTGGGAGAGAGATGATGTCGGTACGAAGAGACAAGCAGCTCCAGTGAGGAGATCGAGCTGGAAGAGTTGGTGAATCTTCATGCTGCGATACGCCAGGGGGATCCCGAGGCAGATGGAAACCGCGAATGGCCATGATGGGGGTGATGGATGGTGACGGTGTGTGTGGAATCCGCAGAAGTGTGGAAATGGGGGAATGACATTGATAGGCCAAGAAGAATGGGAATAAACGTGAAACATAATTACCTAGAAGTCGAGACACAACACAGAAGTGACAAGCGAGGTGAGCTTACACTACCTACCCACCTGTGAGCCCAATTTGGGGAGGTATGAACCCCCTCTTTGGCTAAAATTCATATCTTTCAAAACTGAAGTGTCCCAAGACTTCTGCGATTAAGCGGCCTCATTACATTCATCTAATTGAGATCTCATAGGTATTTCTGAAAGATACTCCGGCAGATCACTGATCACATTCATGACTCACCCAAACTTCATCTTTGTTAATACTCCATTGTAGTCCATGATATCCTCATATCTCAATTGCTTAGAGGATTTTGGGTCCACATAGGATATATGGATATCCTATATGGATATATCCATATAGGATATCCATATCATATGGATATCCTTTATGGATATATCCATGATATAGGATGTGTTTAGACGATTTTGACCAACCGAAGATTGCCCGTTTCAGGTGTTGCGGGAGTGCATCGAGAAGTGCGAAGAACTGGGCATCAAAGTGGTCGAACTGCTAGAAGCACCCCAGCTGAAACAAGGGATGCTTCACCAATGAGCAACGTTTGCAACAGAAATCTCATTGGTATGGATGTGACCCGTCACCCTATGTTTTTTTTGGGGGGCAATGTTTGAAATGCGTTAGTTAACGAACTTTATTTTTGGTCCGTTGAAACTTGGTGTTTGGCATGGAACTGCGCCAAAAGATCAAGTGTCATAAAATGTCATAAACCTGGTGCAATGTTTGCAAAGTTGTGTTTCAACCAGCACGCTGTTTCAACCGTTCCACCCCGGATTTGCACCAGCCAAGGCGCGTGTTCTTTACAGGGACTGGGAAGCAGCCTGCGAAAAGGTCGATTTGGAGGCCAGAAACCGAAGCACATCCGGTGCTAGTAGATTCCTTGGAAGACTCTTAGAAGAAACAGGGAAAATCGGGGAACCATTTGAACAGGAAGTGACAGGTTCGCACATGGCTTTCTCTGAAAATGGAGGTTTATCCCTTAAATCAACAGTCAAAATGGCCATCAATTGGGGCGACGTGAGAGGCGTCCCTGGAACGCGTGGAACATCTTCGACAAGCCCTACGAGATGCCAAGGTTGGGGGGCGGTGTCAATCAGGTGTGGGTAGAGCCCAACTAGCCATGGATATTGATGGATGGAGCTAGGGACGCTTGGAACATCTTGGACCTGTTCTGAAGTGAGAAGAAACCAAGGGGACTAGCTTGAGAATTGCTTGTTGGATCGGTTGGTTCAAAAGTTGCTAGTACTTATACTATCTTATACTACTTGCTTTGACTTGCCTTGATATGTTTTTGCTTTGCTCATGTTTGTTCTCGACTTCCTCTCCCATATATATACATACATTAATAGTAATATCACATCTAATTACATAATCATTGAATCGAATGATTACTACATATTACTATCATTATTGTTATTATCATCATTCAAGTACTAATCAGAGATATTGTTATTGCTTTATATTGTTTTCACATATATTAATATATATTGTATATCTATAGTTATTGGTTACACTCTGGTAAACTAACATAGCCATGGAAAATCACCATGCTATTAATGGGTAAATCCACTATTTCTATGGCCATGTTTAATAGCTTTTTGTATGTTTACCAGAGGCTAATTTATGGCCCCGTACGTGGGGCCATAGCTCCACCATGGCCCAATGGCCCCAGGACTTGGGGGTGAACGCCTTTGTCCTGACCAAGGGCACCGAGAACCTGAGACATTTGGAGCAGCGAATCAAGACGGAGCAGGTCTTTGGGGCTCATTGAGACGTCGTGGTGTTACAAGAAATGTGTTGTGTACATATGGTGCACCTATATGTGATGAATGTATGTAATGTATGTCATGAATGGAATGTATGTAATGAATGGAATGTGTGTAATGAATTGAATGTATGTACTGTGTGTAATGTATGTATGAACTGTAGTGAATGTATTGTATTCTTCATATGTAACGTATGTACTGTAAGTACTGTATGAAATGTATGTGATGTATATAATGTTTGTAACGTATGTAATGTATGTAATGTTTGTAACGTATGTAATGTATGTAATGTAAGTACTGTAAGTAATGTATGTAATGTATGTAATGCATGTAATGTATGTAATGTATGTAAGATATGTATTGTATGTAATGTATGTAATGTATGTAACGTGTGTAATATATGTAGTGTGTGTGTACTGTCAGTACTGTATGTAATGTATGTAGTGTGTGTGTGTGGGTAATGTATGTCGTGTATGTAATGCATTTAGTGTATGTAATGATATGTATGTAATGTATGGACTGTATGTAATGTATGTAATGTATGTAATGACGTGTAATGTATGTAATGTATGTAATGTATGTAATGTATGTAATGTATGCAATGTATGTAATGTATGTAATGTATGTAATGTATGTAATGTATGTAATGTATGTAATGTAAGTAATGTAAGTACTGTATGTAAAGTATGTAATGTTTGTAATGTATGCAATGTATGTAGTGTATGTAATATATTCAATTATGTATGAATGTATTGTATTGCAATGTCATGGAATGGAATGGACTGTATGAAATGTACGTAATGTAGGTCTATAGTGTAATGTAATGTAATTGTAAAGATAATGTAATAATAATGATAATGTAATGTAATGTGAGGTATATTGTAATAATTGTAATATAAGGTATGGTATGGTACGGCACAGTATGGCATGGTATGGTATGGTATGTATGCGTGTGTATGTAATGTAATGTGCTGATAATGAGAAAGATAACGATAATCTAATGTAACGTAACGTAATGAAATGTTTAGGTTATGTATGTTTGTATATGTGCGTGTGTGTTTGTTTGTTTGTATGCCTGTATGTTTGTATGCCTGTATGTTTGACTAGTAATGTATGTAATGTATGTAATGTAATGCAATGCAAGGGTATTGTATGTATGTATACATGGTATGGTATGGTACTTGTATGGTATGCTATGGTGTGGTATGGCATGGTATGGTATGGTGTGTATATAATTAATGTAATGAGTGTAGTGAATGTAATTAATGCAATTAATAGAATTAATTGAATTAAAGGTATTAATGTAATTCATGTAATGTCATGTTGTGTCATGTAACGCAATGTAATGTAATAATTATTATTTGTTTGTTTGTATGTGTTTGTATGTATATGTATGTCTGTATGTTTGTATGTCTGTTTGTCTGTATGTCTGGCTGTTTCTTTGTCTGTCTGTCTGTCTGTGTGTGTGTGTTATGTTCAATATGTTCATATCTATGCATACATAAGCACATATTTATATACATATATTCCAAGTAGTTGCGTACTGATATCCCCAGCCAAACGTGAAGTTCACAAAAAAAGAAACAAACTTCTGTTCGTGTCAAGCGCGTTCTCCCGGAAACACTAGTATGATGATCTCCCACCAAAAAACATCCAGAAATCTGAATGTCATAGTGATTCTATAGTGATTATATGAGTTGTTGGTGCATCTTCCTATTTCAACGCGAAAAAATGTCCACTTTTTGTAACACGGGAGGAGCTCTCCGATGCGGTACGCATGAGAAAGATGGAGGTTATTGCTGCAGCCACAAAGTCGGCCTGTGATGCCGGGGTCCATGAAGCTGGGCAAACGGCGGGGGGCTGCAGCGGCTGGGTGTGGGGGAAAAAATCGTGTTTTCATGGTGTTTCTTCGTGGATCGCGGAGTTTACTTGTTGATTTTTTGGGGGTGCTGAGTGCAGTGCTGAGCAGACATCTTGAAAATGTGACTTCAATGGATTTATATAGGACGAACAATGAAGAATGCCAATTATTTGTATCATGCTGGATCCCTCACCATAGCACCAGGTTTTGCTTTGTCATCACATGTCATCACCATAGTCACCCAGCAGTCCACGCGGGTGCGGTCAATTTCAGGCCCAGGGTAGCACAGTTTTCGGCCATGTTTGCAGTAAATGTGCAATTTGTTGGGCAATAATAATCCCCAAAACAGAGAGAAAAGTCAACCATCTGCCCAGAAAATCCCGAAATTCCCAAGACTGGTCCTGTAACGGCTGGACCTTCCACCCAAGGATCATCCGCTGATCAGCAAAGCCCATGGCCTCATTGAGACGCTGTACATGAAACGCAGCAAGGTCCATGAAGCCACGGAACGTGCAGATGCTTGGCCTGCAGTTTTCGGAGATTGTTGGAGCTGCTTGTTGATGTTGTTGGTTGTGGTTGGTTAAACAGTTGGGTTTTTTTGTTGGTTGGTTATTGTTGGCTGGTTATAGTTGGGATTGTAGTTGGATAACAGGGATGGTTGTTGCATGTCATTGCCCCGTTTTGATGTCTTTCTAAAACGCGATCCGAAGTTGGCACACAAGTGGCCACGGAGCACGTCATGGATCCCATGTGTTCTCTGCTTTGAGATCTTTAAGTCTTTGGGCTGGAATCATTGGTTAAAGTATGCTATGTTCCACTTACAAACCAATTTTCACTGCTTTATCTTCAGGATTCCTGCCACCGGCAGTGAGATTCGATTGCTAGACAGAACCTCATCGAACTCAGTTTCGCTGCTTGGGTGTTTCCATCGTGTCAATCTCTTCTTGGCATAGAGCCAGCCGCCAAGTGTTGTTGAGGAAGATATCCTCATTTTATGGGCCGCCCAGTGGTGAACCAGAAGATTTCTATCAGATTCTATCATATCCCCATATGGAGGTTTGCATAAATGGTGATACCCTTATTAATCAATGATTTATAATGGAACATCTTCTTAAAAGGGATGATTTAAGGGTACCCCCATTTTAGGAAACCTCCATATCTCATCATCCCCCAAATGGCCCCCAAATTCCTCAAGTTTCACCCCTCCTTCTTTTGCCCTTTCCCCATCTCTGGCTTTTATGGTAGAGGGGTGGCCAGCTGCTGACGCCCCAAGGAGCTCCATCTCATGCACGAGACGATGCAGCTGGCGGTGGAACCCCCTCCCTTGCCAGAGAGCGAGTCGAGCTACGGATTCGCCCGGTTGCCACTGGCCACGTCAGGATGGTTGATGGTGCATAGTGGTTATGACGTATATATAACGCCCCTGGCCCCCCTGATGGTGATGGTGAAACATGAGCATTGAACTGATTGAAGCAACAAAAATGTGCAAACAGTAGTTAAATCATGTTAAATCCGCACGATTGCAGCGATTTCCATCAACCCGTCAGTGAATCATTTGGCTGAAGTATGCAGACATCTCTCCCGATTCTGCCAAAGAACAAATACCAAGTCGTACGATACTTAGGGAATTTGGCCTTTCTCTGACTTGATGAGGATAACTAGTGCAGAAAGAAATCACAGAGTTGTTGTAAACACTTTGTTGGGTGGCTGGCGCTTGTCTCTTTAGCAATTTCTTCAAATTTACCTTCCAGTAACAGAAACCAAACTAGGTGTGGAAATTCCAGTACTATTACAGAAATACAAGAGTCGTCTGGAAGCAGATCAGTCTTTACATATGGTGGTTTCCTGAAATAGGGTACCCCCAAATCATCCATTTTAATGGGATTTTCCATTATAAACCGTTATAAACCACCCATTTTTATCCATTTTTGGATAGCCCCATTTATGGAAACTCCATATTGCAAGATTATAGCTGTATCGCCATGGACCTAGGCGTGCCCTGCGAAAGAAGGAGCAGATCCAAGTGGTGTCAGGGCTACGTGCTGCGCAGGTCATTGGATCGTATTAGTTGGTTGTTGCGGAGTTTTGAATGGTGTTTCAATGTGTTTCATGGTGCTTTCATGATTGGTTCATTGTGGTTTAATGGTGTTCATTGTGGTGTGTGCTGGTGCTGTTTTGATTATTGTGCGTTCATGGGGGTCGATTTTGCGTACTGACGATGAATTTGGAGGGTTTGGAGGGTTTTCCTCCAGATACGTTGATGAATCGGTACCAGTTACCACCCTATTTTGATGAACTTGGGGGATTGCTTAATCCTCACTTAGCATGATGCAGTGTGAATAATTACACAAGATTCTAAATTCTAAATGTATATATATATATTAGATATTACAATGTATTACATGGAAAACTTTTCCATGGCTTGTGTTTAGCCTAGCATTGCTTGGCGATGCGCGTTGTTTGTTGTTTCTTTAGGGCTACGGATTGGACCTGTGCCAACCCCACTGAAAGGTCAACAAAAAAACACGACGCATCCCGTCATTTTTGACCACAATATTTCATGCATCGCACATGCGAAGTTTCTCACTATCGTGATAAATAAAAAGTAGCGCCACCACACCACCAGCACGTATCAAATTCCAGAACTGACACGTGTGCACTGACAGAACAAGAATAGACTCTTGGTTCAAAGGATGACAACGCAGCATTTCGTAAAAGGATGATGATCGGATGATGATTCTGGGTGAGCAAAGTGAGACAAAATTATCCAGATGCTTCAGCTGCCTCAAGTTTCATTCATAGCTTGCATCATCTTTTTGGGCCAGAGTGTGCCAGGAAGCCAAAGATTTCCGCACTGGCCTAGTTCTCTTGGACCGCATTCAATACGTGACCTGGCGGCAACTGCAATGCTCCTAGATCCGCTGTTCGCTTCAAGGACGTAGCTGGGAGCCAGGTTAGTTTTGCTAAAAATCAACATGACAAGCAGATTCCTTCCTTCATAGTTCTTGTTCAGGACCAGGGTAGGCCGGGTAGGCATTGAGAGAAACTGATGACATCATCATTTCGAGTTGGATGGCTAGCCATCCGTGCACCCGCGAGGCAAAACGGGCCGATGTTGAAGTTGATCCTCAATACTACTCGCAAACTGGTTGCACGTAAGTTGGACACGACAACTAGCAGGGTCCTGGGATTTGCCAGCTCCAGACCTAAATAATGGACGCATGGTGAATCGATCTTTGATCACTATCCAAGCAGATTTGTAATTTTGGACGGATTGAATCACTAATACCTGGTAAACCATGATACTTGTAATTTTAACACCAAACCTAAAATTGATCGATTTTGGGTTTGGAGTTGAAATTTCAACACCGGAGTGGAAATAACCGTTCAGGAGTTAGATATGTTCTGGAGTGGAAAAAAGCGTTCAAAAAGCGTTCAAAAAGCGTTCAAAACCGTTCGGAAGCGTTCTGGAGTTAAAAAAAGCGTTCTGGAGTGGAAATAACCGTTCAGGAGTTCTTTTTCTCTTGAATTTGGCAAAATTGATCGATTTTGGCTTTGGTGTGGAAATTTCCACGATCATGGTTTACCAGGTAGTTTAATATAGTTTAATCATTTATTCTGGAGCTGTTGTTTTTCTCTTTCGTTCTTGAAGTGTCTGAATTCTCCGGAACGTGCCCAAAAAAAACACACGTTGACGCCCACGCTGGACCGGTGGACCCCGGCCAAGGAACACCGAGTGGATGACGATCGCAGAAAGAGACCAGCAGGAGCAGTTTGAGAAGGACATTCTGGATGACAAGCCAGCAAGCAGAATGCTGGCAGCTGTGGACAAGGCGAATCCGCCAGATCCTTTGGCGTGCTTCATGCTGCCCAATAGCACCATTGTGGGTAGCATGAAGGCTGGCGAAAAGGGGGAGATCGGTTGGACGCTTTGACCAAAAAAAATGACCCTGACCCAACCTTCAAAATTGCCATCTTGTGATGTCACATTCACACTGCTTATGATGGATGTTTATTGATTTAGTAGAAAATCATGCAGGTGTTTTTCCCTGAACCTTTTCGGAAGATACACAGCACGCAAGTGACCTGGTCAGGTCCTTTTCGAGCCGGCGGGGCAGCAGATTTGCATCTTGGTTCAAGGCGATGCAACAAAATCAACTGGAAATTGTCAAAGGTAAGTTTGGTGAAAGCCTGGCCTAGTTGGTACTGTATATTGTTTGTCTTGATGTTTGTTGTTTTTGATTGTTTTTGCTTGCAGAGATCCATACAGAATCATGGGATTTCAAATGATCTCTGTTTTCAACCTTTACTGGGCACTACTATTCAAACGGACAACCCTGGGACCGTGGGATGCCCATCCAAAAACAACAGCCAAATATATCCAAATATCAACTCCCTGATGTTTCAGGGCCCACCATGTGCTCTTCCAAATCGATGTTTCGGGGGCCGGATGGCAGCTGGCCACAGTTCACACGCTGGGTCCAGTGCTCCACTGAGGCATTCTCCCTCGTGAAGTGGTAGAAGCGACTGGCCTGAAAGCTCCTACGGATCATGAAGCCTGCTGAGCGCAATGTCTGGGATTCACATTAATTATACATTATATATCATTATATTATATAATTGTATTTAATTATATCAGTTGGCGAACATGGCTAAGATGGAATGATAGACGTCTACTTATCCTACCGCATCAGGTACAATCGACGAAGCTCCCTATTTCTTTCACTCTCAGATATGGTAGAGGGAGATGACCCAATTTATACCGTAATTCAAGGCGACTGTTTCTTCATGGGGAACATGTTTTCCAACCCATGGGATTTCGTTGTGTCCTTTTTATGTGTCCCAGTATTTCCCAATTTTTAGACCAACAACCACACACACACACATGTATATATGAGTCCGGACTCCGGATCCCTGCCCCCCCCCAATGGTATGGTCCCCCAAGCTCACGCTCTCGGGAACACGGGACACGGGACCATACATACATATACATACATATACATACATATACATACATATACATACATATACATACATATACATACATATACATACATATACATACATACATACATACATACATACACACATACACACATACACACATACACACGTACACACCTACACACATACATACATACATACATACATACACACAGACATACATACCTATCTACCTACCTACCTACCTACATACCTACATACCTACATACCTACGTACCTACGTACACACGTACATACATGCATGCATACATACATGCATGCATACATACCAACATACATACCAACATACATACCAACATACATACCAACATACATACCAACATACCACATACGGGGGGGGGGACCAGAAGAACCATACCACCATCCCAGGCCACAGGGGGGGGACCATGGGTGGAGGGGGGGGGCCTTGGGCGTCCTGGGTCATATATACATATAATATACATATAATATAATATACATATAATATATATATATATAATATAATATATATAATATATATATATATAACATATAATATATATAATATAATATTATATATATATTATTTATATATATATATATATATCGTTTAAAAAACAGTACAAATGTTTGTACGACCATTTGCCCTACAGGATAACAAACGGGGCTCTCAATGCCCATCACCATCAACCCTGGCGCTGTTTTTGAGGCCACCCTGGTGGTGAAGTTGCAAGATTTTTCCTCCGCGCGAGAGGGCGAAGTTCCTTGGTGCTGATGGAAAGCTTCAAACGAGGATGGAGGGTGGATTTTAGATTGTAATACATACTATACTCCTACTACTCCTACTACTACTACCACCACCACCACTACTACTACTACTGCTGCTACTGCTACTTCTACTATTACTACTACTACTACTTCTACTACTACTACTACTTCTACTACTTCTACTACTCCTACTACTTCTACTACTACTACTTCTACTACTACTACTACTGCTACTACTACTACTACTACCACCACCACTACTACTACTCCTACTACTACTACTACTTCTACTACTACTCCTACTACTGCTACTACTACTACTACTGCTACTTCTACTACTTCTACTACTACTACTACTAATACTACTACTACTTCTACTACTACTACTTCTACTACTACTACTTCTACTACTACTACAACTACTACTACTACTACTACTACTACTTCTACTTCTACTACTTCTACTACTACTACTACTACTATTATAATAAGTACTTTAAATATAGTACAATGCCACAAAGAATCCAAAGATCTGGGGATGTGAATTTGGGGTGGCTTTGAGATAGGTTGAGGTGATTTTGAGCTGAGTCTGAGGTGATTTGGGGGTGATGTTAAATGCAGTGAATCATTCTTACTCGTCAGGATCCCTATGAGTATTATGAGTGTCGTACGCAGATCCAATGGCTTCCGTTACACCCCTCAAATTCAATGCCTGGAAACCTTAGAATGTAAGTCACACAGAATTTCCATCAGAATATTACCTCACAAAGGGTCATACGTTTGCAGAGGATTCCCCAAAAAAACAGTCGATAGTCCGACTATGTCTTACTGTTCTCCTATTTTCGTCGTTGATAGGCCAAGTGTTGGAGGCTTTCCAGCCATTGAATCGGAGCCAAGGCCATCCTTCAGCAGTGCCTTGGGGTGATTCGAAGACTCATCGGAGAGGGAGAGGAGGCGCGACGCAGCTGGTCAGGTTGAGGTCGGGTGACATGCTTAGGTTGAGTGGCATTTTGAAGTTGAGTCACTAATGGGTTCAATGGAAGATGTTGAAAATTTATGAAAATTTTCTTTAGGAGGGTTATGCATTCCTATACTATGTTGGTCATTACTTTCGGGCCAAACCGATGTTCTCATTAAATTATGAGTTATCAAAGAAAGTGTGTTTTCCACAATTTACCCATATTTCAAGGGGATTTCTTCCGCATGATTCTTATCTCCCAGACTTGATGCGCACGACTTGACAGTGCAACAAGAGACCCGTTAGAACTGCTTAAAACCATGGTTTTCTCTTAAATTCTCCCAATTATCATGCCAATAGAATTGCTAATAGTCCCTGTAGAAATTATTAGAAATTAAAATCTACAATTACAATATCCCATGACAATTGTTGGCGTATACCGTATAATTACATGGACCATTGTAAATATACAACATGAACTGAAGTCACATAAGCATTTGTGAAATGGTGGCTCTCTACACCACAGTTGTTTTAATGAAGATTGCCATATTAGAGTAGAGGTAAATCTCCCACAAACATCTCAAGTACGGTGCATTTACCCTCTGGTGATTTGTGCCATAGCTATGGAAAAATCACCAATGTTTAAGAGGTGAACTGGTAAACCATGTAAATTATATAGTTATAAAGTTATAAATTATAAATAAAGCTATAAACAGGTATATTTGATCTAATTTGCCACAGCTGCTAAATGACCAGTTCGTCTCGTCACAACGGCTTCCCCCCAAACCCTCACCGATCTGCAGCTCCAGATCCTCCAGGTGCGGTGCTTGCGCGACGTGGATTTGGTGACCCTGGACGCCGAAACGGAGATGGATGGGGTGAACTCGAGGACGATTGGAAGCTGCTGGAAGCTGCTGGAAGGGAACAAAAAAGGGATGAAGAAATTTGGGTTTTATTGATGTTATTCTTTGATATTCTTTGTCTAATTGCCCCCGATCTTCAAGTCCATAGCTGCCACAGGTCCAACTAATTCCAACTAAGTATCTTCAAGTTATCCATTTGCCATAGTCTAACCAGCAGTTATAGTTGATGATTGACATTGATTGAAATTGGTGATTGAAGATTTAAGAATTTGGATTGAAGATTGTTTTTCCCGTTTCATTGGGGATGTAAGCTTGGGAATTTAAAGTTGGGAGTGTGAATTAAGATTTATATAGATGGAAATGTCATAGAAAATTTTATGTTGACTGGATTTATATATTGGGATTTATATAGATGGGATTTATATATGATATTGAACTTTGTGTGTTGCAACCAGCAAAAGCTCACCTCGTGCCTCGTTTTCCAGTTGAAGAGTACCGTTGACAGGAGAGCCACACTCCAACTGCCCATTGCGATTTACATTCGTCGAAACCATCGGGGATTAGAGGCCAGCCTGCTGCAGAAAGGATAAATATTAATTATATATATATATATTATATATATATAGATAGATAGATATATATATATATTATAAATATATACTTGGAGGATCGCCCCACTTAGTAGCCGGTCAATGGTTGTGGGCTTAGTTTCGCCAGATTCCGACAACCCCAGGCATCGGGGTCAACCGGGGTTGAACCCACCAGTTACAAGCAGCGGAATGATCCTCCAAGATCCGCCAAGTCGAAAAGGGGTTGGGAGTGCCTGGGGTGAAATGGTTGGTAGCATTGGGATAAGATGGGATACCCTCTGGTAAACTAACATAGCTATGGAAAATCACCATTTTTAATGGGAAAACTCACTATAAATGGCCATTTTCAATAGCTATGTTAAATTACCAGAGGGTAAGTAGTTCATTTTGTATAGTTCTTATCGAATGGATTAGATTATCTGTGATTAAAAAATAAGTGACTAGCTAAAGATCACTAATGTGTTCCAGAATCCTTGGTCCAATCTACCTAATCTACGTAAGGCTTGAATCGTGTTCTCATTTGCGACTGAAAGAAATTAGCTTTATTGACTGCGAGTGGGTGCAACTTGGCCATCTCGATGGCCATCCCCACAGAGACGGCAGGTGATTTTAACAATTCTTGGCCCATCCTCAGCAAATTTGCGGCACTTCCACCCATCCCTAGGTGGCTGAAGCGATTTGTCGCCGGGGTCGTGTGGGTGCGGATCTCTGGCAATCCGTGCGGATGCTACCGAACAGCAAAACGGGGCCCCTGGAACTGTGCACCAGGCGCTGCATGGAATATATGGAATGGAGCTGGAAGGATTGCATCCTGTGATTACCCTCTGGTACTTTAACATAACTATGGAAAATCATCATTTTTGATGGGTAAATCCACTATAAATGGCCATTTTCAATAGCTATGTTAGTTTACCAGAGGGTACTATGTTGGAGATTGTTGGAGGTGATTCTATGATTACCCTCCGGTGATTCAAACGTGGCTGGGAAAATCCCTATCAATGGAGTTGTTTTTTGCTGGGAAAATCATCTATATTCCAATTAGGGACGGTTGGTTATTGGAGGGTATATGAGGGTATATGGTATATGATCTGATATATATGTCATAAGAATCTCTAAACATCATAAGATGTCAATCTGCAGAGGAGACCCATGCTTCGATGCGTCGATGATGCTTTTGGTTTCTACTATGAACCATCCACTTCTGACCCAAAATTATTTGACCGACAATTTCTTTTGTCTCAAGGAGAGGAAAGGAGGGAGAGAGAGAGAGAGAGAGAAAGAGAAACAGAGAAACCTCAAAAAACATAAGAAACTCTTCTGGAACAATTTAATATGCCAAGAGACGTTACATGTCGGATGCAGAATTTAAATTTACCCGGGAGTATTCTTGGCAATGTATTGTACCCTCCGGTACTCATGGCGATAAAAAATCCAGCGTAGTTCGATTGTCCCAGCTATAAACCTCCGTGATTTCCTAGGGAATTCCAATGGATTTCCCAGCAATCGCCCCGTTTCTTCACCGTTTCGGAGCCGTTTCGGATCCGAACTCTGCCAGGCCGGATACCCTTTCGGAGAACTGCTCCATGCAGCTCAGGAGGAGCTTTGTTCGGAAGGGGTAAATGTGTAGAATCACAACATGCTTTACAGTTGCCTAGTTATCATATAATATATATACTACATTGTACTACTGTAAGTACTATGATATATAGTATATTATATATAAATATACTACTATACTATAACTGGTTGGTGGTTTGGAACATTTGGATTATTTTTCCATATGTTGGGAAGAATAATCCCAACTGACTAATATTTTTCAGAGGGGTTGAAACCACCAACTAGATAATTATGTAATTATGAGATATGCATATATGTGATTATATGATGATATGTTTGAATATGATGGATTTCCACATGCATGGGTATTTATATATATATGTGTGTGTGTATGCATGGATGGGTATTATAATGGTGTATATGTTATTCATATTGCGCGCATATCTGTATATATGCTCACGCATGCATACATACACACATACAATATATTTACTTAGTACAAAACCGTTTTGGTTACAACGTTGATTCAGGCTGTTTTTTCCTCAAATATGTCAACCTGCCCAGGGGCCATCCTTGAGAGCCCCAAACGCAACAGCACTTGGATTCCAGTTGGCAAGAAGAAGTTGCCAACTTGGAAACCACCAGAATCATCAAATACATGAATTCTGTACTCTCAAAATCATCAAATCAATTGGCATTACTCATGACATTGGTTTGATTTGATTTGGTCTCGAGGTATAGCAACCCCCAATAGAAAAGTTCAAATCCTACTAAAAGTGCAAAAAGAGTGGTAAGATATGGTAAGATATGGTAAGATATGGTAAGATATGGTAAGATATGGTAAGATGCATGAAATTTCACCTTTTCATACCTTTTCCATCTTGGGGTACCATACCCCTGAATGGCCAAGTTTCTTGGCAGGGAGGAAGCTGATGATGTTTCCTCGGCTTTGAGTAGCGAGCTGGCAGATTCGCTGGTGAACATCGCCATGGATCAAGCGTGTCTTGGAGTTTTTCTGACTGGGGGTTTCCATTAATATGAGTATCCCAAAAATGGATGCTTTATTTTGGAAATTCCCATTAAAATGGATGAACTTGGTGGTTCGTCCCAGTTAGTTCTGGATAATGACATGTTTTTTCCCCCAGTCACAAGTGAACAAACCCTATGAAAAACCCGGGATATGACCGACTTAGTAAGTGGGATGAGCCACCCAGCAGGATGGAGGAAGGTGGGGTTGAAACGGTTTGCGGCTTCCACGTCTCAGCAATGTTTCATGCTCAGTGATTTCTGTGCATTGAACAAAGTTCTCTAAAGAGGATGCAGGTGAGAAACAAGTCAACAGCAAACAAGGCATAGATTCGCTGTTGAAGTCCACTTTTGATGTTTTAAATGTTTTGTTTGGAGATCATAGACTCATTCACTAGCCTTGGGATGAGCACAGTTTACGAGGCAAGGGTGGAAGCTGAATTGCCGGCAGCTGGCAGACTACACCAGGTGGGGACGACTTGGAGCATTCAACTGCTGATTCAACCAGAGTCCAGCAAGTATCATAGAAGTATCGAATATCAAATATCATCAAATATCAGATTTAAATTCTTTCTTTTCATGAAGGTGATTTTTTCTCCAAAGGGCATAAGCGGCATAAGTTAGTTGGCACTTTCAGATCTTCAGCCGAAAATGCCGCAGTTTCTTCGCAGGTCGATTCGCTCGCGGATCTTGCGGACCATCCATTTGGAGTTCCATTGGTCCTATCCCAAGGGCATTTTCGACTCGCTGGATGCCAGCTGCATCATGTGCAACGAGGCGATGAGAGACACCCTGCCATTTTAGAGCTGGCTACGCGGCTACTTATGGTCAGCAACATCAATCACATCAATACTTGGAAGCAACCACCTGAAACCATCTCAAAGCAGTTGCCCCAGCTACTTCCCCTTTGCCCTCAGAGAATCAACTGGTGGAGTTTTTTTGATGGTCCCATGCTGGGTTACCCATCCCACCCCCAACGCCAGGAGAAGGTCTTGGACATTATCGATGGCCATGGCTCACAGGCCATGAAATATGCCGTTCCTGGCCTCGGACCTTACAGTCCCAGCTGCTTGTCGAGATGGCCAAGGGACCAGGGATGACCAGGGATAACATGTGGGATGATCCAGCCTAAGATTCTTGGCAGTCTTGAGTCTTAATTCTGTACACTAATTTGTTCGCAGTTTAAGTCAATTTAACCCAGATGAATTTGAGGTCTAACAGGACATAGCAGGATTCTGTTTGCACAGACTTGTCGCCTGCAAGTCGTTCAAGCTGGGTTTGGCCAGGGCCGAGCTCGCACAACAAGAGCCTCAAGGGACGCGACCGTGAACATCACGACGCTTCCAAGGCCAGTTGGGGCGCCTGCCTTGGTTGATGTCCCAAAGTTCAACTCACAGCTGACTCGCGTTTAAGTGCTGTGCACTCTAATGACTCTGCATATCATTGATATCTCGATCTACAGTATTTTTGTATATTTGTATTATTCATTGATCTATCTACCTATCTATTTGCCTGTCTAGGTCTGTCTGTCTATGTACCTATCTATCCATCCATCCATCCATCCATTCATCCATCCATCCAATCCATCCAATCCATCATTGTCACATATGCACATGCAAACAATCTTTTGCACAAATAATTACCCATCTATCTATCCCTCCGTCCAGGCCATGATTTTACCGGTCTCTTGTCGCGATGAGATCAGTGATCCCACTCTGCGGAAAGGCTGGGTCACGTGGATGGTCCAATGGTAACATCATGGTGAAAGAAAGGGCGCCGCAATAAAGTCACTACAGATATCTACAGATTAGTAAAAACCTCCACCACTAAAACGTACGGACGAACGGCAACCTGTTTCGGAGGTATTGTTGTTCTCCCGTTTTTGTGCGGTTTTTCCTCCTTGTTTTTCCTTCCTTATGTTTGTTTAATCTGACCTCAACAAATCGAGGTTCTGAAGTTATTTTTTTCCTCTGGCAAAGGTGAAATGCTTTCCTAGCTTGAACCTCTTTGAAGCTGGACTGAAACCACTGACTGATTCTTTATTCAAAAAGGCACTGCAACAAACTCGGGTAGCCTTGAACCACCTCGGATCCACACTAAAAGACAATGACTTACGCCATTGAAAAAAATCACTCATTTTTCTGTGGGGTGAATGCAGGCGCTTATATATAGCTTTCGAAATCATCTTTAAAGCAAATTATTGGTTTCTCTAACCTTTTGTACAACCCTTCCTTCAGCTGAACCACAAACAATTCTTGGACGCAATGCGTCTCAAATTAGAATCAATTCAAATTCAATTTAACTTTGATTCCAGCTTTCATTCAAATCCAGTTGAAAACAAAATGAGATCAAACCAAGTCGACATCAAACTAGAATCAATGCAAATTTTAAAACATTTGATTTTTAATTAGGGAATTTGCTCGGCAATGCTGACTGCCTGGGGTCCCCGAAGTATGTTTGGACTCAGCTTAATTAAGTGAATGATTGTGCTTTGAGGGCTTATTGATACCATGTTAACATTACATTTGTTTCTCGTTTTATCCAGCAGAGCTTTCAGGTGTTGAACTTACCAAGCCAAAACTGTTGTTTTGGCTCAAGATCTGCCACTGCAAAAGGAGCTTTGCTGCTTGCAGTTAGCTGTTGGCTGAAGCCTACAAAGTTATCAGCCGTTTCATCTTCAACTTCATAAGTTTCCTGTTCTTCTGTTTCCCAAGTTTCAAGCGTTTGAACCCTTTGAGTTAAACTGGCTACATGCTCTTGAAGAGTAGCAAGTTGTCCCATCATCAAATCAACCATCTTCGAGGTGAAAGGGAGGGTTTCCCAAGATTTGACGGGGTCCTTTGTAGTTGGTTCACCAAAGATGCATGTTTGAAAGGCCACCTTGGGACTCGCATTCAAGCTTACATTGAGGAAAGTATAGCCATGAATCGTACCCTTAGAGGACGTCCATTGCTTAACCTTGTCGTGAGGGAGTTTGATTTGGATGCCGCTTTGGGTGGTGTTGTATCTGCAGTTGAATTGTAACTTCAAAGTCCCGAATCAGAATTTGCTTCGCTCATTCATTTCAGAGACAAGGTTCGTCACATCTTAGGACAATTGCCGATCAGGACAATTGTCCAAATGGTTGTATGAAAGACTGAAACGAGTCAAACAGCTTCAATTGGCAATTGAAAGAATCAAGGGGTCTCCGGCAGATGCCAATGAACGTACCTATGATTATCTATGGTCTCGATTTGAAAGGGTGATCGCGGAGTCACAACATGAAAAGAATCTCAGTTCCATTCAAGAGGGCCTCAAGAATGCTCCCGGTAGTTCTCAAGACCCAAAACCCAAGTCCAAAGGAAAAGGTGAAGGTAAAGGAAAGAAAGGAGGAGGTAAGGATTCCCAAGGAAAGCCTCAGGGCAAGGGTGACAATAAAACCGGAGAGGGCCAAAACGACGAAAAGGGAAATTGTAGCTCCAAGAGCAACAAGAACAGTCCTAAAGGATCTGGCAACCAGAACCCAGGTGACAAGGGTGTTTGCCTCTTTTGGCCCAAAGGTTTTTGTAGGCGTGGAACGGATTGCCCCTATAAGCATGAAGGTCCAGGAGAATCTGCATCAACTTCTCAAGCCAAGGCGACGCCACCAGCACCCAAGATCGCAAGCGGCACTGTTTGGTCTGGTGACCTGTCCAGTTGCGATCACCGTACTGTGTATGTTGCCGACGGCTTCATGCGCGTTCCCGGCCGGGGGGAACGCATTTGCGGCCTTGAATCCTTGGTTTCTGACACGGTCGATCCCAACTGCGGGGGGTCGTTTTATCCAGCACAACTTTCAGGTGTTGAACTTACCAAGCCAAAACTGCTGTTTCGGTCAAAAGCTGCCACTGCAAAAGGAGCTTTGCTGCTTGCAGTTAGCGGTTGGCTGAAGCCTACAAAGCTAGTTTCCACACCTATATTCACAGATCTATATCACATGTTTCTGACACATGCACAAGACAATATGTTGACACATATTATTATTATGTCTTATGTGTATATATATTATTATTATTGTTATTATTATTGTTATTGTTTTTATTATTGTTATTATTGTTACTGTTATTATTATTGTTATTGTTATTATTATTGTTAATTATTTATATATATATGTGTGTGTTTGTTGTTTTTTATGTTGTATATACATCTGTATATTAGCTATGCTATAGTATGTCAACGTACTCAATGTACATGCCCGCCGCACATATCAGGCAAGCAAACCATGGAAATCCGGGTCGACCTTCTTCCACCCAGCGTCAGCGATTTGCTTTTCGTCTCTTGGCGGCTGAGGATCTGGCCATGTTGGATTTGCCAGAGGGTGATTTAAACAAATTGCTTCACTGATATTTCATTGCATATCATAATTTTGGATTTAAGTATGATATATCTCAATATATAAATATGACCTTATTTTAACCATAGTTTTCTTGATATGTCAAGACAGATGTGCATTTTCGCAAAACAGGTTTCCCGGTTTTCTCTCGAAAGGTCATGGAAAAATGTCACGGACCCTACCTCAAAGAACCCAAAGAAAGGTCATGTTCGTAAAGCAATAGGTTCCACCATCCCCAAGTTATCCAAGTTTACCACAAAATCATCGATAGATATGGTATATATATAAACCATCCATATGGGGCCGTTTATTGCTGACGCTATTGGCGCTTATGTCCTGCGTCCATCCCAGCCTCCAAGGTCATTTCGCCCACCAACTCCAGAGATTTGTCGAAGTTCACCAACCTCAGAAGCTCAACGCCAGTGTCGGAGGGCCGGTCTACCTGGGAAAAACCCGGCCTGGTGATTTAACATATAACTCTATGGTATAAATGGCCCATGTATTACAGATGATAGAATATAAACATGATGGTTTATGTATGAAACATTTCTTTCCATATACCCTCCGGTGATTTAACGTAGCGAACTGGAAAATAGCCGTGTTTAATAGGTAAGTCATCAATAGATGGGCCAGTTTCCATAGTTTTTCTGAATTACCAGAGGGTAGTTTGAAAACTATGGTCACTGATCTCAACATATCCCGGATAAGATTGTGCATTCCGCTGGAGAATTATGTGAGTTAACCTCAGGAAACATCCAATTGCCTAGATTTTCCATAGCAAAACAATGGCAAACCAAAAACATATATGAGGTTTTTGGATGTTTCCTATGGTTTTGGGGTTGCGATTTGGCTGGAACCTGGAAGTTCCAGCAAACCCATTGGTAACATTTCGTGGGTGGTGACCATTGATTTCCAACCATTTTGTTAGATAATGATATATTATTAAAGATGGTTCTTAGGGGTAATGTGGTAAACCCAATTTTGGAAATCAGCCCCAAAATTACAATTTTTACTATAAACCATCCAAAAATGGTAGATTGATGGTTCACATTACAGGCTACCCACAACTCACCACAACTCAGGGAGCGTCGTGGTGGATGCGGACTCCGAGGGCTCGGAAATTCTGGCGGACAACGAGGTCAACTACCAAGCCAAGTTTGGAGATGAGCCCCCCGGCCAGATCGCCAGATCGCCGGATCCGTCAAAAAAGACCAAGATAGGCCAAGATAGGCCAAGATCAGTGGGGTAACCAGCCATTGCCCTCTGGTAAACATACAAAAAACTATGGAAAACCACCATTTTTAATGGGTAAATCAACTATAAATGGCCATTGTCCATAGCTATATTAAATTACCAGAGGATAACCACCATGATTAAGAAGGGCGTGGTGAAAAACAGATGACAGAAAATCGTGCCATTGATGAAGGCCGGGTTTGGCAGGAATTCTGCCACGTATTCTTAAGGGTGAATGGTGAAGACGCCATGTTTTCCTATGGATTGGCTGTACCGCAGACCGCAAATGCCAGTTCCACATGTGGACCTGAAATTCCTTGCAACGCAATGGGCCACCATGACCATCCAGGTGTGCGGTGTTGATCAGCATTTATCGCTTGGAAGATGAGCTGTGGCACGTGAACAAGATCAATTCCTTTGGTCATGGGAGCCATCGTGACTACAGGCCGAAATGGCCCAGTGCTAGTCACATTGGTCACTTTACACCCGAAACAAAGCCGAAACACAGCAGAAAGTTAGACAATTCCAAAGACTCGCGAAGCTGCCAGCCTTCCCCAATGTTATGGTTTCGTCGCAACATGGGAGTTGTTCTGGTGATTGAAATCCTGCACTTGAGCTCTGTCACTGTCACTTGCCAGGACGGTGATGAAGAAAATCCTGGAGCTGGGCTATCCACGACATCCAGCCATGCGGAACCTTGTTCCACCAGTGCTGGACCGAATCCAGGTGCCTTGACTGCTTTCGAGTTGGATAGGGGAGATGATGATCAAGCATTGGTTACCAGGTGATACTCAGTACCTTACTTTCAGAGAAACACCAAAAGCATCCAAATGTTAACCCTGGATCATGAAAGATAAAACCCTGGCTTAAGTAGGGGATGATCACGGTCCATACCCCCAAATAGTGCCAATCCGTCAGTGTTCCCCCCACTTGAAGACCTCGGAGGTTTTGTCACAGAGGTGGCACCATGTGGCCCCAGCTGTTTTCGAAGTACGACCAGGCTCCAGAACCCTACCCTCCTGCCCAGGAAGAACTCAACATCTCCCATCCTGTGAAAGAGACCAGAGTGCATTTGCCGCTCGACCAGCAAAGCTTGGGATTGTTGAAACTTGATTTGGAGGGGATCACCAAGATCATCGCTAAGTCGTGCAAAGCGCGAACATGCCGAACCAAGTCATAAGCACAGGGATGTACCATAGCAGCCTGCAGTCAAGTGCAATGCATATCCATACAGGTGCATCAGGTTCCGTATAAAAACCTGATTGGGTGCCTGCTTTCCGGTGCCCAACCTTTGCAACTAGTTGCTCATTACTCAGTGCAACTCAGTACTCATTGGTTTCTCAGCCGAGGACGGAGAAACATGCTTTGGAGCTACTTGATGGCACATTTTCTCGGCCCGACCCGGGATGACATTGACATTGCCTGTTAATATGGTTGAAACCCCAGATCATTATCCCCATCGTTTGAAACGACCGGAAAATCATGGAAAATCACATCTTTGAAACGGTGATGTTCTCATTGAAGATGGTCCGACTGCGCCAAAGGATGGGCTACGCTGTGGAGTTATCCGCCAACCAAAAAGCCATGACCACAGAGTTTCTACAGAAGCTTGGTGGGGAAAAATGCAAAAGTCCGGAGAAATGGATGGCAACTCACCACACTAAACAGAAACAATGCAGGAAAATGCATAAAGATGCATACAGAACATTACAGAACTGCCATGTTTCGATAAAAAAGTTGATGGGCAATTTTTTGTGGATGATGCAATGTACACGTTCCATTTAAAAGTAAAGCCAGTGCATTTTACTTGGGTTGTCAGAATGTTGAAAGAATAGAGAAATCACCCCAGGTCTCCCGGTTGGAAGAGTGAGCCCCTAAAAAACGCATCAGCAATTCAATGATACGAATAGGAATCAACATGAATCAAACCACATCAATCCCCATCATTCAACATGGTTCCCATTCCTTGACAATCCAAGATTCATTTCCGTTCAGGATCTTAGCATCGCACGCCTTTCCACAGGTGGGAGTGGGGCCTTTAGAAACTCAGGGAGTTCTCAGCTAGGCTGTCTCACTGTTCTATCGATTTTTTATCCATTTAAGAACCCGGGCAGTGAATTTTTGAGTTTCGGATTCTGTTTCCCGCGCCGGTGTTCTTATGTTGCAACCTTCCCAGCCAGCTACTGTTCCATACTGTTCCTATTTTTCTGGACTACAATATCAATGATTAACAATGGGATTTTGACCAAAATCCGACAGCCATGGTATATTGAATCAATCTTTTCTGGTATTTTTACCATAGAAAAGTGGGATTTTGGTCCAAAAAATCATCCCTTTTTCCAGCGGTCAGTAGCAACAGGCCATCTCTGAGACCCTGTGGCTCTCCTCGGCGCGACGGATGGATCAGAAACAGCTCTCCATCAACGAGGTGCGGCCACGGTGGTGAGGGCGGGGTCAGCAGTCAATGGGATGAAGCGGGCAACAAAAATGATGGTATTTAAATTTATATGGTTTTTATATAGGTGTTTATATGGTTTTAGTGGGATTGAATTGGGTTGCGGGAAATATTGGGGATGTAATTGGCTACATTTTGGATTTTAGGGACAGAATTGGGATTTTATTGGAATACATAATGGGATATGGATAAATGGCATAGAATGGGATTTTCATTGGATAAAATTGATAAAACATGACATGGTCAAGACTATGGGCGTGCGTGTGCGTGAAAAATTTGGCACGCCCCACACTTTATGGCATCCTGTGGGGAAAATGGTAATAAACCATTGGATTTAGGGCAAGTATCCGATTTTGGGACAGAAGATGAAGTACATTCCACTATATAGATTGGTTAGCTATAGATATTGGATTAACTTAGATTACTGTATATAGATTATATAGATAGATGGAGGATGATAATGATTCCTGTTTTGTAAACGACTATGTGTTTGATTGAGGAATGGGTTCCCCTTGAGAGCAGATTATCTGACATGAAGGATGAATGGGGATCATCTGAAGGAAACCATTAGAATTTGGTAATTTTCAGTGCTCTTCATCGCAAGGCTTCGGGGTAGCCAGTATTGACCCATCCCCAAAAGAGTGATCTTTTAAAGCTGCCAATGGGATCAAGCAGAGACAGATTTGAACCAGTTTACGACTTGAACATCCGTTTCAATCTTTTCACCATCAGGAACACATCAAACAAACTTGGACAATCTCCATTTATCCCCGTTTATAGATGATTTTCCCATTAAAACCCTGCATTTCTAGGGGATTTCCCAGCCAGCCACGTTTGATTACTGGAAGGTAAACCCGAGGGTAACCCCAGACTTCACCAACATCCTACTGGACGGGGCAGGCCATTTTTGGGGATGCCTGGCGGTTGCGCTTCGAGTTTGGCTGGACCTTTCCTCCAGAGCAGGCCCGGCTGAGGGCAGATTCAGAGAAAGGTGGGGTAATGTGGGGTATTAAGTATGTGTTTGTTTTATTTTCTATCAAGAAAGGATGCTGCTTTAGACAAATTAGAATACATAAATTGCAACTGATTTCCTGACTCAAAATGCATAGTTGCATATTTTAAAGGGTATTGCGGGAAAAACAAATGTATTTACTGGGATGATGATCCTTTGTAACCACTATACATGTCTTTCAATGTTTTTTTAGTTAAGACCACTGGCGACAAACTCACAAATCGCTAAAAATCTGTCGACCTCAGCTCCTTGGAAGTCAATTACATCGGGAACGCCACGCATTTTCTCATGGATCTCCGGACATGTTCAAACGCTTTAGGACATCGCGTAAAAGAAAAACACATTTTTGAAGCTTTTTGAAGGCCCCTTAATGGGTTAGTAGCCACTGGTTGATCACAGCGGCTTTCTGAACGGCTACAGGTAGCTCCAACAAAGGTTGAAGGGATAGGTCTCCAGCTTTCCAGGAGGAGGAAGACGATCCCACACCTTTCTTTCTGGATGCTGCCTGCGTTTCTTGGCTTCCAGCTTATCGCCTTGGAAACCATAGTTTGCTATTGGATGTATGCATTTTGGGGGGGCCCACATGTGGGGTTATATAATATCAGGACGAGGGACTATTCATCCTGAGGAAAAAACATGGTAAAACCTGCGCGGGACTGCGGTGAAAGGCTTGACCACTCTCCAGCCTCGAGGTGATTTTTGAAGGTCAAGCTCTCCGCGAACTGGTGGATTATCGTGGCGCGCATGGCGTACGATGGGTGATGAATGGAGTGTTGCTCGGAGGAACTGTGATGAACTGCGTGGCTCGCGGAGCAAGGCTTCGCGTTTGTCAGTCTCACATTGTTTGGGCCTTTTGGCTTGGAAGGCCCATTTGCTGCATGAGCTACACAATCCTGTGTGTCTCCCACAAAGGCATCGTGCCTTTGCGCCTCAGGTTAGACTATCGTGGCTACTGGGTGTCAACCTTAAAGCTGTCTTCCAAATGCACAGAGAACTGCCATGGTGGCGCCAGCCATGGGTCCATGTGGGTCCTTGCAGGTGGGGCAGATCCCCATTGGCGATGCGACGGGCGGAGCCGTAAAGCATGTTGGGGGCGACTTCAACTACACGGCGCGTGATGCTTGGCAAAGCCGAAAAAGGCTCCGGCAATTTTGGGATTTCAAGCAGTGAACAACCAATGAACATGGGGGATTTAAGATATTTAGGATATTATTAACAAACACGCAGGCGGTAAGCCATGATTCATCATGCCATGATTCATCATGATTTTCTATGCATGTCCGATAGTGGCTTGGGGGGATATCACTATTAATTACAGAATAAGGACCATTTTGAGTGGGATGGTCGTCACAGAAATTTGGGTAGCCGGGTCGACCAAAACCAGGACCCTCTATGACCCTCTGATAGAATGGGAATCGATACCAGCCCTCAAAAAGCGGCAGAGCATAGAACTCAGAAAGCTGGGTTTTGCAGGACGTGACTCAGATATGGGTTGTTCCATGTTGTTCCTACCGTTTGAAATGGACAATAAGCGTTTAACAAGCAAAACGTCAACCATGTTTAAGTGGTTCATGGGGAGTTCCCATGATGCCATCCTCCAAGGAAGGCAAAACATCTATGGAGGTGGGAGTTTTGGGGATGGCCGAGTCCCGTTTGGGAAGTGGGGTCGTTTAGCCAGGATTGGGTAAGGATGGATAAGGATGGATAAGGGGTTTTAATTTCCATCAACCAATAACACTGCTTTCCCACATCAAAGGGGCCCAGGATTGATGGGTTTTAAGGGCACAAAGTATGGGGGGACATTGGAGGAACGATTTTTTCCCAGCAAAATCCTGCCACTTTCGGTTTCTTGTTGGCATTTATTGATCAACCTGTCAGCATCTGGTGGTGTTTAAATCTGAGACTGCGACCTGTTTATTCAATGAACTCCATGTTTGCGTATTGATTAGTGGATACTGGAGGACGTTGATTTTTTTTATCTGAAGACAAGTCTTCAATGAAGCAACTCCTTCATGCCACCGCAACCCCTTTAGGCGAGCCAGAGGCTTTCAAACTAAACCGGGTCGCCGTGTTTGTTATCAGTGAATTAGGTACAATTCAACGAGATTCCCTTGGGCGTCACGGACATGTTCTTCGTTCTCTCCAGCCACTCTCTTCCGCTGCTCAACTGTGGAAGGGGTGATCTCCGGTGATCTCCGATACTCAGGGGTGGATGAAAGTAAATCTAGATGCCCAAAGACGATCGGAGCTTCTAATATCGTCAAATGACCAAAATCTGTGGGCTCCAGGGCCTAGATTTTTTTTTGACCCACACCCCCCATGAGATGCAAACGCTTGGCGGCTTCAGGATTTCGCCCTTCAGTGATATCACCATGCAGGTGAAGGACAGCTTTGGCTTGCCACAGGCAACAAAGTTCATGAGGGAAGACCGGTGGCCCCGGTGGCCCAATGGTCCAACTCGGTGTAAGAATGGCTTGCACGGTTTGTCACGACTTGCTTTGAGATGTTGTTGGTTCTTGTGGATTCTTGTGCATGTGGTATATAAGCTACTGTTGATTGCATGCCATGCAACCCATGGAACATGTCCTTTTGCAGATTCTTGCAGCAGCTCTTTAAACAGAGAAGACTGCCTCATTGATTCATTCTGATTCAGCATTTCACATTTCACCTCTCCTTGCCTTGACGGCTTAAGTGGGAGGGAACTTTGGCCAGATCCGATTGCGGCGCGGAAAACTTCGAGCGCTTCCGCTACTTTGTGGCAGAGAACTTCGTGTGTCTTGCCCCAATTGGTTTTGCCTCCAATTGATATTGGTAGGCGGAGCCTGAGCCTTTGGGTTTGGGCTTCAACAACTGCTGCGCAACTCCATTTACTTTGACATCACCATCTCCTTCTACCTTCACCTTCCTGACTCCATCTACTACACATCAACTTCCTGGACTCTTGCTTTGGCTTGATCTCTGAGACCAAAGGTACAGCGATCTCTGAGCCAGTGGATGCCACCGCAGGCCAAGCCTGGAACTCCACGTGCTGCCAAACAAGCACGGCAAGGAACTGCAGGCACAATGTCCACGGCACAGTCCAGTCAGTTTGATAGTGGCATTACCAAGGATTCGTTTATTCCACTGTTTGATGGCCAGCCAAGTTCGTATCAGGAGTGGAGGAAACGGATCAATATTTACCATTTGAAAATGGGTCTTCAGAAACGAAAGGCTGAAAGCATTTTGAACATCATTGGATCTCTTCAGGGTACTGCATGGCGTTTGGTTGAGAATTTTGACCTCACAAAGATCGATGAAGATGGCACTTTCGAGTCTCTGTTGAAAGTGCTTGACAAGGCATTTCATTACGATGCCCGTGTTAGATTGCCTCAGGATTTTGATGCCTACTTCACTCACCTGAGCCGCCGACCAGGTGAAACCTTGCTCAACTTTGTGACTGACCATGATGAGAAGCTTCGCAAGATTGAAGAGCACGGCATCCAGATCCCTTCAGAGATCCAAGGATGGCTTTTGCTGAAGAAGGCAAACATCACCAAGGAGCAGCGTCAGATGATCATCACTCAGGCACCAAAGTTGGAGAAGTTGAAGGTACAGGAATCCCTGTACCTGATTTTGGGACAGGACCACAAGTCTGCTGTCTCTCACGACCACCATCGACGAGCGGGCTCCGGCCGACTTTTTCGTCGTGGTGCCTACGCTGCCTTGGATGATGACGAGCTTCCTGACGAGCTCTATGAGCCTGACGAAGAGGGGTATTTTGAGTATGACGACGTTTCTGAATATGCGGCCAACGATGATGGTTGGTTTGACGATTCGTTTGATGCCCAAGCTGCCTACTATGAAGATTCTGAACATGGACATGCTGCGGCTGATGAAGCCTTTGACACTGAGCAGTACGATGAGGCATTTGCGGCATACTTGGATGCTCGTCGTCGCTTCCAAGATTTGAAACTCTCAAGGGGGTTCTACCCCGTTGTGGCCGTTGCTGATCAAGGTGCTCTACCAGTTGCCTCTTCATCTCAGCTACCTGTTGGAAAAGGGAAAGGCACTGGCGGGGGGAAATCCAAGGGGAAGCCAAAAGGCCGTGGCAAGGCCTCCAACGTTGTGAAGTATGCCAGGCCTCCTCAAAAGGCCGTGGATCCCCGCGGCCGTGCCTCAGCTGTGTTGCAATGCCTACGTTGTGGAGCTTATGGTCACCAAGCTGCACAGTGTCCCAAGCCGCAGAAGCATTCGGGGCCACCGTCACAGGCCCCCGGTCCAAAGAAGCAGAACACCACTGAAGGCATGGCAGTCTCTCAACTTCCAACTGAATGTGGCCATGTCATCTTTGAGGACACCAACGGACAGCCCAGAGTTGACTGTACGATGCTTGATCCTGGTGCGAGCGCTTTCTTGATGGGAAGCGGGCCATTCCACCGCTATGTGGATCACTTGCGTGAACTTGGATACCCAGTGGACTCCATCGAGATGCAGAGAACCAATCGCACCTTCCATTTCGGTGGCGATCATTCCACAACAAGCCATTGGGTTGCCAAGGTTCCGATGTTCATCAACTGCGCCTTTGGATTTGCACAGGCGTTCATCATCAAGGGAGAAACTCCGATGCTGATGGGCCGCCCCATCATCTGAAGAGCTCGGCATCGTCGTCAACTTCAAGCGGCGATCAATGATGTTTGAAGGACACCCTTGGCGACCTATCACTATGGGTTTGCATGGTGAGTACCTCATGTCCCTCACCGAGGACTTTGACTTCGAGCTCATCGGCCAGATGCCTGCCTTTGACCTTACCTTGATGGAAACTCAGACTCCTGGCGACCCACCACAGGTCCTGGACTTTTTGACCTACCAGAAGTCTGAGGGCATCTACACGACCACTGATGCTGACTGGGCCGAGGGTGACCGGAAGATCATCCTGAAGCATTGGAAAACTTTTGAGAATGCCCTTGCAACTGCTGAGAACCAGATCAATCGCATGGTCACTCAGGAGCTCCATGATGTTCAACCACGACCACGTTTGATCTGGGAAGTTTATGCTGGCACCTCCAGAGTCAGCGAAGTTGCATCAGCCCTCGGTTGTGAAGTTTGCACATTTGGGTATGAAACAGGTTGGGATTTCGATCGTGCTTCCGATCGAGCTGCACTCCTCCACAAGCTTGACGAGGACATGCCCGATGAGATACTTTTGGCTCCTCGTTGTGCTCTCTGGTCTCGCATGCAGGCCATCAGTGCAACCACCTCTGAGCGACAAGCCCTTCTGCAAGAACAACGACAGCTTCACCACGACATCCATTTGGATTTTTGCAGGAAGATTTATCTTCGGCAAGTTCGTGGTGGCCGTCATGCGCACCTGGAGCAGCCCCACACTGCACTCAGTTGGCACACAAAGAATCTGAAGTCCTTGCCTGGGTTTCGCACAACGTTTGATATGTGTCAGTATGGAGCCTGCTGCTTAGATGTTGATGGGGTTTGGCGATTGACTCGCAAGACCACTTCCTTGCAGACCACGAAACGAGCTGTTGCCCAAGCACTGCAACTTCGATGCGATGGATCCCATGAACACTGCAGACTCGAAGGCAAGATGCCTGGTTCCGGCAGGTCTCGTACCTCTTTCATGGAGGACTATCAACCAACGATGGCTGCTGTTTTGGCCGCCGCTCTGGCTGCCCCAGAACCTCCTGCTTTCTGGGAGGAAGCCCATGCTGTGAATGAAGAGAAGTTGATCCAAGGTCAACTGATTCAGCTGATGACCACCAACAAGGCCGAGGCCATTCGAGCAGTTCAGCGGCTTCACCGCAATTTGGGTCATCCTACGACCACTGCCTTGGTTGAGATGCTTGAATCCAGACAGGCCTCTGAGACAGTTGTCAATGTTGCTCGCACGTTCCAGTGCCAAGCCTGCCTCAAGTACAAGAAGCCGAATCAAGCTGCACCTGCTTCAATGAAAACGGTGTTCCGTTTCAATCAGAGCATCCAGGCTGACACCATGTGGATCAAAACCGGTGACAACAAGATTCCGGTATTATCCATTGTGGATGAAGGTACCAAGTTCCAAGGAGCCTGCGTGATCGACACTGAGAAGGCCGAGCACTACATTCAATCCTTGGAGCGTCACTGGATTGCTCACTTTGGGACCCCCCAGCGTCTCATTACCGACGAGGGGAGGGGATGGCTGCATGATGACTTTGCGGCATGGACTGACTCTTTGAACATTCAACATGTTGTGGCTGCCGGAGAAGCCCACGAACGGCTGTCTCTTGTTGAACGGAGGCATGCCGTACTTCGCAAGGCTGTTGAGGTCTACCTGATGGATTTTGGAATGAGTGGTGCCTCGGCAGTTCGACAAGCCCTTGCATATGTGGTGCCTCAGATGAACAACAACCCTGGCACCTCTGGTTTTTCACCTGCACAATGGGCACTCGGACAGTCACCGTCCTTTCCTGGCGAACTGCTTGGCAACAACTTGAATCCAGTCCATCTTGGCGCCACCTTTGAAGATGAGCTCTCCCGACGTGCTGTGGCGAAGATGGCAATAGTCCAAGCAGACACAGACCAGAAGTTGCGCCGTGCCCTGCTTCGGCGATACGCCGGCACAAATGTGCTGTTGGCCCCAGGCCAACCCTGCTTCTACTGGCGTGATGCCAGAGCAACCGACTTGGAGAAGATCAGATGGAAGGGGCCTGCAACTGTCCTAATGAGAGAGGACGACCCTGAAAGTGGGAAGCCCCGCATCTATTGGATTGGGCACAAGTCACAACTGCTCCGTTGTGCGCCCCATCATGTCCGACCTGAGATTGGACGCAGTGCATCCACCTTGCTGGGTGACTTTGAGGTAGCCAAGAACGTCATCCAGAACCTGAAGTCCCGAGGCGTCACCCGCTACACCGACCTGACCATCACGAACAAGCATAGCTTGGATGACGTGGACAGCGACGATGAAGTGCTGGATGATGATGACGATTTGGATGGTGGACCACCACCTCGCCAACGGCGGCGTCTTGTGGACCCTGAGTTTCCAGGCTCACCAGCCCCCTCATTGTCCTACGAGCCTTCCATTCTCAATGAGGAGGTTCCCATGCCTGTTGATGACGAGGTTGGCAATGATGACAACACAGCTGCTGGCTTGCCTGGACTTGCAAGCGACTCACCTGGACTTTTGAGTCGTGGCTCACCTGGGCTTGGGGCCTCTGTTGGACCAGAACATACCATGGATCTTGGACTTTCAGATCCAGCTCCCATTGGACTCGAGGAGCCTGGTCCCCAGCAGCATCCTGCGCTTCCACTGGACACCTCCATGGATGTCCCCATCAGTGTTGGTGAACCATCAAGAGAACCAAGCCCAACACAAGCCAACAGGTCAACGACCTCTGACATGCCTCCACCTTCCAGCATCCCTTCATCATCACAACCACAATTGGATTCCATCACAGCTTCTTACTACCAGCCTGCAACTGCTGAAGACTTCAGAGCACATCGACGACGGCTACAACAACAAGAGACTATGTCATTTGGACCTTTTCGAAGTCGTCGACAAGCCTCTGAATCAGCACCTCCTGATTCAACACATGGTGAGGGCCCATACACCAAGCCCAAGGAGGACGATGGAGCATCCTTTGTTTTTTCTGCCTTTGATGTCGAAGATTTGGATTCATCGGCACTCCCATCTGGCTGGAAATTTGAAAATGGCTACATTCAGCTCACCGAGCAGCCCAAGGACTATTGGGAGATCAAGAGCGGATGCCTGATTCGGCACCATGTGGTTCCTCGAAGAACTCGCTTTGATCCGAACAAGATGTCAGAGAAGGACAAGAGCCACATCCCCATCACCTTGGACAAGCTTGACCCTACTAGAGTGACAGTTTGCACTGGACCAAACGAGGTCAGACACTACCACGATGTCATTGGCGACTTGTCCTCAGCAACGAACAAGCCATGGGTGGGCTGCACCATCTTTCAGATCAACGGCGCCACAAGACAAGAGTTAGGAATGACTGCCTACTCTGTCTCTTCGGCGAAACAAGTTGGGAAGAAGCAGAAAGTAGTTGCCCAACGCAAGATACGCAAGGACAACAACAAGAACGACATCTCAGAGCGCAAACTTAGTCTACAAGATCGACTACTTTTTCAGCAGGCCAAGATGAAGGAGTTGGCTTCGTTTTTCGAAAACGGGGTGTGGACTTTTGAAACCACCCGAGAAGCCGATCCCAACAGAACTATGAGCAGCCGCATGCTACTCAAATGGGCCAAACAGCCAGATGGCTCACCCCGAGCAAAAGCTCGCCTAGTGGTTCGGGGTTACACGGACGCTGATGCGCTGGCTGGCAGATTGGACACGGCATCACCTGCCTCAACTCGATTGGGGCGTGCTTGCCTCCTCAGCATTTCAGCCAATTTGCACTGGTGCGGCTGGAGCGCTGATGTCACGACAGCCTTCTTGCAGGGGTTACCACAAGAGCGCAAGCTATGGGTTAAATTGCCTCCAGACGCGCTTCGACTTCTGGGCGGTGATGAAAACACCCGCATGCTCCTGATCAAGCCAGTTTATGGGCAGCTGGATGCACCAAAGCGATGGTACTTGGAAGCAACCAGAAGATTGACTTCACTTGGCTGGACACCTCATCCTTTGGATCCTTGTCTCTGGCGTTTGTTTGAGCCTGCAACCGAAGGTGAATGCCCTGTTCTTTGTGGACTTTTGACCCTCCATGTTGATGACATGTTAGGAACAGGGAACCCTCAGTCCCAAACATACATGGCTGCTGAAGCTGCGTTGAAGCAAGCGTTTTCTTTTCGCACATGGCAGAAAGATGAGCCTTTTGAGTATTGCGGTGCGAAGATGTACCGCGATGATGACGGCACGTGGCATGTGGACCATCAGAGTTACATCAGCAAGATCTCTCCTCTACCCTTGGAAAAGAGCAGACAGCCTCACCAACCTATGTCTGACAGGGAGCATACTATGTTGCGACAGTTGCTGGGTAGCTTGCAGTGGCCTGCCGTGCAGTCATCACCACACCTCCAAGCTTCCACTTCACTTTTGAGTGGTGAGATGAGTTCTGGACTTTCAAGCCCCTTGCTCGAAGCAAATCGGCTGCTGCGGTTTGCAAAAAAGCAACAGTGATGTACACCTGCGATTTCCACCACTTGGAGACCTGAAGGATTTGAGGATCACTTGCATGTTTGATGCAGCACTTGGTGTACGACACGACGGTTCCAGTCAAGGGGGGTTTCTCATTCTCTTGACACACAAAGATGCCTATGCAGGAGTTGAATCTCCATATCATCTTTTGGAATGGCGCAGCATGCGACTGCCTCGAGTGGCACGTTCCAGTCTTGCAGCAGAAGTTCAATCAGCTGCAGCAGCAGTGGATAGCACCGAGTTTGTGGTGCGGTTTTGGCAAATGATGATGGATCCCCGATTGACTTTACGGGAAACCTTGCAGATCACAAACACGACCTTGACTCCAACCTTCATCACAGATGCCAAGGCCTTGTACGACAGTTTTCATCGAGACAGCATCAACCATGGCGCGACTGACAAACGCACCAACCTTGAGCTTCGAGTGATCCGCGAACAAGTTGAAAGTGTCGGTGACTTGCTCAAATGGATTTCATCTGAGCGACAGTTTGGAGATGGCTTTACAAAAGTTGCCGCTCGACAATTACTGAGCGACAGGTTGAGACATGGAGCCATCCAGTTTACCTTTGACCCAGAGTACACGGCCTCCAAGAAGAAGACAGCTTCTCAGAGAGCCAGGAGCAGATAGGAATTTTCAACAACTACCACCAACACTCACCACAACACCACACACAACCTTTCTACTGAAGCAGCAGAAGAAGGTACGCATGATGACCGTCCGCAGTGGACTGAATCAATGGACGTTGACGAGATCTATGGCTCCGTGGATGAGAAACATCTCTGCGAAGAGCAAAGGCTCCTTGACGATGCGCACGTCTCGGTGGATGAAGCCACTTTTGTCGAGACCTTTGTGCCTCAGAATGTCCTGCACTCTGACCTCTATGACGTTTCTGACCCCATGCACTCTCCTGAGAATGTCCTGGCCTCTGCCGAGTCCCTTGACCCTGCGAATGACCTAGTGACTGAGAATGCCAACACGTTTGTGAATGCCCAAGCTCCTGCGGAGACCTTTGTTCCTGTGAATGTCAAAGCCCCTGTGGAGAGCTTTGCCCGGGCGAGCAATGTCGCGCGGCCTTGTCTAAAGTATGTCATGGCGCTGTCACTGCTGGCTGGTTGCGCGGGCGACCCCCTGTGGCCAATGGTGGACAAACACCACGACTGGCGTGATCAATGTGCGCTGGGCGAAAACTCGAGCGCGACTGCTCACACTGGTTTTCACTGGATTTGGGTGATCTTCCTTTTCAACCTTGTCTTTTCCGTTTGCTGTTTTTGTGCGGCACTTCTGATGAGACGCCGATGGTTGGAAATGGATCGAGCACGGCTTGAACTATACCGTCAAAATGAATACTTCCGTGCTGAGATCAGGAAACTTCGTAATGAAATCATAGACGTTGACTGGCAAAGACAAGACCTGCAGTTGAAAGTTTTGGATCATGACAGGATCCGCAGTGAAGAGCGAGAAGAAGATCAAAGGGTCGTTCGAAAGGCCAGTGGTCTACTTGACCGCATTTTGGTGGAGCTCGAAATCTTGACAGGTTTCTTCATCTATACCACCCCACGAGGGGAATGTTGGCATAGCTCTGATCGATGCACCCATTTGCGAAATTCTGAGAGAGTGCGACGTAGAAGAAGCTGCTCTGGTTGTCATCATGATTTCCTGCCACCCTGGACCAGACATCCAGACTCAGGAACCACATTCTTTGAAGATTGTGCAGCTTTCTTTCACCAACATGGACGTTGGGACTACATGCAGACAGTCATAGAGTGAGAGCCGGACATGTTTTTCTTTTAAGGACTTCCCTTCCGTGTTGATTGCATGCCATGCAACCCATGGAACATGTCCTTTTGCAGATTCTTGCAGCAGCTCTTTAAACAGAGAAGACTGCCTCATTGATTCATTCTGATTCAGCATTTCACATTTCACCTCTCCTTGCCTTGACGGCTTAAGTGGGAGGGAACTTTGGCCAGATCCGATTGCGGCGCGGAAAACTTCGAGCGCTTCCGCTACTTTGTGGCAGAGAACTTCGTGTGTCTTGCCCCAATTGGTTTTGCCTCCAATTGATAGCTACTATAAGTTACATAGGATTGGGAGGTTCTGCGACCCAATACACGCATGGTAGCAGGAGCGGGCTGCAGGTTGCAGCAAGGTTTGCCTTGATGTGGCTCTGTTGATACAGAAGCTGATGCCCACCAACAGAAACCAATCCAAAATCAGAGGCCAAGAAAAGAATGTTTGAGTTGCCATACTGCTGTTTTTGGCGTGATATAGCGTGTATAGTAGTCCCAGGACAATATTCTTGAACATCTTTAACAAAATCCTTGATTTTGTACTGCTGTCCTGATGTCCTTTGGCTGTTAGCATCCGATGTCACCGGCGAACGCGAAAAAGGACTCGACCCACAAGGACCACAACATCTCCGATGTCTTCGAGCTGACACCCTCCGTGGGGAGACTCAGATCCGCTGCGCTGGTGCTGTGACAGGGCCATCGGGGAACTTCCAGCAATCTTGATATGTTCAGTATTGTTCAGTGTTTATCACTGTTTGATATTTGTTCTTGTTTTAATTTTGTCATATTTTGTCTATGTTGATCGTGCAGTTTCTCCAGCAGAGCTGCCGCATTTATGGAGGTGATTTGGGCCCCCATTGGCCCATCACTAGGTGAATGAATGTTGAGGGTATGCCAGCTGGCCATTTTGTCCAAAAGGACACCTCATTTTTTTCAGTTTAGCCGCGAAGAAACATAGATGATATAGATGCGGATGGGACAAGAAAATTTGTCATTAGCCAGTGGTGCAACCTATGTAGATCTATGTAGATGAGGGCTTCAACTTCAAACAGCTTATTTTTTTGAGTAGTTGCAATTTTACCATTGTTTGTTTAGGAGAGGGGTCGTCGAGCTACATAGCATGTTCAAACCACGAGAACGGATTTTCAAAAAATCTGAAGGGCCATTCCACGGTTTACAGCACACATCCCCACAATAGTCACACTCCATTTGGTGAATACCATTTGACCATTTGAAATTGAGGCAGTATAGAGAGTTCACCCTTGAACATGGACCCTCAGAACCACTTTCCCAACGCATACGCCCGTGTGCTGGGTTCCATGTCAAATTCTTGGAAGAAATTGGAGACTTCCTGAGCCTCCGTCAGTAGGTTTGTATATAAAGAGATATATAAAAGATTAAACGTATATAAGCTACTGTACAAAATAATGCGACTTTTACCTCCATTTTTCATCATTTTTCCCACTGATGGACGGTGGTGTGACCTACAAGCCATGGAGAAGAGCCTATGGATTTTCACATATATTATATGCAGTGCATGTTCATACCTACTTGTAAGTGGATGGACGGACGGATGGATGGATGGATAGTTAGATTATATAGATAGATCGATGGAAACTACAGGATAGGATAGGATAGGATAAGAAAGCTAGGTAGATAGAGAGAAAGAGAGATGTGTAATATTAGTAATATATTATATACATATATACATGTAGAGATAGATAAAGCAAACAGAGAAAGAATATCGCCACTGGTTCCCCCCCTTGCCGGCCCTGTCAGACGGAGAAAGACACGGCGCTGATCGCGTGTCGCTGCAGCCGCTCCATGGAACGGACCCAGTGGGGTGAAGGTGGCGCAGAGTCTGGGCTGAGACAGCTGGGAAGCAACCATTACCCTCTGATAAACATACAAAAACTATGGAAAATCGCCATCTTTCATGGGTAAATCAACTAATTATAAATAGGGAATGGATGGCACTGGGGTTTGCTCGGATGAATATTGATAGTTAATTTTCGTGGATGATTCCCGAAAATTCCCTACGTAAAACGCACCAGTATGATGAGGATTTTTCTGTGGGATTCACCCAATGCCACAAACCTACCATGACTGGGAATGGTTGAAGGATAAAGCAGCCCTATGACTCGACAGTTTTTTTCCAGATCCAACAACTGGGCCATGGCAGTGCAGAGATTGGTGAATGGACTGGTGATGGACTTTTTTTTGGATTTCGAATGATTTTTTTTGGCAGGATTAAAACCCAAAAAAACTTTTGAGAAAAAAAACGTCCCAATAATTGGTGTCATATGTTGTCATTCTTGGCTGTTCGCCCCATCTTGGGTACCCAATGTTGGAATATCTGAGAATCCGCCAGGCATTTGGAATCTGGAGATGTTAAGTTCATCCAGTGGGGGACAGGTGCGGCCTGGGGAAGTGGCTTACCTTTTTGCTGAACACTTTGCTATGGAAAATCAATGCAAACACTACCATTTTGAATGTCAAACATTGGTGAAATCAATGTCAACCATCTGTAAATGACAGCGAGCTATTTTCAACAGCAAACTGCTAAATGGCCGGGGGATAGAACAACTTAGGCCACCTCAGGATGCGAGGTTTGACTGGATGCTGGAAGGTGAATGCCATGGCCGGGTTTCCCCATCGTTTCAGTGTTCCACGCCACCTGCCCCCCGCAGAAACGGGGGAAAACTCAGCAACACATTTCACAATCTAAAAGGCAAACGAGCTCACCTCAACCCATGACTTTCTAGTTATGTGGGGTTCACCGATGCAGCATCATTCTTTCTCTACCTAGCAGCTCCCTGTGGGACCGCAGGCGATGGACTATCGCCCAGTCTTGCAGACGCTCTATGCCATCCAGGCATCCACGCAAAAGTCAAGGCCGGAGGATTCAGACGGAGACTTGACGGCTACGAAACTCGCATCGTTAGTAGATTTAGCGAGGTCAACGTCGAGGTGGGCTTGGCAGATTTAAGACAGTCCCCAGAAGGTTCAGTTTCATCAAGTGATTGGAGTGAAATAATATTTCAAGTTCCCAAATATTGATTTTGAGTGGACTGGAAGCAGCGCACGCATGTGCGACACAAAAAAAAAGAAACATTTCTTGTAAATCCGATAAAAATATTAAAAGTGCTCTTTTTCGCAAAGCCCGATTTCATCCCACAAGGGGTCAATCCACAAAAAGGGAAATCCACAAAGAGGAGTTGCAACCTTTCATTTCCAATCCCGCAATCGCAGATCAAAAAAACACCGGTTCATCCTAGAAAGCGTTCATTCTATTTCATTCCACAAGGGGGATGCGAAAAAAACAATTGTTCAGCGCCTGATTTTGTTTTTTTGCAAAGCCGGGTTTATCTGATGGGTTGGTCCGGGGACAGAGAAATAGGAGTTGCAGCATCTCATCTCTAGTCTCATTTTTAAGATCACGACATTGTTTTTTTTCGCAGTCCTCCGCTTGACCCCCTTGTAGCCAGGATCGCCTGTAGTGATACCTGATAAGATAAGATAGATAGATAGATGGATAGATAGAGTGATAGAGTGATAGATAGATAGATAGATAGATTGGAATGATCATGGTAGCGTTAACACTCCTAGGGTTTCATGGTGATTTTTTGGTGGCAACAACTTGGTGAATTTTTTGGTGCGTAAATTGACCTTGATACACGACGCGTGTTTTCTGGTGATTTTTCCGTGGCAACAACCCTTGGCACCTAGACATTGAAATGATCATGGTAGCGTTAAGACTCCACGGGCTTGAAGCGGGAACGGAGCCGGAACGAAGCGGGAGCGGAGCGGGAACGAAGCGGATTCGATGATTTCAACGTTTTTTCACGGTTTTCCATGGTTTTCTTGCCTGCCGCTTCGCTCCCGCTTCGCTCCCGCTTTCTTTTTCTCGTGTTTTTTTAACGTTTTTTGCAGTTTTTCCAGTTTTTTTTGATTTTTTGGATTTTTGAATATTTTTTTTGACTTTTTAGATGTGTTTATGTTTTTTTCCTGGAATTGTCTCGTTTTTTTTGGAAAGGATAGCAAGTTTTATGAGTAGCCCCGTTAGGAGTAGCCCAGGGTTCTTTCATCAAATGATGAAATGCTAAATATCTTTTTGACATCAAATCGTATCATTATTTAATCCGGCCTGATCAAATGCATCACAATGTTGAGGTAAAATCAAATTGAAAACATAAAATCGTATCACAATCTGATAATTCATTTCGATATGTATACTTCGATGGGATCAAGTCCAGCCATGCTCCGCTCCGATCACCACTTTTGATGGTATTGTTAATGAAGTCAAATCCAGCCATGCTCTGATCACCAGGTTTTGTCAGTTCTGACCTGGAAACTCCAAAAGCTATGTTAACGCTACTACGATGATAGCAATAGATAGATAGATAGATAGACAGATAGACAGATAGATAGATAGATAGATAGTTTAAGCCACCAGATAATGGTTTACACTACACCGATCAGCCCTCCAAGTCCACGATCATTTCAGGCAGGTGCAGTGGCCCTACAAGGGCGGTTTCAACGGTTCCAAGGGAAGGGAGGACCATTTGGGGGGCCATGGGGTGACTGTGGAGCCTGTTGAGGCCGTGGTATATGTCAAGCCGGGGTGGGCAGCCAACCAAATCGGAAGATGCATAATTCCTTGTTATGCTAATATTTAAACAGAAGGCCAAAGCTTGGGAGAAGCAAGGAAATTGTTTCGTATCCTTGGTTACAGACCTTGATTCTCAAAGGTTGTTAGAGGATTGTGAAAGGTGTTTGGACTGGGATGGACTGGGCCTGTGAGGGTTGTGGACCTCTCCTTGAATGTTCCATTTCGAAGGACCCAAGGAGTCTCATCAGAGACAACACTGTGAGGCGGCTGATTTCGGCTGGGAAAGGGGCAATGGATTGGCACGGATTGACTTAGGTCTGGCTCAGATCGGAAAGCCTGGGGGAGCACAGGTTTTGGTTGGTTTATGGAAATTTCCAGTTTCAGTCCATCTTGCAGTTTTACCGCAAGGGTACCTTCTTTTTGAACCTCTGAGTCTTTTTGACCCATGCGCATGTGCCCAATATGTTTCATGGGGCTTTAAAACTTGCAATTTGATAATTTGATTTTTGAAGAGTTGGCCACTCCGATGAGCATGGGGCCACTTTGCATGGTTCCGTACAATCGAAGGGAAACAAAATGTTTGCCTCAAAGTGGGAGTCCCCGAACTTCATGGCCCTTCCGGGTCTTGCGGGCTGTTGAGGTGAAGCAATGGCACAGCTTTGTTTTGTGCTTGCGGGCTGCTTGATGTTCATAGTATCCTCATTCTTTGCTCGCGGATGTTTGTATTTGATGGTATGCATGTACACGCGTACAGTATGTCGCCTATCGGTGCCTGTTGTATCATATTATAATCATTATCCTCATGATTTGTGAATTGCTCGTCGTTCTTTCGACTTACCTGTTCTGTCATCACATCATCAACGCGTCTACTTTGCAAAGGCTGGACGGTGTGTCCAGTGCCGATGCTGTGATGTTAGGCTGGGGGGTCTGGTGGGGACGAAGGAGGTAGTTCCAACTAGTGCAGCATAGCTGCTCACCGGCTGCCTTACCCACTCAAACCCTGGAAATATCTCGAAACCATACAATTACGATCCTCGGTTTGGATGGGGGATGCCGCCCTTGAAATTTCTACATTAGAACCAGCAAAAATAGTTTTGGAAGTTGCCTTTTTCCCACATTGGAAGTGGCTTGCATTTGGATTCCAATCATTAGGACCAAGGTTTCAGTTCGTTTATGCCCTTCTGCAACAGCCTTTTGGGGGAGCATGGGTTTGAACTGAGTCTGAGCCAGCAAGCAGATAAATGGCTATGGGTAGGGTTAAATCCGCCTTGGACAGTTGGATTCCGGGTTCGCAATTTGGAGATGACGCCCACATAGGGGAAATTATGTTTGCATGCAGGTACTGTAGATTGAAACAAGCAACTTCCAGCCGGCCACGTTCAGTACTGGACTAGAAGCAACAGGAATAATTCCTCATCGGCGTGCCATCTACATCCATCTACATCAAATTTATATCGTATGATATCGTATGCATTACATCATATTACATCCCATTTACTAACATCGCATTTACTAGTAGGTAAACCATCTATTTCTATGGGCCATCTATACCATGGCTATGTTAGTCATAACCAGAGGGTATAAGTTATATTAAGTTATATCCAATTCATGTCCAACTGTCCAATTCCTCCAATTCAGAAATCCCATTTTCCTCATCCCAAGGTGGAGGCCTACACCTGCCGTGCCCCGGATGTGACGGATGTGGGAAGAAATTCTGCGGCGCCTGCCTCTATGGCTTTGGGTCAAAATCGTTTCATTGGCCTTATATAATTAATTATAAATAATTATAAGTTATACCCCATTATGACACCGCCAAAAAGATGAAAATTCCCTGGAAACCTGGGAGGTTTGGTGAAAACATCATCGAACTAACGGGGTGGTACTAACGGGGTAAGTACTATGGTAATTTCTATGGATCTATGGTATTCTATGGTATGTATCCAGTTCGACCTGGTTTTTAACCAACCTAAAACCGGCTGGTGTGTTCAACGTTTCTTTTTTTGAACACCAGATTTAACCACCGGGCGTCTGGTCAAGGGGTCAAGATGTAAGGCCCTGCTGGAAAATCCACCGGAAGCTACCTTGGAAATTGGAAGATCAGCGTCTTGAGATGCCCTTCAGATTCAATGATATCGTTATCATGTTTGATTATGCTGATAAAAAAAAAACTCTTGATATTGATTATATAATTATTGATCTTGCTGGATGTTCCAAAAACTGCTTGCTTCTCTTCTGTTTGTTGATTTGTTGTTGGACACTGAGATTAGTATCTTGACACACACACACACATGGCTGGCGAAATGATGCTAAATCCGAGTATACGCATCATAATTGCGTATTTGTTATTGTTGTTCCGAGCAATCTGGATTGGACATATACTATATCTTTATATATCTTTATTGACTTTGTGAATACTTTTATACCATCCTTCACTGTGACCTTGAATCTGCCTGGTTGCTTTGACAAGCTCCAGTCCATCACTTGCATCATTCGTTCCCCAAGATATGTTCCGGATTTTCTTGTGCCCGTTTGGCACCAGGCTCTAGCAACAGCCCATGTGCTCTGTCTATTCAGCAGTGTCAGGTGGGGCACTTGCAGTTCTGGATGACTATGAAGGCAAAAACTGGCAAGGAAATGAAGCAATCTTTGGCAGCTCAGATTGGTCTCACGAAATTCAAGATGACGTGTTGTTTTCCGCGGAACTAGTCAAAGTCCACTTGGTCTTGTCAGAATTTTGGCCGCCAGAACCTGTGGAAGACGATGGAAGACGCAAGGATGATTGCTACATGCTTGGGCAATGACCCAGGAGCACTTGAAAAGATGCTTCAACAACCTCGAGCTCCAAATTGTAGGGATGTGGTTGGCAGGACCCCACTGCACTGTGCTGCTCTGGCATGCAGAACCTGCCAAGCTGTTGCTTGAGGCGTTGCAGATGCCTGCGATATTGAAGGATCGACAGCTTGAGAATGACCATCTTGAAGTTGCTCGCTTGCTGGTTCAGGCTGAGGCAGACGTCAACAAAAGCACAAGCGATGATGGAACAGCACCTTTGTACATGGCAGCTCAGGAGGGCTACGTCGAAGTTGTGCACTTTCTTATTGAAGCTGGGGCAGACATTGATATAACGAGAAAAGCTGGAGCGGGTGGAGTCACAGCATCGTACATCGCAGCCGAATACGGCCATCTTGAAGTGGTTCGCTTGCCAGTTCAGGCTGGGGCAGACGTCGACAAAACCACTGATGACGGAGCGACGCCATTGCACCTAGCTGTCGAAAACGGACATCTTGAAGTGGTTCGTTTGCTGATTGTGGCTCGGGCAAACGTCGACAAAGCTACAACTGATGATGGAACAACACCGATGCACGTGGCAGCTGAGAAAGGCCATCTTGAAGTTGCTCGCTTGCTGATTGTGGCTGGATAGATGTCGACAAAGCTGCGACCGACGATTGAACAACACCATTGCAACTTGCAGCTGAGAACTGCCATCTCAAAGTGGCTCGCTTGCTGATTGTGGCTTGGGCAGACGTCGACAAAGCCACGATTGATACAGGGACAACACCGTTGCACTTCGCAGCTGAAAGTGGCCAAGTGGAAATGCTTCGCTTGCTGACTGAGGCTGGGGCTGATATCAACAAAGCCAGAACCATTGATGGGGCAATAACCCTGAACATCGCAACTCAGAAGGGACATGTTGAAGCGGTTAGCTTGCTGTGTGAGATTGGTGTTACCAGAAAAAGAGCTAGAACTGCCACAAGCTGATTGATATCAGTGCATGAAACCATGGAAACCATGCACTGTGCACATCTTGCCTTCTTGTCATTGACATGCTTGAAATTGAGTTGTTTGATATTGTGTCCACGCCACGCGCCTTTTGCCCCAACGAATATGAGCACACCAAGCATCGGCTGAAAAAGTTGCCAGTGGGGCGCGCTGTTTTGGCCCATGTTGGGGCGATGTGCCATTTGGTGAGGGCGGACCATCGTTGTTTTTTTGCGGAAGTTTCGGACGGATAGATATCTATTGCATTTATTATCCATCTATTGTATTTACCCTCTGGTTATTTAACATAGCCATGGAAAATGCCCCATTTATAGATGGTTTACTTGTTAAACATGGTGATTTTCCATGGCTATGTTAAATAACCAGAGGGTATATGTATTTATTCCATTTTATTCCCTTAATACCCAGAGATTTGAAGAGCGCAATGGGGATGTACTCGGTTGTGCCGTGCCGTATCCAGAGTTGCTGGCCGAGGTCCATTGGATCCAAGTCCTCTGCCAGGACGGTCCTTTTCTTCAAACTTTATATGGCTATGGATCAATACCTATAAAAATACCATTTTGGATGGGATGAACATCCATTTTAACCCAGCTAAATTTTGATGTGAACAAAAAAGGGGTACTATTGGTTTTGACACACTGCCATATATTCCCCAGCTGTGATTGGTTCATTGCTGGCTGTGTGTTTTCATATGTTTTCATTCTGCGCCACCCAGGAATCCAGTCATGGTTTTGGGTGGGCCGTTCTGTGGGTTGAATCCCCCCTTTTGCGTTGGTTCGCTGTCACTAGGAGGAAAGATAGCGAGGTGACAGCTGGAGCCGGGAGAGGTTTAACAAACATGGTGGTGTTTAACATTCAGCAAATTAAGATAAATAGCAATGGAAAATTACCATATGTTTAATAGATAATAATATGTGACAAAATCATCTATGAATGGGCTATTTTCATCTATTTTTCGTAGCCATGTTAGTTTACCAGAGGGTACATATGTTTTTATTCGAACTTTATCCCTAAATAATCAGGATTCAACGATGACACCTTGGGGATTTGGCTGATATTTCTGGAGTTTGGGATGGCAACTAGGAGGATGACCCCCAGTGGCGATGATGATGAATTCTCCAAGGGGCTGATGGGCCATCAAATGGGTCCGAAAACAAGAAGAGAGAGTCCATTCCTTTGGCGAATCATCATTTGTCCATGGTTTTTCCTATTGAATCTTGCGGATTTTTCAAAAATACCCTTTTCAATCCTTTTCAGACATCCAAATCGTTTGGTGGTTCAATATATTGCTTTTGCCGACCAGTGATTTGGGCAAATGGCCATCACAAAAATATGGTGAAGGGATCCCACTTTTCTTTATCAATCAGTTTCCTTTCACTCATCCTTGTGTCATGTCGACCATTCAACTTGCAAAACTTTATTCGGTGACGGCATCGAAGATCCAATGCTTGTTGTTTTCCCCTGTGGTGACCAATACTTTACCATCCAGCTCATACCAGCTCATTGTGCGTCCAACCATTGTGTGGTGTGGCAATCTTTGACTGAGGAGGTCAGCAACACCATTTTCCGACAGGAACTCTCGATTTCGCAATGCGTGTTCAATATGAATTTCAGTGATGTCATGTCATGAAATAAGGAATTTACCCCAAATAGATTAATCATTGTCATTTCAGAGGAAACATATGAAAATATCTACTTTTTTTGGTGGTAAATTCATACAGTAGATTCCCCATGATGCCAGGATGGCACGGGAACGAGAAGCGTTCCGCTGACTGCACGAGGCCGGTTGGTAAAGGGGCGCCTTTTCGGGGCTTTGGCTGGTTGCCAAAGTGAGATTATGATGGTTTAATGGGACTTAATGCGATTTGATGGGATTTGATGAGTTGCCAAAGTGTATCATTGGCAAATGGAAAATCCCCGAGCTAAAAGTTTGCTATCGAAGCCATAGCCATGGATTAGTTCGATGATTTACCTCGCATTTGAACGGTGATGTCCATAGTTAATGGCACAGTTTGTAGTTATGGCATATATTACCAGAGGGCATCATTGGGTTTGGTATAAAGAGCAAATGGATCTCCATTGGCTTGTGCACGATATCAAAGGAGTACAAAGGTGGTCAATTCCAAGTACAGTATCTAGCCCTGCCACGAGGTTGCCCCAGTTTCTGGTGGTTGTTTGTGGGTCATGGTTTTGGCTCCCATGGAAAGATGATTTATCACTATAACAGTGGCACTGTTATGAATGGTTTATTGGCTCATGTTAGCTCCCTGTTGGATCCTGGCGCATGACTTGACCTGGCCTGGCAGGCGTTGACATGGCCCGCCAGATGAGCCGCTGGGGTTGTTGGTTTTAGTATTTTGGATGGGGAGTTGATATGGGAATCCAGTAGGCTTTCAATTCGTGGGGATTTAGTGGGATCTTTTGATATCACACCAATGCTGGATCAATGTTGGATTGATATGGTCAGTCCGTTGCCATGCTCTGCTGCTATATAATTATATCATGAGGACACCATCGGAATATACATAGGCAACAATATGATATTCCGCGTCAATCTTGGATGGCTGCTTGAGTGCTCAAGCGTTGCTATACATGGGATATTTACTGAGCATATTGACCATGCCATGGGTAAACCTTGGTTGGGTATGGATGGTGGACATTTGAAATATGCTATGATTGGACGTACGCAGGGTGCTCAGCTAGAAACAAACAGGTTTGCAGAGGATCTCTGATTAGGCATGAGTGATGCCAAACATTCTGGAGCAACTTTATCAATACTGGAAGAATTTCCTGTGTATAGATGTTGTTTCTGTTGAAGTATAGGGATATTGGATTTCCATGTCGCTTCACTGAGAAACAAGACACCAGCACTAGTCACTAGGCCCATCTAGGCCCCAAGTCATTGAATATGGGTGGCTCAAGCAAAGGGTACCGCGCAAACTTCATCAACATTGATGGAAAAACATGATGTACAAAAGTCCAGCTTGAAATCAATTTGCAGGAGTCAACCGTTAGAGCCGTAGCCGAGATGTCTCCAACCAGTCTCCAACCAGCATTTCATGTTCAACTTCATTGATTTCTATCAATAGATTACACTGTCAAGTTTAGGAGTCAGAAACCAAGGCCACTTCCCAGTGCAGTTCCCAACTTGAAAGAACAATTCTGTTGGCAGCTCCAGTGTCAAATTCCAAATCCAACTTCCCAAAGCTAGTCCCAGGGCAGGGGCAAAGGGGGCCCTTCTGAGGTTAGAGCTTGTTGCTCCATGTTGCCAGATGTTGCCAGAGGCATCGTGAACTCCTGAGATTTTTAGACACCACGAGCCAGAGAAGACCTCAAACTGCTACCGAAGAGCCAAGCAGCTGAGTTGATCCACTTGGAGAAGATTTCAAAATTTGCTAAGATGTGTTTTGAAAGGTTTGCAGGTCAGCCGGCTTCTCGACTTTCATGGTTGGTACCTGTCCCTAGTTCGGCAACGGGCAAGTGCTATGCCAAACATCATTGGTAGAATTTAGCTGTTGAATCTCCGTGGTGGTAACCCGGAAGTGGGGCTCGCTGTTTCAAGGTTTCAATTGGATGGTACCATTATTGTCAAATGGACAGAAACCATCCCTTTCAACCCCTTTCACTCAAAGCCAATGATGGAAATCTCAATTTGCACTTGAATCCAATATGGTATCCCGGTCTTAATCTACAAAGTTAACTGTTGAAATGGTACTTTATCTAATATTAAACCACCCATTTTCCATTCTTAGATCTCCATTTTGGACATCTTCGGTGCCAGCCATTAGCTCTTGCTGCCGGTGTTTGAAGTGCGCAGCTTTGTTCCTCACCGTTTGGCAGAGACCAGCTGGTGAGTGCCAGGATTGAAGAAAGCGATTCTCAGTCCAAACGGGGTAGATCAATCCTCGCACTTTGTCAGATTTTAAATCTCTGTTTGATATTGTTTATATAATCCCATTTTTTGGCCGTTGAATGATGTTGAATGTCTACTTTTTCTGCGCTAGATCCCCATTTTGTGTTGGTGCAGAGGTGCGAGGATGAAATATTTCCTCCTTTTCACCAGCACACCTAAGGTGTATTGGATCAAAGCAAGGAGGTAAAAAGTGTGCAGCTGGTGATGATGCGGTCAGTAAATATGGATCGTTAGTGTTTCTTCCCTATTTTTTCCTCACCAAGGGGATACATAGTCGTATAAATGGATGTCAGCAAATACTCTGGAAACAATGCTTTTGACCTTTTGGAACTCACCTGGAAATTGGATAAAGGTTTGCAAGATCCACTTTGGAATAGTTCTCTGAACTGTCACCCCATGAATTTCCATTGTAATCATCATCATTGACATTTCATTATATAATTATTTATATTCGGGATTTCTACATTTATATATATAATTAACATATATATATATATTTGTGATTTATATGTATTTATATATAGAAATCCCGATTGTTTATTGATTAGATCACATGTTCCTCTGGATTAAATCACCATCTCGGTGGGATAGTGCGGTGTGCCCATGACATTTTTGAGAGGTGCAGAATGCCCGTGCGCAGCTGCAAGAGGTGAGAATTTCAGCAGGGCATTGGATCTTTGGATGTTTCAAACCACATGAAATGCCAAGGTTTCTGTGGTTTATCAACTCATAAACCATTTCTTGTGGGGTTTTACCAATGTTATGTGTGTGGTTTGATATGGGAACATAGTTGCATTTAAGGGTAATCATATGTACTAATAGTCTTGAGAATGTGTGGGAAACAATGCCATAAACCACCCATGACTGGGAATGGTAATGAATGGTAAACATACCACCTATATATTTATGGTGATGACTGGGGGGTTGTGTATGCAATTGTTGTACCCACATTAATAATTATCATCATAGACATAGTAATATAGTAATAGTAGCACAAAGAGTGAATATGATTACTATTGAATTACATTGTTTTGTTCAAAGTAATAATCATCATAGTAGCAAGAAGAATTGCAATTAATAATGATGACAATAATCATGTAAAAAGTGGCAATACCACCAATAATAATATCAAATAATTATATTTATATTATATACATATATATATATCGGTAAAGAAATTAATGCTTGGATATGTTTCACCCTGCCAGATCTTTTGGTGCAAAGATTTTGCGGGGAACCAGAGATCTTCTGTGCTGGAAACCTCCAGTTTTTGTTGACCCTCAAACCCAGTGAGAACTTGAAAAAAGTCAGATGACAAAAGCTTGCGGGGGATGATAGGATTGGATATGATACTTCTCGGTGACAGAATGAGATGAAACCATGGAGGCAGATTATCAATGTATGGATGAGATGGCCCATGATGGCCCTGTGGGACTCTGGCAGAAAGCCAGTGTTTTTTTGGTGGCAGAAAGTGGTAGAGGTCTAATCTGTTCATGTGGCATTTCAGATCAAAAATGCTTCCAGACACGGATGCCGAAAGATTGGATTTCCAGCAATCCCTGAAAGTCTCACCTTTGATGGGGGAAACATGGGGAAACACAAGTCTACCATTGTTACAGTTGTTGGTTAAAGTTTTTACATCCCATTGATATCCCCTGAAGTTCCAAGTAACATCCCATTCCGCCACCATTTTTCTTGGTGAAAGTCGCCTGATTTGATCAGGTGGTGTCCGCTGGCCGCCGCTTGGGATACATCGCCACTGCACGGCTGCAGCGTGATTTGCCTAGGAAAAAAGGGGGACCAATCCAACCAGCTTCCTATTCAGCAAAGGCCTTTGTTTCGGCATACCCTCTGGTTATGTCAAAATAGCTATTGAAAATGGCCATTTATAGTGGATTTGTCCCATTAAAAATGGTGATTTTCCATAGTTATGTTAGTTTACCAGAGGGTAATCATCGCCGTAAATCCCCATTTGCCGCATCACCTGGCCCCTGCCGGCGGCCCAGGGGGTGACTTGGAGGGTGCCCAAAGTGCCCTGGAGCAAATCAATGCGATGCCCAGCTTAGCCACCGCCGCGGGAGGACGGGAAACCCTTGCTGCAGAGCATCAACAGCTATAGTATGCTATGATTGATTTAAATTGGCTATAATATGCTATAATTATTGCGTATCAATTCCTCATTGTATGGTTTAATCATGTTTAATCTTGAACCTTGCCTACTTTTTCCGACGTGATCTGCCATTGATCTACCTTTTTTGTATTTTGTTGTTGCTTAACCCTTTCCGTTGATTATCCTGTCATCCCATGTCATCCCTTAATTTAATTATTCCATCCTTATCCATCCTTCGATTTGTGCCACCCTATCTATGAGTTTTGCTGCTGTCCCCAAGTTTGGCACCACCACATTTCTTCGCAGATTCCCTGGTCACATCCGGTCAGATCTCTGGTCGTCCCCGGAGCGACGGCTGCGATTTTGCGAGTCCTGCAACGTCTCGGGCTTCTTGGAGGTCATCGGTCATGGGACACGGCTGTCAGAAATGATCAATTTCATATAAGGTCCCATGACACGTCCCCAGATGTCCCCATGGTTTTTCCAACAAAAACAGAAAGACAAGTGCCAAGCAAAAGTTTGAGTTTGAAATCATCCTATCATATGCCATCATGTTTCACTATGGCATCTCCAGGCCCTGCTGAGGTCTACGTTGCAACCTGCGCCTTCCAACGCTTCCTGCAGACCGGGCAGCTGCTACCCACTGTGCCGACTGCGTGGCGCACAGAGATCGCGGAATATGACAACGAGCGCCCCGGAAACCGCGGAAAGTAGGCGAGTTGGGCAGTAGAAAATGAACAAATGCCAGAGATTTCCTGCTTTTTTAAGAATTTGCTGAAGGTGACTGGGTATTTTGTTCAGGGGTTAATCCATGTTAATCCACCATGTGTGGAATCACGGTTTGTGCCATTCCAGGTGACGCAAAAGGGGATTTGAATGTGCCATCGAGGTGTTACCTCATGGGCCTCATCGCAGCCCTTCGAGAGATGGAGAGGTGTACCTTTTGCCTGGGTGAGGACAGAAGCAATGGAGCTTTAAAAACTTCATAAGAACATAATAATCTATAAATGGGGAATTTATATACCCCCTGGTAATTTAACATAATTCAACATTGTTAAGTTATATTATTACTTATTGTAAATTGACCAGAGGGATGTTTTAATGTTGCTGTGAAAACTGTGATTTTCGGTAGCTGAGTTAGTTTACCAGAGGGTAGGCGGATGAACACATCAGAAAAAGTTCAGACTGGAGGGGATCAGCAAAAATGGAGAACGGTAGAGAATCGCCCATCAAAATTTTGGCGGATCATAGGGAAAGAACATGAAAGAACAACCATTCACTGGATTGGTTTAAGGGAAAATTTTAACCGGAAACCATGGTTTTTACCATCAAATATAGGGCTTTCCTGTAAATTTTCCCATCATCCAATTCTATGAACCAAGAATCAGGTGTATCTCGATGGCACAAGCAGCTACAGGAAACACAAGCAGCACCTCAGTGCGTTTGGCCAGGTATGGAGTGAACCGTGGCCAGGCGTCAATTCAGAATGCGGTGACAGAACCGGTGAACATCATTTGACATCAATCATTTAAGATTCAGAAATTCAGAATTATTTATCATCATATTTATCATTATTTCACATCATTTAATCACATTGAACCAAAATTTTAGCGGTTTTTGCCTTTCGTGGACCAAGTGGTTTCCCCCTGTATCCATACGCCGTGGACGACGGTTCTGCGCCAGGCCCTTGATTTGCCTTCCGTGGAGATTTGCCTTCGCCTGGGGCAGAGTTTGGAGGAGGCTGGGGCCATCTATGTGGTTGGTGCTTTTTGGATCCCCAAAATGGCAACTTCTATATGATATATTTGTGGAATATCTTCTATCCTTACGGTACGTACTATAGTTAGTATGGTCAGCCATAACTTGGGTGTCAACACAATAATCCATAACTTAAGTTAGTATGGTTAGCCCCACCCAATAACACTTCGAGCATGTTTGTGTTTCCATTTTCACGGTGCAAAAGAAAGAACTAGGAACCAAGCCACAAAACAATCTGCACATTTGGTTTTCTTCGCTATCGTCTCATGCAACCAAATTTGGCACCAGCCACGAGCCCCATTTTGACGAAACAAACGCCAAGATGAGCACCCTTTTTTGCTTTAAAAATGCACCGCATACACAAAATGTGCACCAGAAAGCAGATCGTTTCTCCAGGTATTTTTGGTGAAATGTTGGTGCCCTCCGCTGGTGCTCACTGTTAGTGCAAAATATCCCAGTCCATAACTCTATACTACAGTAACTATTCCATAATAATATTCCATTGAAGGTTTCCCAAGTCATGAAGCTACCCTCAAATTAAATAAATAAATATATACATATATTTAATATATCCCAAATGAGAGATTTTTTTCGCATTGAAAGCGATGGTGACTTGGGGACCCCCCGTGTTAAGAACCTCCCATATTGATGTTCTTACGGGTGTTTCGTAGGAGATGGGGAATGACGCATAATATGCCATATACCTACAACCTCCGGATGTGAAATTGCTGTTTTTTTTGCGTTTCGCCCAAACAATGTGTTTTTTCTATGTGTTTCTTTAATTTTTGCTCTTTCATGTTCTTCCCTATTCTGTCATGAAGTTTTGGTTGGCTACCTCGTAGCCTTCACTAACCCCAGAGAGATCAAGTGAACTACCACAACAGAAACCCATGACTATTTAATTACCTTGGACACTTTGGAAGAAACCTCTTAATCTTAAAGGAGCCTCACTAGTCAAAACAAATTCTAAGTGAAAGAAAAAACATACATCCCCAGAACGTTGCAGAGACTTGGCCTTTCCATCGCTTAGATTGAACAAATAAGCAAATCCTGGCAGATTATTCTTTTGTCGCTTCATTGGCATTTGCCCTGTCCATTCAATGTGTCAGGCATTTGAGTTTCAGGATCAATACCTTTTAACAACAGCAAAACACACACCAATCTGCTTAAAATGAATTACGCCTTCTCGCCAGCAAATTACGCGTTTTCGCCGGCAAATTACGCTCTTTCGTGCCGTTGCAAAAATTGTTTAAGGATAGGCTGCCCAATGTGAAAGATTCAGAATCTAATTCTTCTCAAACGCCCTTCTAAGTCCAAATTGCCACTTGCTCAACTTCTGCGAGTTGGATATGGTGATGAGAAGGATGCTGCAACAAAACTCCTTTGCCAAATGGGCTTCCCTGAGATGACCTTGCGATTGATCTGTTCGGCATGTTGTACCCAACTCAAGAGTGTATCACCTTCTTCGCTTTCATTTGATGGCAATTTGGTTCTAAGAGTCATTCAAGAGAAGGTTGTCTCAAAATGAATCCAAATACCAGTGTGTAGGACCATGACACATGTTATAGAAGGCCAAGAAAATACGATCTAGAAGGTCAAAAAGAAGAAAATCCAAAAAACACTCGCAGTCAAAAAAAAGGGGTACTACTTCAAAAAAACGTTTTTGTTTCCGAAAAAGTAGAAAAATAACACGTGTTTGAAGAAGCAGGTGTAAATATATATATATATATTATATATAATTTATATAATATATTAACAATCATCCCATTCCCCGATTCCGTACTAAGCACCAGTCAGTAATTTGGGAGTCAAGATTATTTGAATGGATTTACATGGGCTTTAAATGGAGTTCACAGGATTTCACTGTTCCCAGCATGGACTTGCTCCAATTCCCTGGCGAATTGTCCCGAATCCACGAAATTTCGATCACTTCACTTCAAGATGAACCACCTTAAATTGATGTGACCAGGTGGGTCGTCACTGGACATGTGCTTGGGGAAACTGGTTTTTTCTCGATCGACGACTGGGGATCGGATGAGTTTTTTTTTGGTGCCGTTCGTGTGGACAGGTACTGATGCAGTTCAACTTCCGCAACAGCGCCTTGAGACAACGAGTCGACCTCAGAGCGGGTCACCGATGAAGAAAAGCCATGGAAACAGCCTGATGTCAGCTCTCGGCGCCAGGTTTTGACGGTGTGAAGTATTCGGTGAAGAGGCCCTTGCGCCGCAACGGCCATGGAACTTGGAAAGGGCGTGCCAACTGGGAAGCAACACTTGGAAATGGGAAAAAAAAAGGTCTAGGAAAAAAAGAACAAAACAAGATATGTTCACAGATATTATATATTCAATGGTTTGCTTTCATGTTCACTTACCTAAGGTCTGAGTTTGTTTATGTGATTTCCTTTCTGCGCCCCTTGATATGTAGAAAGGATATGGACATGTCAATATGTTTTGAACTTATGTGATATATCGTCCAACGTCCGCTGAAATCTTTGAACCGTGTCACAGGTTAGAGTCTTTGAGCTACGAAATCACAATGGCCAGGCCGCATGGGAGAGATGGGTTCAGCAGAGGTTGTGATGAAGCAAGGCTAAGGGTCACAACATTCTGCCCTTTTTTGGGGGGATCCAAATCATCCCAAATCAAGTTCAGCAACCGGTCGATGTGAAAAATGATGTGACAAGATTGAAAAACGAAGTTTTTTGTTAAAAAAAATTTCATTGTCAGTGATTTGTTGTTTTGTGTGTATGTGTCCATCTGTCTATCTATCTATCTATCTATCTATCTTTATTTATCTATTTATAGTATTTACTTTAAGGAGCTTCTTGCCGTTGCAGTGACAGGCAGCGCGCTGGTGAACCCACCAGCCTGGAGCAGCCCATTGCAACGGAGGATGCCTTAGAAATGGAGATTCTGAGCGTCACAGCCTAAGTTGTGACGGACTGAACCACCCCTTGGCCAAAGAAGTTGTGAAGTTACGGAAGTTCGGTCAGTTAGGAGTAGATTTGGGAAACCCCGGTAGTCGCAAGGTGTCATGTGTCAGCTCTCAAATCACCATCACGTATTTGCATGTATTTGCACGTATTTGCCAATATGGTTTCATGTGGTTTGATAATAGGTCGAGAGATTTGCGTTTGTGAGGACTTTATATGCCAGAGTTTCATTTCTTCACATTGATGTTGTTCTACTCCACGCGCATTTTTGTGGGAGGCTTTGGTGAACCCAAGAATCAACTATCCTGCTTCAGGGTTGATAATTAGCATGATGAAGTGTAATTCTCCGGCAGTAAAATCTAATAAAATGAGGGGGGTGGCTCATGGCTCATCATTGGTGTTCGCCACACTGGAATGCTGATGATGCCGCAGAGATCCAAAAGAAGATCCTGAGTGTTGAGGACAGCAAGCGGCTCTATGAAGAGTTTGATGAAAATCGCGAACAGGCAATGAGCGGATTGATGTACATCATTACACTATAGGAACCCGCAATGATGGCCCGAAAAGTATGGGAAGCTTATGAGGATGGGGGGGCCATCATTGCAGGTCCCTCTAAAATTCCATGGGCTTTTAAGGTGTCATCAGTTTTTGTCTTCACTCTGGAGCTACATTCAGAGTAGATCCTCAGTTTCAGTGATTTGTTTGCATGAAAACACCATTGTCTCGTTGTACAGTACCTCGTCTCGTTGTACCTCGACCCAAAAAAAAGTACTCATGGGAAAGGATAGGAAAAGTACACAACTTTACACTCAAAACGTGGGGTACTGTTGGGCAAAGCCCTCTGTGAAAGGATCTATAGGTCAGTAACTGCCCTTATATCATGCCTCCTGGTAGCTGATGTCCTCCACCATGCAGGTCATGAAGCGCTCCCGCGACGTAGTGAAAGCGGCAAAGACGCTTGGAAGGTCAAAGAGCAATAGGAAGAATGGTCTTGGATCCATGGCTCCGTTTGATTCCATTTGGATATATAATGATACATAATGATATGTAATGATACATAATTATTCACAATTATATAATGATATAATATATATATATATGTATGTATACATGTTTCGCATACTATCCGTCCGTCCCTATCCAGGGTTGCATGGGTGTCCCGTAATTATTAACGTATGGCGGCAGAATCTTAGCAGAACTGATGGTTTCCTATGGTTTTCTCGACTGCGATGCGGTTGGGGTCTTGAATTTGCTGGAGCAGAAGAATTTTTCGGAGGTGAAGTCGCACTCTCTAATTTGGGACTGGTTTTTGCAAACTTTTTCTGGTATACGGTATGGGAATGAGTCATTCTTGGGCTTACCACATTATGAGGCGGATGCATCCCACGCAAAAGAGACATCGACCTAATTGGAGGTTTCCTGAAGTGGGGATACCCCCAAATCATCCATTTTAGTAGGATGTTCCATTATAAACCATCCAGCCATTGGGGTGCCCCCATTTATGGAAACCTCCCATGGTGAGAGACCGCACCATGTATCACCCATGGATACGAGGAACGCCATCTACGCGCTCCAACGCGCGGAATCTCAGATGGAATGTGGCCCTCGGTGATCGATCCAGAATACTGCGGCCATGAAGAATTCTCTGATGAGAAAAGCTGGATATGTTCAGTCCGAGTTTGGATATTTACAGTACATCATATATTGACATCATGTTACACGTTGTGAGGTGAAGATTGGAAACGGGTGGCTCAGAGCGGTCCACACGACGGGTGGGAGAGGAATGGAGGTTTCTTAGTCGTCATGGGGGATCCCAAAGTCATCCCAAGTCACCGGTTTCAAATGGTTTCAGACCACATGTCAATACTAACAAGGTCTACTGACTTGGATTTAGATTTAAGGTCTATTCAGATTAAATAGATTTTCCGAGGTCGTCTCCAGTACTGAGCAGTTGGGGGAAGATGTTGAACAGGTACTGTTGAGGACCAAGTATTGGTGGGAAGATGTGGGAAGTCTGCATCTATAGTCTTTAGTCTATGTAGGTAGATAGGGATGGACTGACTTGCGGAGTTCTCTACAGACATCATGCTGCAAATTCAAGTCCTTCAAGGCTTCAAGATGGCTCTTTGAAACTGTTTGAAACGATGCTACTAAGGCGGATTCTCAAATACAGCTGTGTGCTGACCAGGCGCTTAGATCTGGGAATGGAGTGTTTTATAAGTTGTTATCATTGGCAGACTTGAGTGTTACCATCCAGCATAGCCAAACATCATGGAACATCAGTGTATAGATGACAACAATTACAGCCTTTGAATCCCCGATCCAATCTCACTCCAGAAAAAAATCTGGCTGTCACTGGCTGTCACCTCAGAATGAGAGGCAAATGCAATCTACGCAGACTTTGCGTGCAATTCTCCCACGCTCAGCCAGGAACTCAGTGGTTTATCGCTCTGAGAGCCACTAGTTTTTGCAGCAACGGAGCGGCATGTTCCACTACACCTGGCTGAGGATTGGGCTTCTTTAGTGGAGCTCTGGAGGAAATGGCGGAGGTGCTGGTCTGGCATGGGAAGGGGAGTTTCAGGATTAAAACCATAGAAAATCCCAAGGATTTTTTAGATCATTCTCCTGGTCTTAAGGTTCTTAAGGATTCTTTGGTGTAGGAAGTGTGTGCAATGTAAGCACCCTTTCTTTTTTGATATTGGTTAAGCATTTACTTCCATATTTTGTGCTCTATACTTTGTCGTCAGAGTCATCATGCTCAGGAGTTTGTATTTGATCATATTATGCCAACTGATTTTGTGTCATGTGAAAGGCTTTGGCTTATCGAGCTTTTCGTTCCATCCTCAGCACTTGCCGTGCTACTCCACGTCGGCAAGTAGCTTGGAACCCAACTTGAAAGCTGAGAAAGCATTCCTGGAGTACGGAAAGCTGCTCTTTTTTGTGAAGATCTTCAACTTCATTCAAAATAAAAGTTGAAGGGCATGTGGATTCCCCTGAGCAATTCGCTCTTGGCCCTTTGATTTGTCGCTGTTTCCTAGGTGCTGATGGGAAGCTGTTAAGCTTGGATGACATGCAGGCTGGATGCTTCGGGATGTGCCCAGGTAATTACTTGATTTTGACCCTACTTGGGCTGAAAATACAACGAGCTGCTTTGTAGGGACGTCATCACGTGAGTTTCACACAAGTAGCCGAGTTTCCCCTTCGCGGTAACAATATTCAAACCGTTTTGGATCACTTGTTTTGCAGTCACTTGAAGATACCAACATCATCCAACCAACATCCCAATATGTTGCACCTGCGGTCTTTAGTTGAATAGTGATAGTGATTCCACAACTGCACTTGTTTTTGTTTTCTCCATTGATCTATTGAAGAAACGGAAAATGCGACTCTAGCTTCAAAGCCCCTGAGTTTACGCCGGGGCAGACCTTGTTTGAAGTCTATGGAGAGACAGCTCCAGGATGTTTCAATTCAACCAGTTAAGACCCCAACTTACGTCATCTCCTTCCCCAGCGAAGGGCGTTAGCGGCCTGCAGTTCCCGTTGCTGTTGATGGAATACCTCGGGGGCATCATGGACCTCACAGGAGTGAACTCGACGTGAGTTGGGGACCCTGCAATTGTGGCAGGTGATGTGGCAAATTCAAACATCAAAGCCCTTGGATATGGCCAAGTTTTGGTAAACTGGCTGGGGCTTGATTTATGGTTGCGTTTACGGAGATGTCTGAACATATATCTAGTACATGCACATATAATCATATATAATTATTTATATAATATATTTATATGTGTGTGTGCTGGATATGTATGCACTTTTTTCACAATATATATATATATATATATATTTATATATATTTTTATATATATATATTTATATATATATACATACTATACTATTGCACAATCTATCATGATTTGTGACCCAGTCTCGTTGGCTCAAATCGCGTTCAGGGCTCTAGAGACATTGGCAAATCGGCCAACCCTAAGTGTCTTGCGTTTTTTTGACTCGACTCTACTCGAATCTGCTGGATTAGCTTCGGTATGTTCTTCAATTGGGGCCAGGCTCTGTCAACATCCCAAGGGATTTTGTTGCACACACATTGCACCACTGCATCAGTATTCAGCTGACAGAATCTCCCATGACAAGCCATGGCTGATCAATCGCGATGGTTCATCAAAGAGAAGCCGCTGGAGGATCGAATCAAGGTGCTGTATGGGATGTGAACCTTTCATGACCTTTTAAACGATAGCAAAAATCAAAGCTATGCTGCAAATGTGGTGATACAAAATCATGCCAAAAAAAAAACATGGAAACCGATGCTTGGTGTTTCCCTTTATGTAATTGTTTTTCCAAACCCTGTCTCCGAATCTCTATATAATTACATCTTTTCTGGAGCTCACAGATGAATGGGTGGCGTACCTCATGGTAAACCACTGAAAGTTTGTACTTCAGCCACGAACAACAAGAAGGGATTTGAAAGCCGAAGAACACTCAAAGAACATGGCATAAATTTAACAGATGCGTGTACCATCCCCGCCCCTCATCCCATGCCCATCCCATCCGTCAAGTTGCAGGGGACCATGATCTTTTCGAAAAACGGATTCTCCATGTTTCTTCCATAAATTCTCCCAGATCATCCAACCCCTTGGAATCTCCTTCTGCGAAGGCCTGCAAGAAGTCCCTGGAGGCAGCTGTGCGCTCGCAGCGCGCCAACATCGCTGAAGCCTTGAGGGTCAAGTTGGCCAAGCTGCAGGTAGTGAGGACCTAAAATGAGTTGGCCAACCTTGCCTTGACCCAAAAATGAGCAAAAAAGCGATGGATTAAACAAAGAAATGGGGACTTCACCAACAGAAAGAGAGAATTGTCCAGGCAAAACAAGGTGATTGTATGATATTACATGATATTGCACCAAGGCAAACAATGTAAGTTTTGAACAACCATGGTGGCTTGACGACTCAGAATTTAACCAGCCAAGATGGCGCCACAAAAATTGGTGATCTCAACGAGTTATTTTTCATGCGTGCTGAGTGGATGTCCAAAAATCAGGGGATGCTGCTGACAGCTTAATATCCAAGAATCTCGAGCATGATTTAGATGTGATCTTGAAATATGTAACAAAGTTATATAATCAAACAATATAATCAAACAATGTATATATATATTAAAAAATATAACTTAACATATAGATAATTATCTCTAAAAAAAATCTGAAACTATCTCTTCATTATCCGAAAATGAAGCCGCTGTTCCGACCCTGCCAGGCCGAGCAGACGTCTGCTTCGAAGAGTGGCAGGGCGGCGGTCAAGCCGGCCAAGCCGGCCAAGCGCAAGGTGAAGGTGAAAAAGGTCAAGGGAAAGGCCAGCAGTGTCCAAAATCATCCAAAATCCTCTCAAAATCCCATGAAATTCCGGTGTTTTTTTCGCTGGTTTTTGATGTTTTTTGTTGGTGCTTAAACGGAGCTATCTATATACTGTAGCTAGGACTACTTTGTAGCTCTTTGATCCTTTTGTGGTCCCTTTTGCTGATTTTGACTCTTTCGTCGCTTTTTTTTGGTTTGGATCATCAATCCCGGTGCGTTTGAAATGTGTTTTTTATACCGGTTGGATTTTACACAAGTTCAGCAGTGCCACTTTGGATCACAATACGTACTGGATCGTACTGGTAGTGAAAGGGGCATCGTGACAATGCTGGGAAGCTTGACATGGCTCAGGTGGCATCCGCAGGTCCAGAGACGTGCTCAGCTGGAAAGCTGAAGACGCGACTAGCCAGCGCTGACTCCAATGCAGCAACCATTGACCGGCCAGCCACCACATTGCGCAAGAAGAAGAGCTCTAAAGCTTCCAAGAATTCAACGTTGGCAGAAAGCTCGAAGCTGTCCAAAAGAACCAAGCTGGACAGTTCCAAAGTGTCCAAAAAATCAGAACCCTCCAAAACTCCAAAGTCAAAATCCAAGAAACCCTCCAGCATCGCCACGTCCAGCGATCGTGCCACGGCCATCGAAGTGTTGCTGCGCGCCGCCACGGCAGCGAAGGCCGCGCGCCGCGCCGCGGGCGAAGAGTCGGAAGAGGAGGCGCCGCTGCCGGAGCTGCCGATGCCCAGGACGAAGCTGGAGATCGTCCTGGGGGAAGAGGGTGGAAAACAGCCTGGTGAACGGAAACGGAAACAGATGAAAGGATTTGGGATGATTTTTGGGTTCAAAAAACCAAAGGATTTTAATGCGTCGGGTCCCAGGCTCCGATATATTCTCAGTGATCCTTTATATGTCAAGTGAGGAAGAACAAAGTCCGATTCCGCAACTTCTCCGGATTGCGCAACTAGGATTGCGCAACTAGGATTGCGCAACTCTTTGGTCGGATTGCGCAACTAGGATTGCGAAACTTGGCTTGCACAATTCCCAGGATTGCGCAACTCTTAGGATTGCGCAACTCTGCTTGCGCAACTGCTCCTGACAGATTGCGCATGTTCAGGATTGTGCAACTCTGCTTGTGCAAATACGCTGGCCCGACTGCGCCACTCTGCAAGTGCACTTCCCCAAACAATTCCAGCCCCCATACAACTTGGAAATGACACATGCCGTCCACATGAGCAAGACGTTTTCAAAATTCCCACCCCCATGGAACTTCAAACTGGCTTGGAGTGTCCACAAGGTCAAGATGATATCAAACTTCCCACCCCCATGGAACTTCAAACTGACTTGGAGTGTCCACAAGGTTAAGATGATATCAAACTTCCCACCCCCATGGAACTTCAAACTGACTTGGAGTGTCCACAAGGTTAAGATGATATCAAAATTCCCACCCCCATGGAACTGCAAACTGACTTGGAGTGTCCACAAGGCTAAGATGATATCAAAATTCCCGCCCCCAAGGGACTTCAAACTGACTTGGGATCTCCACAAGGTTAAGGTGATATCAAAATTCCCACCCCCATGGAACTTCAAACCGACTTGGAGTGTCCACAAGGTTAAGCTGATATCAAAATTCCCACCCCATGGAACTTCAAACTGAATCGGAGTGTCCACAAGGTTAAGATGATATCAAATTCCCACCCCCCATGGAACTTCAAACTGACTTGGAGTCTCCACAAGGTTAAGCTGATATCAAAATTCCCACCGCCATGGAACTTCAAACCGACTTGGGGTCTCCACAATTAAGCTGATATCAAAATTCCCACCCCCATGGAACTTCAACCTGACTTGGAGTCTCCAAAAGCCAAAGATGATATCAAGATTCCCACCCCCATGGAACTTCAAACTGACCTGGACTGCAGTTTCCACAAGGTTAAGACAATATCAAAATTCCCACCCCCATGGAACGTCAAATGACTTGGAGCCTCCATAAGGTTAAGATGATATCAAAATTCCCACCCCCCATGGAACTTCAAACCGACTTGGTGTGTCCACAAGGTTAAGATGATATCAAAATTCCCACCACCATGGAACTTCAAACGGACTTGGAGTGTCCATAAGGCTAAGATGATATCAAAATTCCCACCCCTAAGGGACTTCAAACTGACTTGGAGTGTCCATGAGGTTAAGACAATATCAAAATTCCCACCCCCATGGAACGTCAAATGACTTGGGGCCTCCATAAGGTTCAAGGTTAAGATGATATCAAAATTCCCACCCCCATGGAACTTCAAACTGTCTCGAAGTCTCAAAAAGGTTAAGATGATAATTCCCACCCCGATGGAATTTCAAACTGACTTGGAGTGTCCACGAGGTTAAGATGTTTTCAAAATCCCCGTGGAACTTCAAAATGATTTGGAGTCTCCATAAAGTTAAGCTGATATAAAAATTCCCACTCCCATGGAACTTCAAACTGACTTGGAGTGTCCACAAGGTTAAGGTGATATCAAAATTCCCACCCCCATGGAACTTCAAACTGACTTAGAGTGTCCACAAGGTTAAGATGATATCAAAACTCCCACTACCATGGAACTTCAAACTGACTTGGAGTCTCCACAAGGTGAAGATGATATCAAATTTCCCACCCCCATGGAACTTCAAACTGACTTGGAGTGTCCATGAGGTTAAGATGATATCAAAATTCCCACCACCATGGAACTTCAAACTGAATCGGAGTGTCCACGAGGTTAAGATGATATCAAAATTCCCACCCCCATGGAACTTCAAACTGAATCGGAGTCTCAACAAGATTAAGATGATATCAAAATTCCCACCGCCATGGAACTTCAAACTGGCTTGGAGTGTCCACAAGGTTAGGATGGTATCAAAATTCCCACCCCCATGGAACTTGCATGGAGTCTCCATAAGGTTAAGATGATATCAAAATTCCCACCCGCATGGAACTTGAAACTTACTTGGAGCCTCCACAATGTTAAGACGACTGTGAAGTCCTTGGCACGCCGTGTCTTGAAGTTGTGGGAATGAGTTCGGAGGTAGCCGAGTGAAAGAAGGTGCTTCACTGCTGCTGCAATAGGGGACTGAGTTTCAAGATTGTAACGATTTTCAAACATCAGATTGTGAAACTTGGACGTCGCATTCTGAGGCTTAAGGCTTTGGTTATGAAACTTGGAGTTTTACAGGTTCCTGATCTGTCCTCAGAGTTTCGCAGTACCCGTGAAACAATCTCCGCCTAAAGTTTCACCATCTCTCTGCAGACTGTCACAATACCAGTTTCACAATCCCCCCCCAGAGTTTCACAATTTGTCTTCAGAGTTTCACAATCCCAGTTTCACAATCCGTCCCCAGAGTTTCACAATCCGTCTTCAGAGTTTCACAATACCAGTTTCACAATCTGATCCCAGAGTTTCACAATCCGCTTTCAGAGTTTCACAATCCTACTTTATAGTTTCACAATCCGCATTTCAAGTTTCACAATACAAGTTTCACAATCCGACTGGCAAGTTTCACAATCCAACTTGCACAATCCGCCTGGGAAGTTTCACAATCCGACCGAGAAGTTTCACAATCCGACGTTGGCCCCATGCTTTGTCAAGTGAAGAATTCCATTCAGATCATTCGCAGTCATTAACACCACAGGTTGATGCTTGTTTATTGGGCGTTCTCTTGTGCGCCTATGTTCTTCAATTACGATAGAATGTGAGTTGGGTTCAATATCCATAGTCACCATTCAGCACAACCCGTCTACCACCGATCCAGCAGGGCACTTCCTGATTTTGAGGTTTAGTGGTCAGTTGCTGGCGCTGAATCCGCAGGAAGGACTTATCAGCCAGCAAGGGCGCAATGACTGTGACGGATGTGGAGGAGATGGAGAGTGAAGAACCCGCAGAGGTGGGATAGTTTTGGATCGCATCGAGCATGTCTTTCAATTGGCAGATCCAATCTAAAGATTACATAAGGTTTCTAGTATATGCTTTGTCAACTTGTTACCTCTTTCATAAAAGCCTATGCCTGTACTTACATATATACATACATTCGTACAGTACCTCTTGAGCCAGATTCATCATGTGCATTGTGTTGGAAACATAAGATAGCGACCTTTCGCCCTTTCGCTGCGGCCTAGGATGACGATGACGGTGAACCGAAGGCACCGAAACATCAGGAGACAGAGGACGAGGACGAAGACTTTTTCGATTCCGTGGAGGATCCTCTGCCGGTGGAAGCTGAGGCATCGCATGGGTTGAAATTTCGGCCCCAGCCAAGTGAGTGGTTTCCTATGCGCCGTGAAGCCTTGTTCGCAAAAGTGACTCATTAACTTTCCATAAGTGGCCAATTGGCATGCTTTTACGGCTTTTTATGTACCACCGTTAATGGGGATGATTTTCCCGCTACTGGTACGGCTCACCCCACCCCTTATTATTATCATTAATAACCTCACCATTGTGAATCTGTTCGTTTTGCAGTCCCATACAAGGGGTGCTATTCTTTTGAGGATGGGGTTAGTTGGGATACTGGCTGGGATGAAAGCATCGGGCTCAGATCAGTTTCTCCCAGGGTAGGCCTCAGTTCACCCTCTGGCAGGCAAGGTCCGGCAATCAAACAGCCAGCCTTCGAGGAGGGTCGAAACCTTGATGAATCGCCATTGCGACAAGTGGCCAGGGTCTTGCATTATGGTATTGCGGATGGGAGAAATTCTGCATTGCCTTGGATGGTTGAAACCTTTCAATAATGGGATGAAGCACCTAGTGTAGGATTCGTCCATCCACTGTATTGTATCATATTATATTTGTTGCAGTTTTTTTCACGATTCACAATTGTTTGGCTAATTTTTGTTCACCAGAACCTGCACGGAAACAATGGGGAATGTGGGATCCGGATATGTTGTCCATGTTTGGCAGATTTATGTTGTTTTGCCTTGAGACCGCTCCCTGCCATAGGGATTGGCAGAATCGTTCTGAAATATATATAATATATATTATATAATATAATATTCAGATCAGCTAGGCATTTTTACTAGCCGACTGATTTCTTTTCGTACTTAGTTACTTTGCTCGTTCCCCAACATTAGCAGAAATATCAAAGCAACCCGATGAAACCGCTGGATCCCACAAAAAAAATCAGCCGCACCAGGTTTCATTTGTTTCTGACTGATTAGCAAAGCTTTAATATATAGAAATACATAGAAGATAGAGATAGAACGGTAATTTACCACTATTTTAGTAGGATGAAATTTTCCCTCTTTTGGGAGGTTACCAATATACCTAGTATTGCTATATTTGGAGGTGTTTTCACATCCATTCACCAGCTATGACTTAGGATACCTAGGTACCAGGCTTTTGCCCTTTCCCATGTACGTTCCTTAGCTCCGCGGCCCCACCAGGAGCTGCCAAAAGAGCCAAGAAGCAGCGAAGGAAGGAGCGTTTGGAGCTGATTCGAAGCTCGGCTAATATGAAAACCTTGGTGTTTGGGCTACGGGCCACGGGGATTTCGATGTTTTAACTTTAAACATCATGAATATGTTTTTCCATGGTTTTTCTTTGAACATCAAAAACAGGGAATATCATTTTGGAAAATCAGTGTTTGTTGATCATTATGGGTGCTTATCCTGACAGTATAGTGGGGATTATCATGATTCATTATGGGAATCGATCGTTGGTCCAACAGATTGATGAGGTTGTTTGAGCACCTCGATATCCAAGGGTTGAGACGGTGAAGAACACAATCTTTCCTAACTGCCATTTTGCCCCCCTCCCCTGCGTATTTGGGGACTTTATAACATCCCAGCTGCAAGTAAGGAGATTACCATTTACCAACTTCCGATAGGGCAAACTATTGGAGGCCCGGCCAAGAAACAACAACTAGTATTGACTTGGATATGATTGGATTTGATGCACTGTATGTAACGTATGTATGTATATCGCCATGATCGCGAGCGAATTTTCTTTTGCAGATGCCGGATTGCTCCGCGCTCTTTGTGGGGACTGACGTGTTGGACACAAACACACCTGAGGTTTTGCCTATGATTCCCTCAAGACGTTCCCCCAAGATGTTGAAACAGATCATATCCCTGTAGTATGCCCTCCAAGTGTCTGTTCACGTATGTATTACTACGGCCAAACACCTCGTCTTGCCCGCGCCTGTTGGCCCGCCTTCTTCGTATGAGCTGAAAACGTGGTAAAAATGAAATATTTTAGCATTATGGTTAACTTGATGTTCTAGATCAGAATGCACAGCAGAGGGACCTGTGCGGGTTCGTTCCACATCATCATCATCATCATCATCATCATCATCAATGAAGATCTTCAACGAATATAGAAGTTTAACCCCGGTGGGAGAATTAAACCCTTATTGAAGGTCTTCAATGAATGTAGAAGTTTAACGGGGGTGGGAGAATTAAACCCGCCCTTATTGAAGATCTTCAATGAATGTGGAAGTTTAACGGGGGTGGGAGATTAAACCCTTTTTGAAGACCTTCAATGAATGTAGAAGTTTAGCGGGGGTGGGAGAATTAAACCCGCCCTTATTGAAGATCTTCAATGAATGTGGAAGTTTAACGGGGGTTGGAGATTAAACCCTTTTTGAAGACCTTCAATGAATGTAGAAGTTTAGCGGGGGTGGGAGAATTGAACTCTTATTGAAGACCTTCAATGAATGTAAAATGAATGTGAAGTTTAATGGGGGTGGGACTTTTGTATTCCCTAAGACCTTTGTTGATCTTCCCAACACAACAAGGGTGTGGCGAACCGGGTTTGCGCGTATTACTACCATTATGTTGCTGATTCTAAGGTCATACTAACATATGATGGGTCAAAACCATCCCCCTGGGGGAATACTCCAATCACCAGCGGGTACCTAGGATCCACAGGGTCCAGGGTTCCTAGGTGAAGAACCGCTTCTGAAACATCCATCCTGGGTGGCCCAAAAAAGTCCTCGTGTCAGCGGCGCCTTTTCAACCGTGAAAGGCAAGAAAGGACCGGATCTCAAAGGGCCGGGATGATGTGGGGATATAACCAACATGATATGGAAACTATGGTGAATGTGTGATGGATGAATACCTTCCTGGTGAAATATCAAGAATTCAATGCTGATGTTGAATTCTGTTTTTTCAACATCACCTGGCATAGGGCATAAATCACTAGTCATGAGTTCCCGAAGTGATGTTCATAGTGGATATTTCCGAACCCTGGAGGAAAACGAACCACGTTTGCCTCTGACTCCGAGTGATGGCGACATTGTTGCGATCCACCCGTAGATTGTGAATTCCTTCAGATTCAGGCGGCGACGGCATCACGGGCACCCCGGTCCGGTATGACTTGTTCGTGGCCTCCATGACCAATACGCAGGGAGAGGAACCTGGACATTCGGCGGAGATGCAGCGATGCAGCAACACCGGCAACGGTGTGAAAAGCGAGTGCATCTGGTTGGGAGTTTACTAAAGGGCTAGTAATTACTTGAGGTTAGACCATGTGGGTTTGTCTGAAACTTCTCCCGTTTTTTTTGGGAAAAGTTTATCAATCATGTTTCTCTAAAAAGATTGCCACTAATTTGAGGTATACACGGTATACCTATGTATACCCCATTTTCAGACACCTACTTAAGGTTAGACCACGTTATACACTTGGATCCCTTGAATCCCTGGCGTCTCAGGAGAAGTTGGTCGATTGGCGATTCGTTCTGCCGGTTGGGGCTCCAAGCTGCAGTAGCTGCACTTTTGATGATGATATATGATGATATGTTTTAATATTGTTTACACACATACAGACATACATACACACACATGTACACACACACATATATATATAGTAAATGTTACTTGTGGTATACCCCCCAAATATATATATATATGTCTATGTATATGTATATGTCAGTTTCGATTTGGGAGCCACCAATCTTGGGGATACCTTTGTAGAGCTCTTGATGACTTATGTTGGAGCTTCAATAGGCAGAAGAACCTGCAATGACAATGATGGAAACCGTATGAATGACGTGTAGGCCGCGATAGGATAGCGAGGTATCGGAGCGCAATGGTGTGGATACGGATGTGCGGTGATATTGAATAATTCATGTGTAGCAATGGGGGTAAAAGAGACATGGACGGATGGATAGATTGGTAGATGGTTAGATGGATAGATCGATACTCCGATAGATAGATTTGTGAGTTCCAATTTTGCAAACCCTGAAAGGCCAGAATATCCGCCGCGTTGATTCTTACCATGCTTGTTTATAGCATCTACAGGACATTCAAGCAGTTATATCAAGATTCACAAGATATAATATATATATATATCATATATACACATTATATATATATAGTATTTATTTGCCTTCTTTTGGCAAGTCGTCTTCTGCCCAGTTCTTGTCGCTTGAACCCATTTGTTTTAGACAGTGCATCGGGTCAGATTTTCAGGTCAAGGGCGCGATGGTGAGGACGGGATCCGCATTTCAACGATTTTTGTCATTGAAAAACATGTGAATTACCCTCTGGGAATTTAACATAACTATTGAAAATGACCATTTATAGTTGATTTACCCACAAAAAAAATGTGATTTTCCATAGTCCTGTTGGTTTACCAGAGGGTAAGAGATGTCAGCTGAAGCATTGTGAGAATTATGATTATCCCATTTTGCCATTCAAACTCAGCAGATTGTTGCTATTTAGAACTTTAGAACCAATCCAAAATTCTGATGAGTTGTTAGCTATTTACCATCAGTTAATTCAACATAGCCACGGAAAATAATCCGTGAAAAGTATATACAGATATATATACAGTATATAGATGATTTTTACCTTTAGCTTAACCATTTTCCATGGCTATGTTAGATTACTAGAGGCAAAAAAGTTGAACAATGTTTTCAGCATTTGGCCATGAGCTGGGCGCATTCGCCAGGAGAACATCAAGAGCTGTTTGACATGTGTGGAGGCCGCTGGGAATCCATGCTGAAGATCAGCAGAACATTTGAAGGGGTCACCAAATTTCATGCCAGAGGCTGTCTATGATGGAGTCTCCATCTTGCCGTACCTGCATTTGCCTTAGGTCGCGCAGTTGCTTCAATGATTCTTCATCAGTGAAGAAGCAGAGCATGGCAATAATATATGCTTATTGAGGATGGGTGATTTCACGTTGGTCAAATTCATCTATCGTTACATCCAATCATGAACTATTTTCAATGGTAATTTCAGGATCCTAAAATGGAGGTGCTGCACCATATCAGGCCATATTTTGTGGGGATTTTCCATTGATATTTCATTTGAGCTGTTCCCATTGCATGGATGGGGTTCACCAAGATGTTCTGATGGTTAGTCGCCTCCCGGTACCAAGCCACAGCAGCCCCATGGACATTCCGCCAAGGTAAACCTGGAGTGTGTTTACTATGATGGGGGTACTCCTTAGAGACATAAAAAACAGCGTTGAGGGAGTAGTGAATATGAACCAGATAATGTTTAACATATGAAGAAAATATGACACGTTTGGTTTACCCCATTGGTATCCCACAATTTCATGTATCCAGGCTGATTTTGCCAATGTTTCGTCATCCCTAGGCCTGGAAGCCTTTCAAAGAAGATCGGGCCCTTGAAGGGTACTTTGAACAAAATCGAGCAGGCAAGATGTGCCGGAGATGGAGCACTATGGGGATACACACGCATATATTTAAGTTTGACACCCAGAAAAATTGATATAGAGATTTCTATTCATTTTCGAACTTTTGTGAAAAGCATACTCGAAACCCCAGTTTTGGCAGTCCATGTCAGTTTGGTGGGTAATCCATGACGAAGCCAAGCAAAGCAACTATTCAAAAATCCATACAAGTTATACACTGGATATATACAAAACAAACGGAAGCAAGTGATGGTTTACTACACTAAAACTATGGAGAAACTAAGGGTTTTTGTCTTTAATATCGGACGAACTGCCAGGTACTATATGAGCTGGCACTCCTGTCACGAGGCAGGTCTGCTTCACCAGCAACATGATCTTTGGGTGTGTCTGGAAGGGGGGTATACCCCCCGCTTTAAATGGAGATTTCATGGAGAAAATGTGTTGATTAACCATCCAAAAACTGAGATTTGAAAAGATATTTTAAACATCCAACATGAAAAATGAAAACATTAGACAAAGAGAAATTGCGGCTTCGCCAAAAGTTCGGGTGTGTAAAACCTCAGGATCCCCAATTTTTTGTGGATTATTATGGCACGCACGTTCAAATGCTGTGTGCTTCGGAGATTGGTTTAGATGCGTAGTTTGTAGATGCCTAGTCACGGAGATACCCAATTGGTCCCATGTTGGTCCTAGACGTGCTGAGCACGGTGGGAAGCTCTCTGATCCCACTGGGACACATTAGTCCGGAACATTTGTACAGGAGCAACTTCTATCCAACTACAGTGTCGGAAGGGAGGAATTCTCTGGCATGCGGAGGTCAGACTACCACTAAAAGATGTAAAGATTGCAGCAAATTCAGGCTTAACAACTCATAGAACCGATTTGTTGTAGAACCGATTTGTTGTATTTTGTTGTTGCAGGCTCAGCCTTTGCGCCCAAGATGCAAGATGAAATAGATTCAGCGAGCTAAAAAAACAGAAATCAAATAACAACTGGATGCTGACTTCACAAAGAATGCCAAGGACAATGGAAAAACTGAAAGTAACAAATTTTGATATTAGAATTGCATATAATTGCTTCATCTAAATCCAACCCCATATTTACATTCCTACGCATACGTATGTGTATACACCTCTATACATATATATATGTGTGTGTGTGGGACATTTTACACACATACACATACACGTTCTGTGAGTTCTGTGCATCTTTAAGATTCTATAAGGATACCAGCAGTACCGCACAAGGCGGTGGCGGAAGTTTCAAAATAGGAAACCTAGAGGAATCTATAGGAGAGGTGAGTTGTTGTGATGCATGGATGGCAGAGCGAATCCACTGATGGAAAGGTGGTTGGAGTTGTGTTTTTTGCAGTGGTTGCAATAGTTACATTGGTCACCTCACCCACAACTGCTGGATGTAGTGTGGTGTAGTGCAGCTGTAGTTGTAGTTGTAGTGGTGGAGCTGTAGTTGTAGTGTAGTTGCAGTTGTAGTTGTACTGTGGTGTAATGAGTGTAGCATAGTGTAGTGTAAGTTAAGTTAAGTTAAGTTAAGTGTAGTGTAGTGTAGTGTAGTGTAAGTTAAGTGTAGTGTAGTGTAGTGTAGTGTAGCCTACGCGTAGTAAATTCGCATTTGCATTTGTAATTGTAGTGGTAGCGTAGTGTAGTTTTAGTCGTGGTCGTAGTTGCAGTTGTAATTGTCTGTCTATCTATCTATCTATCTATCTATCTATCTGTCTATCTGCAAGCTTGATAACTTGACAACATCAAAAACGCAGTGATTCTGGGAGATTCCTCAATTTTGACCTTGACAACGTCAAAAACGAAGGAGTTCTGCGAGACTTCCTCAATTTTCGAAGTTGACAAGAGCAAAAACGAAGCAATTCTATGCAATTCTGCGAGACGTCCTTCAAAAATGACAGTTGAGTGCGAGCTAACGGCCTCGTACGAATGTATTTTGCGATTTTTCCACTATCTGGCGCCTGCCACGAAACAATGATGTACAATGATGCTAAATTATACGAAATGCTGTGCCTGTTATGCAGAATTATTTCAACCTGGGACCTATCGAGTTCAGTTAGCACCATTGGATCTCAACCTAGGACCGTCCGAGCACAATGAGCACCGCTGGACCTCAACCTGGGACCCGCCGAGCTCAGTGAGCACTGCTGGACCTCAACTTCTCAATAAGCACCATTCGACCTCAACGGCCAGATAGAATGCCAGAAAATATATCAGATAAAACACCAAATAATATGTCAGTTAAAATGCCAAAAGATATATCAGATAAAATGCCAGATAAAATATCAAATAAAATATCAGAAAATATATTTAAACATATATTAAATAAAATACCAAAAAATATATTAAATATAATATTAAAAAATTTATTAATAATAAAATATATAAATATTATAATATACAAAATAAAAAACAAACTTTAATATATAACGAAAATTTAATTTTAAAATAATAATATATTATTATTATAATCCAAAATATTATTTTTAATATTTTTATTTATAAATTTATATAAAATAATACATACAAATTTATTCTTTTCCATAATATATTTATTTATTAAAATATTTTAAAATAATTTATTAATAATATATAATTAATAATATTATAATTATTAATATATATATAATTAATAATTATAATTAATAAAAATATATATATATTAATTTAATTATATATAATATAAATTATTAAATATAAATATAAATTATTTTTTTCGATTTAATTATATAAAAATTTATAAAAATAAATAATTTAAATAAAATTATATTTTAATCCAATAAATTATTTAATTTTATTTAAATTAATAATTAGAGGTTAAATTACGAAGATTTATTTTAATATATATATTATTGGATTAATAAATATTTTTTTTAATTAGAAATTCCGTAAGGTGGAATTATATATTAATAAAAATTATTAAATGAATATATGGATATTTAAAATATTTTTTGTTTATTTAAATAATTTTCTAAAAAAATTAGGTTTATTAATATTTAGCGGTATTTACTGAGCTCGGAAAATCCTAGGTTGAGGTTTAGTGGTGTTTATTGT